ACACACTCAGTAAAAATTTGGGTGAATGCCTGCTGACTGAAGGAGCACACATCTGACTCTCCCTCTTGCCTACTAAAGAATCCCTGTTGTTTGTGTGGCTTTTTACCTCATCTCCCACTCACTTGTCCTTTTGGTTTTAACTCCTGTGAAAGTTATTTTGTTATCATCTTAGTGGGGATTTAGGGGAGAATGTAGTCTCTGTGTTCAGCTTGCCATCTTTAATCGGAGATTATTGAAATATTTCAGGCTTACTGTTATCATGCCATCAAAATCTTTTCAGTAAATTCTCTTGCTTTCCTCAGGAGGGACTTGGTGTTGTTAGTAGTCTGAACATATACAGAAGTTGTAGAATCAAATTACAACATAAAGAATTATGGATCTTAGAATCATTATTAATTTTTATATTATGAAAAGTGGAAATAGTTCTAAAGGTTATGTAATAAAAATGTCTTTTCTACTATGAATCAAGCTAAACACTGTCAACAGTTTTTAGTCTGCAGTTTTTTCATGTCTTATTTATCCATCTCTGTAGCTCCTGTCACCTTTAAAAGAAACACATACAAATGTGTGTAATATATCTATATTTTTTTCTATACCTAAATATTTTTACTTTATATTGGTGGTGATTGTATATTAGCCCATATAAATTTGTCTCACTTTTTTTTCCTTTTCTTTTCCCTCCCTCCTTCCCTCCCCCTCTCTCCTTTTCTTTCCTTTTTTTTTTTTTTTGTAGTAAATGAGGCTTAAACCCAGGGCCTCATCCATGCTAGGCAGATAATGTATCACTGAGCTACATGCCCAGCCCTTGTTTCATTCTTTCCAACAGTTGAATATTATTTCAATAAATGAAGGTACGATGATCATTTTTAAGCCAGTCTATTGATAGTTCTACACCCAAATTTGAGGCTATTGTGAAAAAAATTGCTAACATTAACAATTTAGTACATAGTGTTGACATTTATGTATGTGTGAATATAGATACTAATTTATGTACTTTTTTAGCTATTTGTGATAATGGGGTTGCTTAGGATAAAACATTTTGAAAGGCTTATTTTTTTAGAATACTCACATAATTGAAAGACAGTACAATGGTCCTCCCTGTGGTTTCAGTTACTAAAGGTCAACTGTGAGCCAAAGACATTAAAGGGAAAATTCCAGAAATAATTCATAAATTTTATATAGCTTTTATTATGATATATTGTTAATTGGTCTATTTCATTATTAATCTGTTACTGTGCCTAATATATACATTGATTTTGACATAGGAAAAAAATAGTGTATTTACTGTAGTGTAAACTTAGTCTATACACAGTCCATACATATAGGAAAAAGCATAGCATATTTAGGGGTTAATCCTCTCCAGGGTTTCTGGCATCTTGGAACACATCTCTCACAGATAAGAGGGATCTACCATTTATCTTCCTGAACAACGATTAGGACATCCTCAAACACATTATAATCAAACTTAGAGGTTAATACAAAGTCCTTGGTTAGTAATTTATTTTTAATACAGTCCATTTATTTCATGTTTTTGTATTAGTAATGTGAGTAGCCTTTTCATTCAAAAATTATTTCTGACTTCTTAATTATGGAAAAAATAGGTCATCTCCTTCAGGAAAAGCTCTGTTTAGATGTCAAATCTTTAGAAAGCTTTGAGGAAGTGTGGGTTTGTGGAGACATTAAAAAAAAAAAGTTAAATATAAGGCAACTGTGTGTTTCTGAAAAGATTATCATTCTCTTTTTTTCTTCTGTATGGTTATTAAATTTTTTTAGATTTGATCCCCCTCTTCACTGTAAATGTTGAATAAGTCAACTAAGTTGGGGAGAAACCCCTTGCTGTATCTCCCAATTCTACCTTGGGTACCCAGCTGAAATTACAATACTAAAATCCCTTTAAAAGCTTAATATTTTTCAAACTTTGCTTATTATTATGAAATGGAGTTTTGCTGTGTTACCCAGTCTAACTCCTAGGCTTAAGTGGTCCTCCTGTCTCGGCCTCTGAGTAGCCAGGACTTCAGGTGTTTGTCACCACTCCTGGCTTGGTCCCTGCTTTTAGAAATAGTGTTTTACAGGACTTACTAAGGAAATTACTAGCTGTTTTACTTAAATTTTAGAAGTAATTGATTGTGCAAGATATATAATTGTACAGAATCATCAGGTAGTACATGAATGGGGTGTAGTTTGGTTTTACAGATAAAAGTCTTATTCTGCAAGAAAACTACTGAAGTGTGCTTAGCCTCTGAGGGGCAAAGTGCTAAGGACATACCAAAAACTTCCTGCTAAGAAATTAAAGTGCCATGTGTTCTGGTGTTTTTTCTGACCCCATTTAAATTAGTTAGAAACATGATTCTCTGACAGATTGGGAATTTGCCACTGAAATACTGAAATGTATTTCAGTGGCAAATACATTTGTGATTTTTTTTTTTAAATAAAGAATGGTCATAAATGAGAGGAGATTTTAACACTACTGCATAGAAAAGCTTCATAAATTTTTTCTAAATTTAGTTGGCTCTCTGCCAATTGAATGATATCCTTCCACTTAGGTAAGGGCCATTCTTCCTTCCTTCCGGGAACACCTTCCCAGGCATTCCTAGAAATAATGCTTTACCAGCTCTGGGGATCTGTTCATCCAGCCTCATTGACACCTAAAAAAATAACCATCTCAGCTAGATAAATCTTTAGGTGGTAATCTCAGAGAATGCTATATTTTTCCTTGACAGCACTCTCCTCAGTTTATATTTATATATTGATATGATTATTCAGTTAATGTCTATGTTTATTTGCCGCAGTCCGGCTGCAGCAAAATAACGGGGGGGGGGGGGGGGGGGGGGGCGGGGGGGAGGAGCAACTTGTGTAGATTGATACAGCAGGAGTAGGAGCCGTTTATTGTAGGACAGGAGCGGTATTTATACATTCCACACAGCTTATCTTAATTAGCATAAACTAGATACAGCAGTCAACCAATAAGGAATCTCCACACTTAATGGCTCACTGGCATTACTTCACAAACCACTCCCTCTGGCAAAATGCCAGGTGCCATCCAGACTTGTTTACAGACTCTTACATTTATTATTTATTTTTTTGTAGTGCTGGGGATGGATCCCAGGACCTCACACTGGCTAGCCATGTACTCTGCTGTGAGCCATGTTTCCCAAACCCTGTTTTCCTTTTAAAGCTCATAGTAGGCAGAAACTCTCTTGCTTTGCTTACCATCATATCCCCAACACGTGAAAGTGCCTGGTTCTTAAATGTCAGGGGATACCATATAAATATTGTACACAGTGGAAATGAAGCAAGAAAAAAATGGAAGAGAAAATCACAGTTCTTTGTGTGTTAAAACATATAATTCACAAAATGTAGGTACAACTATCATAATCCCTGACCAGGAGGAAAACATCATATAGCATTTTTTATTAATTAACTGGTCAACAGACTTCTAAAATATACCTTTTGCCTTATATTTTAGGTTGTCAAATTTTTTAAAAAATTGAACTAGCAGAGTCTTTAAAAGAAAAGCTCCTTGTTGATGTATAATATCTAGTTTTTGTAGACCAATGATATTATTCTAAATATGTAACATTAATATTATTGGAAATTAATATATATTAACAAAAACAGGCATGGCAACTTAACAGATTGCTTTTAGTCTTTTTAGATTAATTAGAAAATTACTGAGTTAGAAAGAACAATCATGTAATTTAAAAAGGCAAAAGTGGGAATTTTTTTAAAAGTCTCATTTAATGAAGTAGAAAATCAGTAGGATTATTGGCAAATAAATTCAAGGTAAGGTTATTTTTGAAATTAATAAAACAGTTAAAACACATAATATCAAATTAGGAATGATGCAGAGGCTGAGGAAGTAGCTTGGTGATACAATGCTTAACTAGCTCATGAGAGGCCCTGGATTCCATCCCCAGCACTGCAAAAAAACAAAGTACAAAAGCAACTGTAAAAGGCACGTGTACGGCACAAAGTATGTACTTGGTACGTGACAGACTGAGTTCTTAGTTTACTTTGATTATTTCAAAAAATAGTAAAGATTCAAGCATTCATGTATAAAATACTTACAGTGTCTTGATCATGGTGTTACTGATTGTCGCTGAATCCCAGAAGTTATACATTAAGAATCAACTTGGGGCTAGGGCTATGGCTCAGTGGTAGAGCACTTGCCTACCTAGCATGTGTGAGATCCTGGGGTTGATTGTCAGCACCGTATATAAATAAATAAAATAAAGGTCCATTGACAACTAATATATATATGTGTGTGTGTGTGTGTGTGTGTGTGTATACATATATATATATATATACACACACACACATATATGTATGTATGTACATATATGTATAAATATAAAGAATCAACTCGGGCAGCAGGTATATATCTAAATAATGTAATAATGAGGGGAAATTTCAAGGCCGCAAACTACTTTTCTAAAGCAGTGGTACCAGATAGTCTATGAGCTAGTTTTTCAGTTTCTAGGAGTAATTCATTTCATTCTTCCTTAAATTTCATTCTTGAATAGAGAAAAATGGAACCCCCACCTCATTTTTTTCCTTAAAAGTAGTATATAGCTGATAACAGTGTTCGACAGTCACTGGCTTTTCAGATGAGAAAACTGAGGCACAGAGACCTTAAGGCCTTTCACCCCTTGGTGGTGAACGTGGCAAAAGAATTAATGAACACATGCCGGGGCTTTTGAACTTGACAGGACCTATTTTAAACTTCAAGCTTATCATCTAAGAATTGTTGAACTTGAATTTGTCAGAAAAAGTGATCATGTGACACGGCCGCTCTTTGTAAGTGTGGCTGAGAGCCACTTTTACGGGAGGGTTTGAGTCTTAGTCCTAGATCAGGGTGAGGTGAGGCTTCCCTTCCTCCAAAATAGCCTAATTACAAATGAAACAAAAGCAGAATCAGGTCGCAAAATTAAAGTGTTTATCACATGGAAGATTTCTAGTATTTTGTATTTATACTTTTTTTTTTTTTTTTTTTTTTGTAGGAGAAGCTGTTGTCCAGATCTCTTCAGAGGGGTGAAGACCTGCAGTTTGATCAGGTGGGTCAGTTTTAGAGGATACTTTTTCCTGGAAGGAAAATGTCTTTCCTAATGATCTGTTCTGAATATGTCCAATATTAAGAAGTTTCTTTATTATTTTAGTGACTCTGTATCTCTTTATGCATTAGATTCTTCTGGAATTGGTAGTTTTTGTTTGCTTGAACAAATAAGTTATAAACCTTATTGATTTTAGTCCACTTAGCATTTTAAAACTTTTTACTTTTCATTGTTAATCTCTTTAATGTTCCTTTTGAAATTTTTCTCAGAAAGTTTCTGATTACACTCTTCACTCTTAGGTGCCAAGTCTATGGTTTTTACATTATAATATTTTACATTGTTAAATTTATGTTTTTACTGCTGGAGCTTTCAGAACTTATAAGTAGGATACTAGCATTTAAAAACTCATGTGATATTGCTCTACTGTTGGTTTTTCTTCTGCCTGAGATTAAATGTTGGCTTAAGTGCTCTTTCATTATAATTATTTTATTAAATGTTGATTACTTGGAATAACCAATAATCTAGATTAGCTTTCTGTTGCCATCAGTCTTCCTGGACCACTTTACTCAAAATAATATATCTAAGAAATAGAAGTCAATGTCCATATTAGACTGGCTAGGGTTATTTGGTAGACATTTACTGCGTTCTTGGATCCCACTCCAGTTGTGCTAAATCAGAATCACCAAGAGTGGTGTATTTACAATATAGCACCTGTATTTGTGGGGGCTCTGTAGGGGACAGCTCTCTGAGGCATACACTTAGTAAGAAGATACTGATAGACAAACCATCAATAGGGAGATAAGGCCTTTGTTACAGTAAGATCAACTAAGGCAATGTTTTTCAAATTTTGTACTATTGTAGAAGTTACTTAGATTATTCACATCTTGAATCTAACTCATTAATCAATGTATACTCAGATTTGTAATCCAGTTAAACATCAGTTTAAGGAAATTTTTAATTTATTGTATGATGATTAAAAATGGAATGGTCATGCCTCATAACTTGTTTTTGTTCCTCACAGTAAAGTTGTACGTGTGATGTAAATATTTTTAGTATATAGTTATAGAATCAAATGATGTTGTATTGTCCCTTCTTTAGGTATTAAAACAGATTTCCTTTGAGCTGTACTGTTTCATAAAACATTTTAAAACATGGTTAAATGGAATCTTTTTACTTTAATTACCTATATTAGAAACTATTTACCTGTCAAATTATGGTTAATTTATAATAAAGAATGATTGAAGGGGGGGGTAGAAGTAATAAAAAAGAATATGCTACAGAATCAAATAACCTACTGAATTCTTTTCTATTTTCCCCATGATGTATATTTTGATGTCATTTGCAGAATATGAAATATAAGGAAAATGAAATGCTTAACATGTAGAGACATCTTCATTAATGGAGTCTTCCTATAATCATAGAACTGAAAGCGACCTTGAATATTTCTGTAGCCCCAAAATCAAACAAGTCAGCAAAGTGAAGCATGTTTGACTGTATGCTAATTTAAAAATAATAATTATATGAGCAGTGGGTTGAGTCAGATGCAGAAATTCTTATGAAGAGAGAAAGTTTTTCTTGGGACACACAAGACAAAGAGTGATTGGTCCAGGCAGGTTGGGTCAGGTTGGGTTTATTAATTAAATGAATTTATGATGTTCACCTAGAACTCAGGTATTTTCAAGGGTACCAGAAATTCAGTAACAGTTGTTCGTCACACTACACTTACCTTTTTTTCTTTCTCTTTCTTTTTGTGCCACTGGGACTTGAACCCATGCCTTGTGCATGCTAGGCAAGCTCTCTGCCACTGTGCTGCACTGCTAGACCTACTGCATTTACCTTTATTGCTGTCCATTTGTATGTTATCAGCTTTGCAAGCTTGTTTCCAACAGGCTTCTAACATGTGGACTTGTGGATATCAGAGTAATTGTAATTTTCTCTTTTGTTTCATAGTAATATATAGAAAATTGGAGCTTTCTTCACAATTGTAACATAGTGTAGTTCTCTTGTTTGAGCATGTCTTCATGCATAGAGTGGCAACATTTTAGAATCTTGTTTGCATAAACACAAGGGAGTTTCCAGGGCAGGAAGAAGTAGGGTTTATTCATATTATTTCTAACATTTTTCCTAGACTTATTGTGTATATAATCAAGGATATTACTGAGGGGCTTGTTTTTACACGTGTGTGTGTGGCACATGGAGGCAGGAAAAGGTTGAAAATCACTGTGCCAACTGAGTTACTTTATTCATTTCCAAGTGATTACTAATAGGGTTAGGAGTATGATGTGTTCAATGCTAAATTTTATTTTTCGATTATGTCTTGTGTTTCAGTTGATAAGCTCTATGAGCTCAGTAGCAGAGCACTGTCTCCCTTCCTTACTTCGCACCTTGTTTGACTGGTATAGACGCCAGAATGGAACTGAAGATGAGTCTTATGAGTATAGGCCTCGATCTAGCACAAAATCTAAGGGGTAAGTGGTGAATTTTCTAGGTGTTTTACTTGGTGCTAAAACACTTTCAATGAAGAAAATTATAGGGTTATCAACTACGATTGTTATTGTTTTGTTTTTAAGCAAAGAGCATGGATTATTTTTGTTATAAAGGTGGTAGGAAGGAGAAAACTCCGTGTCTTAATGCAATACTAATTTTGGGTTCTTGTTTGGGTTCTTTGCCTCAATGGCAAAGTAAGAGCAGGTCCCGTCATTGGAGTAAGGTGTGCCATGCCAGTAGTTGAGTGGGGAATCCTAATCATAAAAGTTAAAAGCCATTCAGAGAAGGTCCATTTCATGTGATTTTGGAAGGGAAGCAATTGTGATACACGAAGAATCAGAAACTGAATTATCACACCAAGACTCTTGGTGCTCAAGTGCTAGAACTTATCTTCTCCACCTTCAGACTTCTCAGGGAGATTTTGGATTACATATAACATCTACTCTGCTCAGGCGATTGCCCATGGTTTAGAGTATTGAATTTAGGAGTTTTCAGCTTAGATTTGTGAGGTTACTTTGTAACCTATTTCATCCAGAGAACTTATTACTTTTGTTTCACTTGTTAATAAAAAAAAAATCACCATCAAAGAGGGTATGATGGTAGGTTTTCTAAAGATAGTTTAAAACACTCTCTCTTACTAATACTTCCATATTAAGTTTAATTTCTGTTAGATGCAATAGTGAATTATATGTTTAAATACCCATTGTATAAAAAGAAAGAATATGCCATGCATATACTGAGTTATTTAAAAAAAAAAAAAAAACACCTTCTACTCAAAAAACACTGTACCACACTGCACATAGTGGGAACACAGTAAGCAACATGAACTACTGTCCAATAGTTATTTAAAACTCTGTGTCTTAATGCAATTCTAATTTTGAGTTCTTGTTCCAGGGATGAACAGCAACGTGAAAGAGATTACCTTCTGGAAAGGCGGGACTTAGCAGTAGATTTCATTTTTTGTTTAGTTTTAGTTGAAGTTCTAAAGCAGGTGAGCTCTCCTGTGTCCGCAAAGTCTGTATTTCTCATCCTTACCATGTCTTTGTGTTTGTTTCCTTATTTAGGATGTTATGTCTAACATTCTGGCCCACATAAACCAAATCCCTTTAGCTTAATTATATGTCTTTGAATACCCTGCTGCTTTCCACCCTGTACCTATCTCTACTTCCTGTTCTTTTTACCTTTCTTTGCCAACTAGGATATGAAATTTTGTTAGCAAGATGAAACTTGGTGGAAATTATTTTAAATATGGGCTTTAGCTGTAACTACAGTCTACTTGTCATTAAGTTTACTTCTGCTTGATTTCTCTTCCTGAACCCCTCTCACTTGCATTCCAACCTGGAATAGTTGAGCAGTTATAGTTCAGGAAAGGGGGTGATTTGATAAAGTAAGATCAAATTGTCAAGTGCACATGGTTTCAGGCAAGAATACCTCAGAACAAGGTGTGTTTATTCATTTAGTGAATGTTAGAATGTCTGTGTGCACTGACATTGTTTCAGGACTGAACACATGAGCTTCTATCTGAATGAGATAGACAGTAAATATATAAATACACAACATCAGATACCATCTTCCATTTCCTATTCAAGATAAGTGCCAGTTTACATGCAAATACCTCTGCTGATTTTGAGGGCTTTGTTTTATTTTAAAATCCATAGTCTCTAAAGAGTTAAGTATCATTCAAGAATGATCCATGTATTTCCAGCCACAAACATTGTATTGTTTAGGAAAAAGTCAGATAACTAAAAAACAAAAATCATATTTTGCATATAACATGTTCAGGCAAGAGTTTTTATTATATAAAATGTAATATTAGACAATAAATAGTAAAAGTAAAATATAAAAGCTAATTGACAGTCTTTTATACAGTCAATATGCTAATTACATAATCATTTCTACTTTGATTCTGTTTTTCCAATGTATGTGAAAAGACAATGATTTGGTACTGTGAAATCTGCAAATAATAATACTTTAAGTATGTAAAGATAACTCAAGGTAAAATCTCTAATTTGTACCTTTTATATAAAGGTTCCTTAGTAGATGTAGGAAAAAATTTTCTCCGTTCCTTGTGCTTACAAGTCAGATTTGATTTTAGTGATCTCTCAGTGTGGCTGGGGTGCTAAGACCCTAAGACTGAAATAACTAGGGTGGGAGGAGCTGGTGACCAGAAAAATCCATAGACCCGGAGAGGATTGGACTCCTGCTCCTTGTGCTTGATCCCCAACATCTCCTGTGAGCTAAATGTAGGTCATATGAGTGTTTTGGTAGCAACCACATGCAATATTTTGCTTAGTTAAATAGCAGAGTGTTCTCCTTCCAGTCTGAGAAATTGCAGACTCCTGACCTGGACATCAGGCCCTCTGAATTCCAACTCCACAGTGCCTTTCTACTTTGTTTCTCATGACATTCTCCTAGCAGCCAGTCTCTCTTCTCATCAGGAAGTTGTGCCTAATTGCAGTTGGCTTCAGAGCTTCAAATCACAGGCAACTGGTAGACGTGTGTTTTCTTCTTTCCTCCTTCTCCTCCCTGTCTACTCCCCTTCCTGTGCCTTTTGTAATCCTCCTCCTCTAAAATAATCCAGATAGCTCTTCTAATAGAAAAAAACAAAATCAGTGTCTATAAATTTAAGAACAGTTTGTTTCAGTAGACTAGGTTTTTCAAGCTCACTGCACAAGATCATTTCTGACTGATGGTTTCTATGGACTTAAAGTATGAAACACAAATACAGTGGCTCTGATAGCTAATCTGTTTCTTTGGCTGTGTCATCATATTGTTCCAACCAGCAACCAGTTACCCTTTCCTCTCTTTTCTACTATCCTCATACCTCTCAAAGAACAAATGTATCTCATAGATAGAATTTACTTATCAAAAATCCTATAGAAAGATCCTCCCACCCTAGTAAATGGCAAGTCTTTTTACTTTCTCCACAATTAATAAAACTAGAAACTGAAGTAAAAATCAATAGAAAATGTCGTGCCAAACCAACCAAGCTTTCTTCTGTCAAAATGCCATAGGGTTGGGGCTGGGGCTGTAGCTCAGTGGTAAAGCACTTGCCTCGCATGTGTGAGGCACTGGGTTCAATCCTCAGCACCACATAAAAATAAATAAAGATACTATGTGTTCATCTACAACTAAATAAATATTTTTTAAAATGCCATAGGGTTTAATAGAACCAGAGATAAATCTACGTACAATGTACTTAATAAGACATTGAGCTTAATAAGAATTGTACATTTTTATGTGTTGCTGGGAATTAAACCCAAGGCCTCCTGCACATTAGACAGATGCTCTCCCAATGAGCTACAACCCCAGGCCAGACTTTTAACTTTGCTTCTGCATAGTATACCCATATGAAAATGTGATTTGGTTTTATTTTGATGAGGCAGATAGTTCCCAGGGTATTGAAGTATCCATACATGATTGTTTCAGTATTGAGGAGGAGTGATTCTTTCTTGTGGGTAGTTCTTGATCTGATAGAGTCTAAGTAATCTGTTCCTTGGATAACTAACCTGTTGTGTCTTCAATAATGCCCACATGTTTAGAACTTCATTGTTCATAAAGGGCTCTATATCCATCATGCCAACTGATCATTATTATGAATGCTGGGAGATGGCTGTGGCAAGTATTAACATGCCAGCAGTCTCTCTTCCTTGCTGAGAACCTTTAGCTAAGTTATTACCCACTAACTCCTTCCTCCTCTATAAAAAAGAATGATTATGGTATCATTTTTATAGAATTATAAGAATTAAATATGATAACCCTGGTGCATGGAAAGTGCCCAATAAATATTATGTGTTATTTTCATTTTACAGATGAAGAAATGTTTTTATTTGTAGTGATTTGCCGAAGATCATAAAATAGTTCATTTTTTACTCCCATGTTTTTTCCCTTTACTAATACAAATAAAAACAGTCTTGTTAGTAAAATCAATGGTATGAAATTAGATCAAAATGGTGAGTATCTTTTAAAATTAAAGTTTTAGTCATGAGTTAGATGAAAAAATTTAGTTAATTTAAGTACAATGAAATTTAATACTGTGATTCAGCACAGGAACAAAATTAAAATGATAGAAAATTTATTATTTCAAAAAAGAATAATTTTGGGGTAATGGCTGACCACAAAATTTAGGCTTTAGAATGTGATTACAGCATGTTTAAACAGAAATATGGCATTTTGATTGTTTGAAGCTATTTTTTTTTATGTTGGACTGTAATCATACATTTATTCTTTGAAATAAACAGAAAGGTTGAGAAACCTAGTTTTTGAGCCATTTTGAGGTGTTGGCTAAGTTTAACCAGTACTGTTGTGACAGATCAGAAGGTAGTGATGTCTTCTATGTCTTTGGAGTAGATCCTTACCTTTTTTAGATTTACCATGAGCGTTTAAGATATCCATGAGAAGTTCTGAAGGCGGGGGGGGGGGGGGGGGGTGTGATTTGTCATTCCACTGAGGTGTGAATTTATTCACTGTCCTTTTTGTTGTGACCTGGGCATTTGGCTAATGAATGAGCATTGCTGACTCCCCAGTATCCTTGTCTTTACCTGATTTTGTTGTTCTTTACTTCCCTGTTGTGACAGGAGCATTTAATTTTGGGAAGTGTAGCAGGACTAGCCTCAGAACAAAATTTAAGTATTCTCCAGTGTCCTCTAGATACTCCCTCCCTGAATATTCAAGGAGAATTGGAGCTGCTGCATCTGAAATCACACCAATCACGAGATGTGAAAAAGTCTTGATGCTAGGTGAAAATATTAATTCAAGGAAGCAGAAATTTTTCTGTCTGAACTGAAATGAGATCCTTCCTTGTCGATTTTTTTTTTTTAATTCAGTGGAAAACATTTTTATCACTATTGAAAATAAGGGGAGAAATAGAGACTTCAGAAATACCTGTGTACACCGATTGTGTCCATTCCTATAAGAAAAATTTCAGAGGTTGTATATTTTTTTCTTCCAAAAATTGAGATATGTTTTTTCTTTCAGTTTTGTTTCTCTTTCATTCTTTTCTAGTGACAATATAAGATCAAAAGTTTTCCTTGCACTTTTGTTTCATTTTTTTTTAAAAAGTGTGTTTTCCTATATCAGAATGGGGGCACAGCATATTCTAGAGAAAATAGCAACCCCAGAACTTCATTTTCCTTATCCATAGGGGACAAATATCTATCTTTAAGGCTGTTGTGATACAAATAATGTATATAAAAAGGTGAATTTTCTGACACACAGATGTGTAAAAAATGCTGGGTGTGGTAATAATAGGGTCATAATAAAGAGCACACTGCATGGCCAAGAGTTGTCCCTGGCTGTCATTGTTGGACTTCACGCATAACTGCAGCAAATAAAGAGTACTCCCTGGTGGCTGGGAGTGCAGCACAGTGATTCCCCAGCACCCCCCCCCCAAAAAAAAAAAAGAAAGGAAAAAATGTATGTGTGTGCATATATACGAATATGCACTTGGGGAAATCATAGATTTAAGTTATTGGTGTTTCACATCTCTGTCCTAAGAGCATAACAAACATCCTTATGAGGGAATTAATATGGTAAACCACAGCACAGTAAATGAGGTACAAAAAAATTAAATCACATGAAATGTCGAGTTGTCTTATTTTGAGGTCACTAAAATGTCTAGGGCTAGCTTACTGTGAATTTCAGAATAAATCCTGGGAGTCGGGCTCTTTCCCTCCCCTCCCCTCCCCTTCTCCTCCTTCTCCTTCTCCTTCCTTCTCCTCTTCCTCATTCTTCTTGTTCTCTGTTTCTCCTCTTCTTTTTTTAAATCTTTGCTCAGTTTTTATTTAGATTGTTTTTTTTTTTAAATTAAGTAGTTTTCCTTTATTTTTTTCTGTCTTTTTAATATTGTTGTACCTCCTAGAAGAAATCATAGAGTCTGCACTCTAACAGATAGACACAGGCAGTGACTTCCTCAGCTCTTTTGTTTTTTATTTTGAGACAGGGTCTCCAGCTTACAATCCTCTTGCCTCAGCCTCCCAAGTCGCTAAGATAACAGGCCAGCATCACCATCCTGGGCTTAGGCTGCTCTTTCAAATGCATTCTATTCCTAGCTCAAGTTTGGCTTCACCTAGTGGCAGGTGTCTGTTCTGTTTTAAATTTTGGTGGGGTAATGGTGTGGCTGACTGAAACTTAGGGAACCAGTGATTCTAGTAATCTTCTTGTTACCCTGGGTCTTATTTTTTTGGTCCAAGCCAAGAAAACCAGGCCAAGAGAATATAAGGCTTACACTATCTGCTTCCCTGCCTTCGCAAGTTTGGATTCCACCCATTCCTCCCACCTGGCCTGGCCTGTTTCTTTCCCTCATCTGGTCCCTTCATCTAGTTTAGATTTCAAGGGGGTAAGAATTTTGACCTGATCACTTTTAGAGAAAGATGGAACAGGTAAGAGGACAAGGAATAATGTTCAGTTGTAATGCACCACAATCTGCATTCTTCCAGGGCCAGTAAGTATGGAGATTTAATCTATTATCTACATTTTAGAGGAGGTGGAAACTTACTCAGATTATATAGTGAGTAAAAAGAAAAACTTTGGTTTTACTAATTCCAAATTCATCATCTTTCTTCACTTCATTTCATTAAAATGAAGAAAATGGGTTTTTTTTTTGTTTGTTTACTCAATAATTTGATCATAGTTTACTTACAATAAAATGGACAACTTAGTGTGACTGTAAGGGGACCCTTTGGGGGGATGCTTTTTAGTTTCCTCTTAAATGTAATCTAAAAGACTGAGTAACAACTAAAAGATTGCCATGTCTTTCTTTCCTTGACCAGCTGGCATTCTGAAATTTCCAAATCAATAAGATATGATTGTTATTTTTTAAATCTTTGCTTTATAATGATATAATGATAGGATGCATTTACCTATAAAAGATTCAAGGACTTCTTGTAATTTTGAGATCATAAAAGTCCTCATTAAGTATCCCTGATTGCTAGAGAAATCCTGGTTTTAGAGTTTTAGCTTACCAACATGAGACAAGGATTAAACGATTTTTCTAGAGTCTTCATAATTCTTGATTGGGTAGAATAAATTCAGATTTTTGCCTATTATTAGCATGAGATTTTAAAAACTCATATTCTACAAGTTGATAAGTACACCTCCTCTCTTTCCTGAGTCATCAGGATACTTTTCAAAGGTTCTCTGAGACCTAGAAAGGCAAGGTCTGTACCATGCCGCTTCCTCATTCAGTCTTGATCTGGAGGGTAGATCGTATTCCAGATCCAGGCTTTGGGACAGCCTCAGTTTCCAGGAAATGTGAGATGAATGCTCTTTCTGATCCCCTTCTGGTCAGCAATAAACACTGAGCCATTTAGCCAAGACAAGGTCAGACTCTTTGCTCAGGGAGTAAAACCACCGCATCAGCTGCTGTTCTTTTACTTGACAGTGATGTAGAAGTGGCGCCAGTGTTCCTCTCAGTGTTGTGTCAACTTAGTCACCTTCTCATCGAGATTAATAAATGTAAATGAACAGCTATTTCTTGAATTTCTTGCCCTTATTATAATATAATCATAGTTATTCTTATCTAATTAACATTTCATAATCACATTTTGCTAGTTCCTGATCATTATTCAGGACTGAATTTAGCTGCCTCTGATAAATTCTTAGGTTGCCTTTGTAAGAAATAAATTACCATTTTAATCCTTCCTTAGACCCTTGAGAAATATTTTGGCCATCTCTAAGTAGTTACAGTTCTCTATTATTTTTTCCCCAGTCTAGTTTGTAGATTTCTTGTTTTCATATACTATCTATATTGTAATTTTATTACATTGATAGAATTTTACCATCTATATTGTCAAAGTTCTTAAGAAAATGAAAGTTCTATATTTTCTTACATTGGACCCCATATCTGCAGAATTGGATAAATCATGATTCTGCTTTAAGACACTCTGTTGTCATTGGTGTCTTTATGGTGGCCTGTGTGTGTTTTACATGTGATGAAAACCACACACAGGCCTATGAGCCTACTGCCTGAGAACTAGAATATTACCACAACTTAAGCCTAATTATGTGAGTTTCTCCTAGTTCACTCCCTTTTCTCACCCCTTATCGTTCTTCTGATTTTTGTGTAAATTATCCCCTTAACTTTAAAAAATGTTTTATATATGTTTAAATAATATATTAATTTTTCTTGTTTTTGAACTTTCTAAAAAATGGCATCATGCTGTTTATCTCTAATACTTATTTTTCCACTCAAAATTACATTATTAATTTAATCCATGAATTGCAGCTATATATCATTATCTTTCTTAGGCATGCATGTAATATGCTAGTATAGAAGAAAGGGGAAAGATAGTTTTTGCTCTGCCCTCTTAGGTTTTAATGATTGGGGCTTTATGGATTGATTTGAGAGACAACAGATTTATGGGTAAAGGTTAAGTACATATGCATGTGGAGGCTCTCATAGAAAAGAAATGAAGACCCTGAAGAAGACCCAAGGGCTTATACAGGTGGAGAAGTGAAAAACAGAAAGGGTTTGGGCTTCTAGAAGTAGTGCATTTAGGGAAGGTAAATACATGGGGGGAGCCAAAGGAAGGTAAGGGTGATTTACTAAGACTTGTTGAGACAGTCACATCTTCATGCTCACTTCCTGTCTCCAGTGGCAGTGAACAAGGCAGAGACCCTCATACCTGGTTCAGAGTGGACACCTTCAGAAAGGAAAATTTATATGTGGTCTTTAGGAAATAATTTGTCTTTTTAGACAATTTTTTTAAAGATAAAAAATAATTTATCTTTTACCTTTCTCCTGTTTGGTTGTGTCAGACTTGGGTTTTTTCCCATTGAATAAGTATAAAATGATGTGGTTGTATGCTTTCATGCTCTTTATTACTGATGAAATTAAGCATCTCTTCATATGTTTATTGTCATAAGAATAAAGTGATTGATTTAATTTAAGTGATGGGAACATTTACAAAAGTCTAATTTGTAAGTTAGCTTTTCCATATATATATATATATATATATATATTTTTTTTTTTTTTTTTTTTTTTTTTTTAAATTCTAGATTCCTGTTCATCCTGTACCTGATCCCTTAGTTCATGAAGTTCTAAACTTGGCTTTTAAGCACTTTAAACATAAGGAAGGGTAAGTAAAATAACAACTTGGAATTGTTGCTTTTCTCCAAAGCCTAAGTTGAGACTCTTGAAGATAGTATGAATTCTTATTGATTATTAGTTTTTAGAGTTCAAAGCAATCATTTTCCCATTTCTTTTGAATCGACACAATAGGCTTATAGAAAAGATTTTGTAAAAATAATTCTTAACACTCTAGATTATATTTATAAGAACTGGAAGGTTAGATTTCTTGGCTATTTAAAACCTGAACAAGAAAATTTGTGTACTATCATAGTATGAATGAGTATTCAAAAAATATAATACTCTGATAAGGAATTTTTAAATTTATTAAGAGAAATCATTTTAAACATTTAATGAAATATTGTTTGTTTTATTGCTATTTTAGATATTCAGGAACCAACACTGGGAATGTGCATATCATTGCAGATTTATATGCAGAGGTGATAGGGGTTCTTGCCCAGTCAAAGTAAGTTTTATAAATCATTGATTTTGATTTGCTTTGTACTTCAGAATGTTTCATTCCTAACTGACACAACAAACTCTGATAGTTAAAGACCCACCAATTTTGCCATTGAATTATCATGAAGCCCTCTCCACTTTTATTACTCTTCTCTGTTCCCTAGAAGCTCCTTTGAGTAGCACCATTTCTTCAATTCCACTACTTGTTTTACTTTATTTGGGGGTTTCCATAAATGTCTGAATCAAGCAAGTCAGAAATTGCCAAGAGTAGTCAGGACATTTACTTTATTCCATATTTTTAATAATTTTATGAGAAGTATTTTTTGAAATCTTTGTTTTAAAACTTTACAGAGCTAATAATTACTTTTATTACTTTCCAGTGAGTGCCTTTATTTCTGAGATCACAATATAATGTATTTTAATCATCTTATTTGTTTTAATACTGAACTGAGAGGCTGGGGATGGAGGTCTACAGTAGAGTGCTTGCTTAGCATGCATAAGGCCCTGGGTTCAATCCTCAGCACCCCAGAAAGAAAAAAAATTGGTAAACAAAGTCTTGGTTAAGTAGAAAATGTACCCCCTGAAAAGGATAAAAGGTTAGGATTGTACCTTTTGAAAGTGTTATTCAATTCAGTAGGAGTTACACTCATGGAGTTATAATAAAACCTCATTTTAGTAAGCAGTAAAGTATCTTTAGCACCTTGTGGTTACTCTGAATTTCTGGAAGGTTTTGGATTTCATTTTGCTGCTAAAAGAAATTCCTAAGAAAGTATTGATTCATATTTTCTTGAATGCTTTTGAAAGACTCTTTGGCCCAAAAATCACCAAATAACTATCTAAATTCCAAGAAGGCAAGCACAATTATTTAATGTGGAAATAGTTAATTAATAGCATAATTCAAAAAATAGTTAGCATCTTAATTTTAAATAATACTTAAGTAATTTTAAGTAATACTTAAGTAAAAAATTTTTAAATTTTTTAAGTCATACTTTATTTAATATATTTTTTACATTTTAAAAATATACTAAAGATCCTTATATAATCCATGCTTTAGAACTTAGAATATAGTTTGAATATTTTAAATGATTTAAGACATAGACAATAACACCTTAATATCTCATTTACATTAATTGGTAATGAATCCCTAATTCAGGAATATATACACAAATCATGGGTGTAAGCAATGTTACATTGCTCTTTATGGCATAGTAATTCATGATTTTTTAAAAGTCAAAGATGAATTTCTATATCAGGAATATAGAAAAGAAGTTCTAAGCAATACATTAGCAAGTTTGGATCAAGAAGAATACTACGTTGTAGAATAATAAGTCTAAATTATCAGTAAAATTATAAATGATATCAGCCTCACTAGGCTAATATAAGAGAATCACCACTTCAGAGCCACATTTAGGTGACAACTTGGGCATGTAGTGAGCATGCGACAAAATGTGGACATATCCACATTGGGCTTGGGCTCCCAGCTGGTGGGTGAAGCAGGAGTAGGAAAGGGAGCGGAAATTAAAAAACAAACAAACAAACAAACAAAAAACACTGGGCATATGTTTCAATCTTGTCCCAGTTTTCTTGGATTGTAATGATTAATAGGTTTTTTTTTTTTTTTAATTTGGTTAAAAAAATGGGTTCTAATATTATTTTGATGGAACAATTTTATCCATTTCCTAAAGAATTTCTTAATGCTCAAATGGTATTCTCCAAGGTTCAAATCAAAGTTAATGTTATGTTTCCTAGCATGACCATATTTTATTAATCTGTAATTTTCTTTTTTCCCTCACTGTTGTCAGTGACCACTTAGAAAGCATGACTTATTTGAATTCATTTTATCTGTCAGAAACTGAGTAATATTAACAGTAAAATCTTTAGTCAATTCATAATATATAGTGTGGGATAAGTAAGCATTATTAATAAACTACTAGGTGTCTTTTTAAAGAAATAGTTACTAGTTTTAACAATTGTGATTTGAATCCAGGATTATGCTCACATTTTTAAAACCTTTTGATTTTTGTAGCTTACTCACATTGGGCAACCAGTGTCCTCTGTCTCCTCTTCAGGTTTTCTCTGGTGTAGTGAGATAGTAATTTTAAATGATAATTAATACTTAAAAATTGGTTGGTTTATCTTTTTAAATAAATTTATAGTGCCCAGTCTGCAGGCTGTGTATCTCTCATCACAAACCTAAAAAAGAGCCTTAAAAATTGGAGATAATTCCCTACTTATATAGAGATGATGACATCATAGGAATAAAGAAATCATGTCATCCTCCAGGAACTCCCTAGTTTTAAAATAAACCAACAGCAAATATAATGTAACAGTTTCTTTTTCCTCCTGTGCTTTTGATGAGGGCAGAGAAAGGAGGTGGTATTTGGGCAAGATACCTTTGGATTTCACCCTTAAATACCATGTGGAAAATTAGTGTTATAATTCACATCAAATTATGTCTCCATGTTTATTAAAGGTTTCAGGCAGTCAGGAAGAAGTTCGTGACAGAATTGAAAGAACTTCGACAGAAGGAACAAAGCCCACATGTGGTACAAAGTGTCATCAGCTTAATAATGGGAATGAAATTTTTCCGGGTGAAAATGTATCCTGTAGAAGATTTTGAAGCATCATTTCAGTTTATGCAGGTGATATATCTTCTTAGTGGTAGTAATAAGAATTAGCCTGACATTGGTCCTTCTTGTTCTTCATGACTCTCCAGAAGAAACAAAATGTACATTAATTAATGCACCATTACGTCTTATTCCAAGTGCTAACTTCTCACAAGTGTGGATGAAGTTTCTTTTTTTGACCTTAGTTTCTTGGTAAAAATAGGAGTTTCACAAGATTATTGTGATATTACAAATTCGTTAGCCTCTTTTGCTAATCTAAGTATACCTTTTTTTCCCTTCAAGGAGTGTGCTCAGTATTTCTTAGAAGTAAAAGACAAAGATATAAAACATGCACTTGCTGGTTTATTTGTGGAGATTCTTATCCCTGTAGCTGCTGTAAGTAATTTTATATGTTATATCTTTCATGTGTCATGTGAGAACTATACAAACCCTATACTTCATTTCCTCCCTACAGACTCTTGCAAGGTAGTGAGCTGGGGCCACCAGAGGGTTCCTCTCATTTGTTTGTTGTTCCTTAGGTATTACTTTGTTTTGTTGATTGGTGTCCCTGTTTTGCTTATTCTTTTGCATGTGTTATTTATTTATTTGGTTGTTTCAGATGATAAAATGAATTCAGCCCCTCGTATTCTATTTTGGCTGGAAAAGGGACTTAATTACTCTTTTATTCAGATTTTATTCTACTTAAGATTTTTTTTTTTTAAATGAAGAAACATTTTCATGTGGGAAACTAAATGTTTTGGCTTTGATTTTTTTTTTTTTTTTTTTAAACACAAGTTCACTGACTTGTGACCTATATGTTTAGGTGAAATGGTTTGCAATATTTATGTACTGCTTTGGAGCCATGTTTAGAATGGGTAAACAGAGAATTGTAAGAAAAGTTAAGAAGTAAAAATATTAAGGGCAGAGTGGTTGGCATGATTTTTTTTTTACTATCTCGAGTATTTATTTAAATATTTAAAGTTTTCTTTTTTAAAGTGGGGAATAACAGAAGTCCTGAAGGTTTGTTTAGAGGTTTACAAGTGGTTTGAGTCAGTCCCCTCACCCTCTCACCCCAGTTTTAGATACATTAGACCATTTATTAAAAAGAAAATGGCTACTGTTTATGAAGCCATATCAGTTCTCCTCTATCATCATTAGTAAATGTACTTCCTTTATTGTTGTTGTTGTTTCCATAGATGTTTTTTCCACTTATCCAATCCAAATTGTTGTTTGCACATCCCCCTTTGTCTGAGAATACTTTTTTTCCAGCAATATAAGTGAGATTAAGTTTTAGTTTTTAAGGTGATTTCACCAAAAGGCACAGGTTGTAGGAAGAAAACCTCTGGACAGTGGTCCGCTCTCCCTGTGCTGCCTGATTCTTTTATGCCATATGCCAGGTTTATCAGTTCACTAGTGCTGCCATGATTACATACCACAGATTAGGTAGCATAACAACAAAGCTACCCAACAGTTGTTTTGTAGCAATGGAGGCTAGAAGTCTGAGATCTGAGAGTGTCGTCAGCTTGATTCCTTTTGAGGGCTTCAAGGAAGAATTTGTTCTGAGCCCCTTGCCCAGCTTCTTGTGGTTTGCTGAATGTCATTGGTTTTCCTTGGCTTGTAGGGGCAATACCCTATCTCTGCTTTCGTTTTTACATGATTCTTTTTCTTGTGGGCTTGTCCTTTTGTTCCCCTTTTTAAAGGACTCTGTAGTCATGTTGGATTAGGGCCACTTTAATCCTAATTTAGTTAATGAGATCTGCAATGACCTTTTTCCAAATAAGGGCACATTCTGAAGTATGTGAGGTATGGGCTTCAACATAGGAATTTTGTGGAGACATGATTAAGTCCATAATACCAGGCCTTTGCACCTTTGACAGTTTCTTCTGCCTAGAACATTTGCCTGTCTAGTAAATTCTGCTAGATCCTCTGCCTGGCTGGCCTCTGTTTATTTATGCATTATGTATTGAGTTTTTTATGGGTGGGTGTCAGAACCTCCTCTATTTCCAGGGAACACAACAAAGAACAAGATAGGAAAGGTTCTCTCCTATTATGGAGCTTAGTCCCAGCATAGGAAACAGAAAGTAAACTAGGATGTAAAACATGTAGTATGCAGACTATGGCAAGGTCTATAAAGAACTGCAAGGCGCGTGGGACTACAGGGGGAAGATTGCCACAGGCACAGGGGAGTTGAAATTTTAAGGAGCATGATTAGGAAAGCCTACCAACCTTGAAAGAGATGGTGTTGGTTGAGCCAAAACTAAAGGACTGAGGAAGAAAGACTCCCTGTATCTGGGGGAAGAACATCTCAGACAGAAGGAACAAGTGTGGGCGTCCTGAAGCAAGATCACACTTCCAGGGACACCTGGAAGCTAGTGCAGCTGATCCCAGTGCACAGGGGCAGAGCAGGGGGAGCTGAGGCCAGAAAGGTCACATCGGAGGCTGATGTAATGTGGCAGGTAAGACTCTCTGGCCTCAGTATAGAGGCTGCTTCCCTGTGGAGTTTGTCTGGTGGGGCCCCTTTGAGCACTCCAGTGCCTAGCCTCTCCCAGGGCCTTTTAGCCCACATGCTCACCACCTGTTTGCTTGTTGGCACAGGGCAGGGCCCAGGTTTATCTTATTTACTTAACATTTGGTCATCTGGCACATTATAATACCTCAGTACAGATCTTGGTGAATTATTAACTACTTTCAAACTTTACAGAAAGTTCTTATAATCTTTGTGTAGTTTAATGTTTGTAACCGTTTTCTTTTCTGTTTGCATTATCTCTCTACCTAGGCTGTTAAAAATGAAGTGAATGTCCCCTGTTTGAAAAATTTCGTGGAGATGCTTTATCAGACTACTTTTGAACTGAGCTCCAGGAAGAAGCATTCTTTGGTATTTAGAAATATTGTAAAGCTTTACATGTTTAATTGGGAGTTCTAGCAGTTGATTTATGAATTCAGGAAAGATTAAGGAGAATTATAAAATCTGAAATTGTTAAATTCCTGAAGTACAATACTAGGGAGAGTTTTTACATATGTATTTTCTATTCTTAAGTTTATGCTATTATCTCTGCCTCTGATAGGTTATTCAGACTTCCTCTTAGGAATTTACATATCTTGACAGGTCTTATAAATTTCATATTATGGGAGAGATCAAATACAGTCCTATATTTAATCATAAATTCCTTTACTTTGCATTATAATACATGTATTCCAAAGTGTTTGATTTTTTTTTTAAAGGAGACATTCTCTAACAACATCTCTTCTATTCTGAGATTGAAAGCATTTTTTCCATTTAACCCTTCATTCCATGTTACTTTTCTATAGCTTGGAGAAAGTTTAGAAAACTGGGCAAATACTTGACTATCTAAACTAGAGATCTAGCAATAATAAGCATTGATTGTGCCAGGCCTTGAGCTAAGTCCCTTGTGTTGTCTATCTTAAAGCCTTGTGGCAGTGTAGGACATTTGTGATTATCATCTCCTACTTTACATGTTTAGTGCTTAATGTAGCCATAGGCTTGGCAAATAGAAAGCCAGGACTTCAATGCCAGTCTCTCCTTTGATCCTAGGACCTGTGTTCATAACCACCATACTGGACAATGGACAAAAGGGTCCAAGGAGAAATATGAACATGTTTTAACTGTGGGAGATGGTAGTTCAAAAAGTTTTCTTTCCACTATTATGTATAACTATAATGTACTAATAAAAACTTTCAACACAAAAAAAAATTGTTCTTACAGAAAATGTATCCTTTATCATTCTTTCTGACATTATTCTATGAAATTATATTATTACAAATGGGAAAACCACATAGTAAGTTATTTTAGTTTCCTTGTTTGTTCATAAGAATAAATGAAATAATCATTTAAAAGTCATAATTTTTTCACGAAAAAATGTTAATTTTCTCTTTTCCTATCTCCTATAGGCTTTATATCCACTAATTACCTGCCTTTTATGTGTCAGTCAGAAACAGTTTTTTTTAAATAACTGGCATATTTTCCTACAGAACTGTTTGTCACATTTAAAGGTAAGATGTAATTACATTTCTCACCTGTGAATTACAGAATAAGCTGTATTCATTTCCACAAATACATTGAACAGTATATAACAAAAGCTTCCTTTTCTAAAAAAAAAAATGTTTTTTTTAGTTGTAGATAGACAAAACCTTTATTTTTTGTTGGTGCATTTGAATAATACTTTGCCACATTTAGTTCTCCTTTAGGGAATCACATATAGAAGTGCATGAACTTTTGATGGAAAATGTAGTTTGACTTAAGACAAAACTGTGTATTTTCGTGGATCATCATTTATATTATATTAGATCTAGCAATATTGGTTAATAAATAAATTTCTTAAGAATTACAAGATATCGCCAGATGAGATGATGCACACCTGTAATCACAATTCAACCTAGACCCTGTTTCAAAATTAAAAACAGAAAGGGATGGGAATGTAACTCAATGTAGTTGAATATCCATGGGTTTGATCACTATTACTGGGGGAAAAATTATGAAAGTGTTACTTAATATCATAAAACCTTCCATATATTTATTTTGTCTTTTGTTTGTTTGTTCACTTATTTATTTGGTACTGGGAATTCAACCCAGAGATGCTTTAATCCACCAAGCTACATCCCCAGCCCTTTATTTATTTATTTATTTTTGTACTGGGGATTAAACTCAGGGGCACTTGGGCACTTGACCACTGAGCCACATCCCCAGCTCTATTTTGTATTTTATTAGAGACAGGGTCTCACCGAGTTGCTTAGTGTCTCACCATTGCTCGGGCTGGTTTTGAACTGGAGATCCTCCTATCTCAGCCTCCCGAGCCGCTGGGATTATAGACATGTGCCACTGTGCCCGGACATATTTTTTAGACAGGGTCTTATCAAGTAGTTTAGGGCATTGCTAAGTTGCTGAGGCTGAACTCAAACATGCACTCCTCCTGCCTCAGCCTCCTGAATCATTGGGATTACAGGTGTACTTCAATGCACCTGGCTTTTCTTCTGTTTTGAGAAAATTTCAGAAATGTTGGCTCAAGTCTGAATAATATGAAAAGAGCTTTGATAATAAAATATCACAAAAAGTGCATTTAGTTTAACTATAACTGGTCAAATTTTAAGTGGGCTATTGGATCCACGTGAATGTAAAAGCTCCTAAAATAATTGTGATTTGAATGAAGGAATACTTGCTGCCAACACTATTTGACATATCCAGGTTCAGTCTCCCTTAGTGTTGACAGTATCTGTAAGAGATAGGACTTTCTTCTTTCCTGCTCTGCTAGCAGGACCCTCTTTTCTTCTTTGGATAGGAATATAGTTAATATCTGACACAGAGGAGGGAATACTCACCTTATGTTATGTGAATGCTCAGTGTGGATACTCCTTTCATAGACAGTTAGATGAGACTGAATATTTGCTGAAAAGCTTTGCAGACATGACATTTCCTTTCTTGTTATTCCTCTAAGTTTGACTTGAGACTAAAAATCTTTAATAGTGAAAGTGAGGCATAGGTAGATTAAATGACCTCTCTCTGGCCAGACAACTCATGTTGGTATTGTGAGAACTAGGACTGCTGTTTTCATACTTCTGGAAAGATTCACTGGGTATAATCCTGTATATTGATTTCATAATTTTACGTATCATTTTCAAAACTGTGATTTCTTAGTAAGGCATACTAAATATATGTCTTTGAAAAATACTTTTGTCTCCTTCTAGACGTATTTTGCTATTATTCATATTTGGATAAGAATTGATATACCTTCTTTGCTTTACTTTTGAAAATTATCAGAACCGAATCAGTGAAGCTGATTTAACTCTTTATGTCTTGCAACAAGGAAAGAAATTTTATTTAATTAATTGCATCATATTTGTTTCTGTCCTTATTTTGATAATTCCTACAGATATAGGTACTAAAGGTAATGGATCATTTTCTGGGTAGTATAAGTTTTCATACTTAAAAAAATATTTTTAAGATATGCATTTAAGTGTTTCTGGAAGGTTGCTTTGTTTCATGACAATTCATACTTTTCTGTTGCTGTTGGAATTTTTTTTAATATATATACACATTTCCACCTAACATATTTGCAATACTTTCGCGGTACCTTAACTTTTTTTTTGTCTTAAGGCTTTCATTTAAATTGCTCTGTTTTCTTTGAATCCTTATCTCCTGTTAAATATTTCTGGCATATTGTCCATTTTCATTAATGGCATGATAGCAATCTGCCAGACTAAAGGAGATAAGAGCCACTTAGCATGAATATTTGGAATATAATTGTCTTGGCCATTAACCCTTAGCTTACATTAAGGCTCTATTCAGCAGAAATTTTATGACTTGGCTTCTGTCTATTAAGTTTTCAGTAATGTGGCTGTTTGCATAGTTGAAGTAAGAAGTTTCAAGCATTCAAGGAAAAATTATGGTAGTTGTCAGTTATAACAGTTATAATTTATTTTGTTTCTATATTGGAAAAATTGATCCAGAATGAAGGCCTTACCTAAATTGATAAAGGTGATCAATTATTTTATTTGATTCAAATAATCTCTTGATTTAAAAAACATCTACAACAGTTTTTCACTGATTAGACTCATTTATTAGGACTAATTTTTGTTAATGTTTACTGGATGCTAGATTCATTATCTCATTTAATTTTCACTGAATAGAATATATGTAACCCATGTTTAGGAAGCCAGTAAATGATAGAGCTTTGCATCCAGATTTGCCTATCGTTATATAATTTCTGCTCTCTCTGGTCTACCATATTATCTGCAGATGTACTATGAGGAATGTTGCTGTACTGAATATTTTAAGAAAATCTTTTGGCTATAATTCTGGGATTTTAAAAAGGCATTATCTCTAGAATCATAAAATAAATATGGTGAATTTTCAAGGCGCTTTTAAGATATTACTATACCATTTTTTTTAAGCTGGTGACCATGAAAAATGGGCTTGCTTCCTGTATGCCCAGAAATAACATGTAAAAGAGTATCATTTTATTTTCACTAAAGAGTTATATTTCTTATTTATGTCCCAAAGAGTATTTGGTAGCTTTCTATATCTATTTTATCAGTTTAGGTGCTTAAGTGAAAAGTGATTTTCAAGTTTTTGAAGAATTATTAAGGGAGATAAAGGAATAATAGGAGTAGATCACAGTTAAAAATAATCGATACTTATTTTCTTTAAAAAAATTGAAGTTGTTTGAACTCACGAGTAGTGTTTTAAGAGGAAAAATTAGGCAGTTAAAATTTTAACTGTTTGCTGTTAGTTTGAGTGTTGTAGGTATATATCCCATGATGCCCAAATTGTAGATTTTTTTCCCCTTAGAGTTTCTGGCCACCATCTTGAAAGTTTCAAATTTCTTCTAAATAGAGACCTTGGTGAAGAGCCGTCTTGTTTTGTGCTTATTTTCATCTAACATGCATGTGCTGCATCTCATGTTTATGTTTGCTGTCTCACATTGCTTTATTTAGATGCCATCTAACAACAGTATCAGAAAACAAATAGAAACACTCCAGGTGAGTTGTGTTGATGTTACAAAGTAAAATATTGCTTTATTTTCTTTAAGTGTGGCATTTGTTTTTCCTTTACCCATTGTTGCATTGCATGTCTAATGTATTTGTTAAAACCTGCTTCTGTTAATGTTAAAGAAAGGGTGGCTCACAGCAGAGCATTCTTCAGAGGTTTATGATTAATGTAGCCCCAAGAAGGTGGATGTAAGAGAAAGAAATGATACTGAATGCTGATTCTGCACCAGACTTTACTGCTTAAAAATATTGTTTAATTCATATTACATAACTGTTATAAATCAGAGTAAGTGTTAGATGATCATTTTCCATTGCAATTAAGGAGATAGTAGCTTAGATTTTAAATGTGATCTTGATGAATGAATTTTTTAAAAACTTTTATCACATGGGTTTGAGGTTTCTTAAAACATATTTTTAGTTGTAGATGGACACAGTATTTCTATTTAATTAATTTATTTATTTAAAATTTATTTTTTAGTTGTAGGACACAATACCTTTATTTTATTTATTTTTATGTGATGCTGAGGATTGAACCCAGTGCCTCACACATGCTAGGCAAGCACTCTACTACTGAGCCCTAGCCCCAGCCCGGGTTTGAGTTTTTAACAAATTATTTTTAAGTCCAGAGTAGAAGAAAGGGAAGAAACATTAAATGATTCCCACAAAGGTCATATTTAACTGACTTATCAAAACTTTGTTGTATGTTAATGTTATTTGGCTTTTATTTATGTGAAAATCTGATTATTCAAGTTACACCAAAATTGTGACTAGGAAATTTCATCTCCTCATGTAAGGTTCAGATCAATTTAGGATTCTTTTTTTATTTGAACATATATAACAGCATTGTGGCAATTGAAAATCATTAATAATTGCTTTTTTTTTAATCACTTATCATCTTGCTTTTTTCATATTGTGATGGTGTTAACTTTGTAGTCCATCTTGGAAAGTCTGAAACTCAATTTTTTTTATGCCAGATAGTTTATCAGTTCAAATAGTTGAAGTATGTTTACATTTAATCTTTTATATGAGCACATTATTAGCACATTATTAAATCCTCATTTACATTAAGTAGGACAAATATTTTTAATGTATAATTTTCATTGACATTTTAGAAATATAATTTAATGTAAGTTTAACTTGGCATATATATAAAAACTAGTTGAACTAGTTTTTTAAAAAAATATTTTTAGAGCAGTTTTAGGTTCACAGCAAGATCAAAAGGAAAGAACAGAAATTTCCCATATTTTTCCTCTTCCACAGTTGTATTCTCTCCCCCATTATCAACATCCCTCAGCAGAGTAGTACAGATATTACCATTGATGAACCTCCCCCAGTGCATGTTATCACCCAAAGATGGTAGTTTTACATTAGAGTTTAATGTTAGTCTAGTACATTCTGTGGGCTTTGACATGTATCCACCATGATAGTATTAAACACAGTTTATTCACTGCCCCAAACATCTTCTGTACTCTGCCTACTCATCTTTCCCTACCTTCTTAACTCCTTGCTGAACTCATATTTTGATATTTGATATCTGGGATTTAGATGATAGAAAAAAGTTATGTTCTGTTAAAAGCATTATTATAAAAAGCATTATATTGGTTGTTTATTAGTAATATGCATATGTTATATGCCACTTCAGTTACATTTTTAACAAGTAGAAAACTACTTGAGGAAGTGTATTTGAAATTTGGGATCATTATTGATCTGGCAGATCAATGTTGATTAACTTGAGACTCTTGACCAGTTGAGTAATTGATTTCCATTTCTAATTTTATCAAATCTTCATGTATATAGATGTACAAGCAATTATGTTTTCTAGTAGGTAAGTCTTTTATGAAAATACTCCCAGTTATCTTTTCACATTTCTTTTAATCATATATTATAGATATCTATTGTAGTATATCTCAAGAAAATCAAACAGAATGGCTAAAGTTATTTTTAAAAACTCTTCATTAGTTGATGTATATAAAATAATCTTTAGCAATAAGAAATACCTCAACCAGATTATAAAATTGTAAATGTACAGTATCTTAATGAATGAACTCTACAAATAATCAACACATGTTTAAAGAGTTTCTCTTAATAAAGGAGGTGATTAGCTACATTTTTAAAATTCACAATTAAATTTCATTATATGACTGTGGTCATGTAAGAATTGTACTTTTAAAAACACCTAGAAAGAAACAGTTTGCTGATCAAATTGTGACTGAAATAATAATAATTTTGTGATTCCAAATAACAATAATAATAATTTAAATGATAATGGTCTGATTTCCAAATGAAAGTTGGAGGTGTAACACCTACCACTTAGTGAACATCTAACAGGTACTGTGTACTGTCCCTGGTGCTTTATAGATACTAATTTTCTTAATCCATGAGACAGGTGCAATATTTTTTCCATTTAAAAGATGAAGAAGTTGTGGTACAGAGTGATTTAACAGTGCCCAAGGATGGATTTGGATTTGATTCCAGGTGTTTTTAATTTTAGAATCATGCTTTTAACTCCCTGTACATAGTCTCTCTTATAATAATATGCATTCAATAATAATTGGCATTATATCATATATGCAAATGACTATAATACCGTTTGTTTTTTAAACTTTAAATGCATATGGGCTGCAAATGAATTACTCTAAATATGAATAATCTTCCTGTCATGTCAAACAAGTTCTTATTTGAATGACTGGAAGCTGTAGAATTAGACTATTGTAGTATGAACTATTAAGTAATTTGTGTGTACAACTTTGGAGTCCTAGAAATATTGCTAGAATTCTATATTTTGGTGTCTTATTTTGAGGGTATAAAGAAGGGCTTAGAAGCACCTTATTTTATGATTAGTTTTGAGCCATCTTTACTTTCACTTACTAAATATTTAAACATCTTTTAGATTGAATTTAGTAACCGGAGTTGGAGGCTTTTAGTTGTTGGCAGAGATATGATCTTAGTTGTTGCAAGTGTTTTAATAAGTGTATTCTTATTCTGTCTTGTTTTTAAACAGAATAAAGATCCTAAAATGTCTCGAGTTGCACTGGAATCCTTGTATAGATTGTTGTGGGTTTATGTAATTAGAATAAAATGTGAAAGCAACACTGTAACTCAAAGGTGAGTACCTTTGTTTTAAAATATGTTTAAGATAAAGTGTTGGGACTGGGGGACATGGCTTGGTGGCAGAGCAACACACGCTTAGCATGTACAACGCCCTTGGTTTAATCCCCAGCACCAAAATTAATGAAATAATAAAAGAAAATCTTGTTTAAAAAAGAATCACACTAACGGAATTTTAGTTAAATATTTGGAGGAAGGAATAGAAGTTCTCTTGACATAAAGAATAGGAAGACCTTTTTGCTAATATGCTGCTAACTTCATGGTTTCATTATGTTGAAATCTTTTCTTCCTGTAGTCGTCTCATGAGCATAGTGTCAGCACTTTTTCCAAAAGGCTCCCGAAGTGTGGTTCCTCGAGACACACCTCTCAACATATTTGTGAAGATTATTCAGTTCATTGCTCAGGTGAGTAATCTATTGTCATAAATTGGAGTTCAAAAATTTTTTTATACATCTAAAAACATGCCATCAAAACATGGGTTAATGTTGAATGGTGAAAGGTAAGATTGCTTATTAAATAGTAAAAGAAAAATATGTTAATTTTTTTGAGGGAGGTTGACAAAATAGGTTTTAATCGTTAGTTTAAATACTTCGAGAAGGACAGAAAGATGCACAAGTTTAAGCATTTTCAATTTAGGAAAGGCAGAGTGTCTAATATGTTAGTCCATTCACTAATTATCACTGAGTATCCTAAAAGATTTCTTTGAAAATTATTTTCATAATCTGTCTTCACCCAGGTTCTCAGGTACAGATACAGAATCCACAGTAGCTAGTTAAACCCACAGGGACCTTTTAAGGAAGACACATAGCTCACAGAATTACTAGCAGGATTCAAACAAGTTCTTATTTTAATGACTGGAAGCTGTAGAATTGGACTATCAGAAGCTGCTCCCCCTACCAGAATCAAAAAACTGTTACATAAGGAAGTCACTCTGGGCGAGATCATGCATGCCTGTAATCCCAGTGACTCTGGAAGCTAAGGTAGGGGGATCACAAATTCAAAGCCAGCCTCAGCAACATAGCAAGATGGTCCATGAACAACTTAGTGAGATCCTGTCTCAAAATAAAGAATAAAATGGGCTGGGGATGTGGCTCAGTGGTTAAGCATCTCTGGGTTCAATCACTAGTACCAAAAAAAAGGAAGTTGCCATATAGGATGAGTATCATGCCATGATCCCCACTGGTAAAATTGATTCCTCCTCTCTTCTTCACCCCCATGCACTTTTTCTTCCTCATGACCCCAGACTCACATTAGTACATCACCTGGCAGGATTACATCACATACTGAAGCCTTTTTTTGTAAGGCATTCTCTGAAATATAATTTTAGCTTTGTAGCTGCTGCCGTAAAGGAGGTTATTAGAAAGGGATTAAATGTGTGTTGAGTGAGCTAATCAAAGGTTTTTGCCATATTCTTTTTTGGGACATCAGCCCTGGAGAAACGGGTAAGATTAGTACCTCAATTTAGAAAGATGCTCATTCTAGAACAAATTATTATGTTCTCTTAGCACTGAAGCTATGACAGTTTAGATGCTCTATAATGAAATCTTATTTTTTACAGTGAAGAAATAAAGGACTATTTAAACAAATACATTTTAATTTATTAGAGCAGAGAAGTAATGATAATTAGATAAGAGTATCAAAAAGACTGATAAAACAAATTGTGTCTTAGATCTAATGTTCAGAAAACTAATGTCATTAGGTTGCCTTTTTCTTTGTTTCTAGAATTGTGCGCATCCCAGCACAGCAGTAGATCTGTAACACTCCTCTCAAACATTGGTTAATCCGATGATTTATCTTTTTTTCCCTTGGAGAGCTCCTTGCCAGAGCCCTTCCGCCCCTGACTTGCTGCCCTCAAGACCTGCTATACACCTGTCATCTTAGGACTTCCTTTCATCATCCTTCTACCAATTCTTTCACTTAGATTATAAATGATAAGTCATATTTTAACCTTAATTCATATGTGTTTTTCTTCTGTTTAAATGTATGGATTTTTTTAAGGCACAAACCTGTATCATTGCCATTATATGCACAATTTTTATTTATTTATTTTTTTTAAATTTTTTATTGTGGGTTGTTCAAAACATTACAAATTTCTTGACATATCATATTCCACTCTTTGATTCAAGTGGGTTATGAACTCCCACCTTCACCCCATACACAGATTGCAGAATCACATCAGTTACACATCCATTGATTTACATATTGCCATACTAGTGTCTGTTGTGCTCCACTGCCTTTCCCATCCTCCACCATCCCCCCTCCCCACCTCTCCCCTCCCCTCCCCTCCTCTCTCTCTACCCCCTCCACTGTATAACCCTGAGGGTCTCCTTCCATTTCCATGCAATTTCCCTTTTCTCTCCCTTTCCCTCCCACCTCTCATCTCTGTTTAATGTTAATCTTCTTCTCATGCTCTTCGTCCCTACTCTGATCTTAGTTACTCTCCTTATATCAAAGAAGACATTTGGCATTTGTTTTTTAGGGATTGGCTAGCTTCACTTAGCATAATCTGCTCTAATGCCATCCATTTCCCTGCAAATTCTATGATTTTGTCATTTTTTAATGCAGAGTTATACTCCATTGTGTATAAATGCCACATTTTTTTTATCCATTCGTCTATTGAAGGGCATCTAGGTTGGTTCCACAGTCTTGCTATTGTGAATTGTGCTGCTATGAACATCGATGTAGCAATGTCCCTGTAGCAAGCTCTTTTTAGGTCTTTAGGGAATAGACCAAGAAGGGGAATAGCTGGGTCGAATGGTGGCTCCATTCCCAGCTTTCCAAGAAATCTCCATACTGCTTTCCAAATTGGCTGCACCAATTTGCAGTCCCACCAGCAATGTACAAGTGTACCCTTTTCCCCACATCCTTGCCAGCACTTGTTGTTGTTGTGTTTTTTTTTTTTTAATTTTTTATTGTTGGCTGTTCAAAACATTACATAGTTCTTGATATATCATATTTCACACTTTGATTCAAGTGGGTTATGAGCTCCCATTTTTACCCCATATAATGGCTGCCAATCTTACTGGAGTGAGATGGTATCTTAGGGTGGTTTTGATTTGCATTTCTCTGACAGCTAGAGATGTTGAGCATTTTTTCATGTACTTGTTGATTGACTGTATGTCCTCCTCTGAGAAGTGTCTGTTCAGGTCCTTGGCCCATTTGTTGATTGGGTTGTTTGTTCTCTTATTGTCTAATTTTTTGAGTTCTTTGTATACTCTGGATATTAGGGCTCTATCTGAAGTGTGAGGAGTAAAGATTTGTTCCCAGGGTGTAGGCTCCCTATTTACCTCTCTTATTGTTTCTTTTGCTGAGAAAAAACTTTTTAGTTTGAGTAAGTCCCATTTGTTGATTCTAGTTATTAACTTTTGTGCTATGGGTGTCCTATTGAGGAATTTGGAGCCCGACCCCACCGACTGTAGATCATAGCCAACTTTTTCTTCTATCAGACAGCGCGTCTCTGATTTGATATCAAGCTCCTTGATCCATTTTGAATTCACTTTTGTGCATGGCGAGAGAAAGGGATTCAGTTTCATTTTGTTGCATATGGATTTCCAGTTTTCCCAGCACCATTTGTTGAAGATGCTATCCTTCCTCCATTGCATGCTTTTAGCCCCTTTATCAAATATAAGATAGTTGTAGTTTTGTGGATTGGTTTCTGTGTCCTCTATTCTGTACCATTGGTCCACCCGCCTGTTTTGGTACCAGTACCATGCTGTTTTTGTTACTATTATATGCACAATTTTTAGATGGGACTTAATATATACTAGCAAGTTACGGTTTTTTGTTTTTTTTAAAAAATAGGAACGTTTGGATTTTGCAATGAAAGAAATAATATTTGATCTTCTCAGTGTTGGAAAATCTACTAAAACTTTCACCATTAATCCAGAGGTAAGAATATATATAATATACTAATAATGTATATTTCTATATACCATATATAATAATATGCCATATATAATTACTACCATATATAATATATATACCACATATAATAATTATATACCATATACAATTACTACCATATATAATAATACATGATAATAATATACCTCCCTGTACTATTTACTTATTTCCTTTGAGCAAAGTTTCTGGAATCAAAACTTTTAGGTTTAAATCTTAGTTCTACTTCTAACTACAACTGTGATTCAGAACAAGTTATTTCACCTCTCTGAGCCCTGCTGAATTATTTAATGGTCATATTAAGCCTTGTAGGAAATAACAGAGGGATTAAATTCTCCAAGATATGCAGCTCATCTGGCTTCTAGAAGTTCTGACATGAACTTAGGTTTTTTTTTACTTTGAATGATTTCTATTTGAGGTACTTATTAATAAATATCAGCCATTCAGCATTTTTTGGGCACCTAAAATATTCCAGGCACTATTCCAGGTGTTACAGAAAGACAAGAATCCTTTTACCCAGAAGGAGCTTACAATAAAGAATAGTAATAATATGTAGTAAATATTGTATCCTACCTTTGCTGATTTTATGCTTGAGTCTTTATGTTTCAAAATATTTTATGACCTAATTTCCTGATGACATTTGAAAATATAAAAAGGCAAAGTAGGACTGGGGCTTTAGCTCAGTGGTAGAGCACTTGCCTCGCACATGTGAGACACTGGGTTCAATCTTTAGCCCCACATAAATAAATAAAGATATTTTTAAAAAATACTTTTTAAAAAAAGACAAAATAGGTGTTATCTTTGTTCTTATTTATTTTAAAGTACTATGCTGGTCCTCATAATTGAATTCTAAGATATATGTTTGTGGTAACAAGTGGATTTGAAAGTTATTCAAGTTTTTTACTTGTAGGTTTTAAAAATAAGCTATTACTTAAATTGGGTAGATGGGAGTGTTTTTGTAGATAACATATTTAACGTGGCTTCCAGCAACAAAAGTCAAAGAACAGAAGATTTTTTCTTTTTAAAAAATATTTTAAAAAATATTCTCTCCATTGAAGTTGATTTCTGAAAGTAAAATCTTTTCCTCACCAAAGTTCTTACTAGGACTAGGAAAAGTTTTAATTCTGTTGGTTTGTTTTAAGGGTTATTGTTATCATCCAGGCTTACTATATTAGGATTATATTCGATCTGTATTCCCTATTTAGAAATCTTTTTAAGCTTGTGAAAGCTGGTTTAGTTAAAAATCACATTAAATTATCCCTTAGCCCTCTTATTCAAATTGCAAATTGCAAGAAAGAAGGTACAGGTGAAGCAACCACAGTTAACCTTGCTACACTGTAGAACTTCCTGCTTCTTCCACTGGTCTCCTTCAACTGAGTGAAGCTTGACCATCTGATAGGTAGATAAAGGGAGGGCTTCATTGCCCTGCCATGTCTAATGATGAGTGAAGCTTAATGTTTTCATTTTATTTAGACAACAAAAAATGTTTTCTTCCTGTATTCCAGTGAACTACCTAACCCAGTCACTGGGAGGCTTGCACCCTGCCATAGAGAGCACTGGTGCAGGTTGGAGTGAGTTACATCTTGGGCTGAAGTGGTAGGGATGCAGACAGAGGTGAGGCAGGCCATTCACTGAAAAATGGAATATCGAGTAGCAATCAAGTTTGAGGAAAATATTAAGTCTAATCTGGGGCATCTTTTGGATGTCTGAGAAGAGAAATCACACAGGTCTGAGGGTCTGGGTTCAGAGGAGAGGCATGGGATTTGTTGGTGGTCTGGGATGGATGGTATTTGAATCTGTGAGTATGTGAACTTTCTTTGGGAGAAAATACATAACTATAGAAGGAGGAAGCTTAGGAGTCTGACATGTAGGTAGTGATGAAATGGCCAGTCCATGGTACAAAATAGCAAAGGAAGGGAGTGTGTCAGGTGGGGAGGAGCACTTAGTGGTACCTGTGCTACTGAAAATCCAGTAGGACTCCAGAGAAGGCCCACTGGTCACTGATGAATGAGAATTGCTTCAGAGAAGCAGTATGGGAATATCCAGTGCATTAAGATAACCTGAATATGAGAAGAGATCATTGATGGTGGAATGTTCCAGAAAATGCAAAAGCATATAGGATTTCAAAAAGTAGTAAGGCCTTCTTTGCCTGCACTGTATCAACAACAAAGAGGAGGAATAAGAAGTACCATTTTGAGTAGATTGGTACAGTTTGTGGAGAGAGGTTGAGAAAAGTTGTTTTTTCTCCCTCTTGTGAATTGAAAGAAAAGTCATTTGCTTAGAAAGAGGAAAGTATGGACCGAAGAAGTCAAGGTAAGCTGAGGAAAAAGGAAGAGGTGTGGAATACACTTGGAGGATAGGAGAGACACTTGACCCCAGAAGGGAATGGGTGGGATTTGGGGATTTGAATCTAAAGCAAAACTCTAGTGCCTAGACTGGTTATTTTTCCTTCTGTCTTCTTTCTGCCATCTCCCCTAGTGTTATTTGGTAAGATATTTCTCACATGAAAGAAGATAATGTATGGCACTGATTTCTTCCTTTTGAAACTTTTTTCCTCTAAAGAGAATGAACATAGGCCTCAGAGTCTTCCTTGTAATTGCCGACAGTTTGCAGCAGAAAGATGGCGAACCCCCCATGCCCACAACAGGAGTTATTCTTCCCTCAGGAAATACTCTTCGTGTGAAGAAAATTTTTCTTAATAAAACTTTGACAGATGAAGAGGCAAAAGTCATAGGTTAGTGTCAACTGGAAGAAATAAATTACTTTGTAATATTATTTAATATTCTTTCTAAAATTATCTGATCAAATCTAAAGTATATATTTGCTAAATATGGTTATTTTAGTATATACATTAGTATCAAATAAATACATTTTTGATAATGTTTGTATGTCTTCATGTTGAGAGTCTTCTTGTTAGATCTAATTTCTCACAGGATATGTTTCACTCAATTTTATCCTTTCTTCTAGTTAATTTGTATTCTCTGCATAATTTTTGTATAATTCCTCCACTTATTCCAAAATACTAAAGCTGATCAGGGAGAAGAATATTTTATAGTTGAAACTCCTTCTTTGTGATAATAGTAGGCTCATGTCATTTAAAGATTGATAGACTCAAGCTTGGTGGTACATGTCTGTAATCCCAGTTACTCCAGAGACAAAGGATAGAGGATTGCAAGTTTGAGGCCAGTCTGGTCAACTTAGAGAGACCCTGACTCAAAATGAAATTTTGAAAAGGAATGGGGATGTGACTCGGTGGTAGAGTGCTTGGCTAGCATATATGAGATTCTGGGTTTAACTTAAGATCAATGGGCTTTTATTACCCAAACTAACAATTATTTTTATAATTTCTGATGTATTCTAACTATGAGATTTTTTTTGCCCTAGGAATGTCAGTTTATTATCCTCAAGTAAGAAAAGCATTAGATAGCATTCTCCGACATTTGGACAAAGAAGTTGGAAGACCAATGTGTATGACTAGTGTGCAGATGTCTAATAAGGAGCCTGAAGATATGATTACGTACGTAGTAAATGATTTACCTTCATTGCTATTTCACTTTTCATAAAAGTTCAGATGGTTCATTCTTACTTACCTGTTCTCTTTAAACTTCTCCCAAGTTGCCATCTGCTGTACTTTTGAATACAGTGACTCCTTCCACATGTCAGTTTTATTCTTTAACTTAATGTTCAACTAGTGCAGTAACAGAAGTCACTCTGGGTCCCAGTGTAGTTACCAACTAAAGGCCTTACATTTATTCAGTGAATAAATTCAGATGAGTGTTGTATGGGCATGATTAGGTTATTAAGACACAAGCAAATGCTCTTACTTCCAGAGTTAATTAAAAAAACAAAACACAAAAAAAGACAAAGAAATTCCAAAAACCAGAACTTGGGTATTTTTGTCTCTTAGAACCAGGGGGTATACATAGGGGAATAATGTTTGAGTAGTTTCTTGTAGAAACTACTTCTACCCCATCCCCACACGATATTTGTCATCCCAGTGTCTTCTATATTGTTGGGGACTTACTCCTCAGGAGACTGTATTTTATAGCAGCAACTTCTTTTGTTTTCTAGAAAACATTTGCATATTCTCTATAAGGGAGATTTTTATGTGTTCTAATATTTGCATTACAGTCTGATGTAACTATAATTGTGCTTTTGTGATACAAATATGCATATTTAAATTTTATGTAATGTGCATTTTAGTTGCAATATACAGTTTTTATATGCTGCTGTATTCTAATTTCTCTGAGCTTCTGTAATGTGAAGTTTTTGTCTATATTCCCTTCTCTGAGATATCTTTCTTCTTGTCACCAGAACCATTTTCCTCATGTAAGTCAGTAAGTTTGCATTCCATTCCTCTGACTTTCTTGTAGTGTCTGAAGTGGCAGCAGTATCAATATTCCCTTATCTGCTATTTCTTCTGTAATTCCATTAACATTCAATTTGAATTTCACTTCTAATGCATTTTAATTTAGGGTCTTTAGGGTCTTTCAGTCATGAGGAGAGACACAAGATGAAAATAAAGATTTTATTACTTATAAGTCCTTCAGGGAGAGGTGGGGGTTGTACACAGCACACCTGGAGGCCACACACACACACACACACACACACACACACACACAGAGAAGGGTGTTATGAAGGGAAAAAGAAAGAGAAAGGGACTCATGGGTCCAGAGTGTTATTCAAACAGGTTTCCTTCAAGATGTTTTAGTAGTTGTGTTTAAAGCAAGCAGTCACAAGGTCCAGGAGGTAATTCTGTAACTAAGAAATGGCCATGGTGGCTTATCTGCACAGTACACACAGGGTGCTGGTGTCCATGAGGCCAGTCAGCCAGGGTGTATCTAGCTGTCCCAGGGGGAGGTGGCACATACCTGGATCTGTCACATCAAGTAAATGGTGGGGAATGAGGAGTGTATGTAGAATTAGAAAGTGGGTCAAGAGTGACTGAGCCCTGTGCCTTAAATGAGAAAATTAAACTTGTATTTAAAAACAAATGCCAGGGCAACATAAAATTATAATTAAACTACAGCCATATCTCTTCCTTTCTTTGCCGCACTTGCATCTTTGTTGGCTGATTTTTCTCCTTTGATTCTCCAATTTTATAAAATGTCACATGGCTTTATCACTGGGAAACAAGCAGGCAACATCCCTGCACCCTTGGCTGGCTGTGTGAGAACTGGGTGGCAGGTGTACACTGACTGGGCTCCCACAGCCCTGAAAGACGTGGTGTGGTCAGTCACTGATCATGGTGTGCTTTTGTCACTCACACAGCACCTATGGACTAACAAGCCAATAGCAAATTTTGTGCCATTAGCTAATGTAGAGTAGCTGAAATTTATTTCTTTATTAATTAAATAATATATGTGATTTAACTAAATCAGTGACTGAAACTCACGCATTTTGGACCCATGCAAAGAATGGACCAAACACATAAACATCTCTAGAAAAAATATTGAATCATTGCCCCTATAACAAATACTGACCCAAAACACTTGGAACATTCCTAATTATTTTCTACATAAGGATTATTTTATTAGGCCAAATGGAGAACAATTTTGATAAAATATATCTAAAAACCTTACATTGAAATATAGGCTGAAATTAAACAATTAAGAGGTTAGATATTTAAAATTAATAATAACTGAAACCCTCAAATAGCTATAAGAGGATATAGTAGAAGAGCTGGGGTTGAGTTCAGTGGGAGAATACCTGCTTGGAATGCCCATGGACATGGATTCAGTCACTAGCACCCCACAAAAAGAAAGGTAGAAAGGAAGGCAAGAAATAAAATATAAGAGAATTAAATTATTAAGCCTCTGCTCTGGAGAGACCAGGAGTCTCAAAAATTGGCACATTTTAGCCAGATGTGGTGATGTACACCTGTAATCTCAACAATTTGAAAGGCCAAGACAGGAAGATTCTAAGTGTGAGGCCAGCCTCAACAATTTAGCAAGACTGTCTCAAAATAAAAAGAGCTGGGGGCTGTAGCTCAGGGGTAAAAGCACCCCTGGGTTCAATCCCCAATACAAAAACAAAAGGCACATTTTATTATATAAAATTTAAACATATATGTTTGTATGTGTATCACAAAAGGACAAAAAAATTAATGCCAACAGTGATATATAAGAATGTCTGATTCTGAAACCCTTGTTAGTATGGAATGTTAAATGAAAAAAAAAATTTTGTTGTTAATTTTATAGGCCCCAAATAATAGATATTCAATTATGTCAACACTACTATTCATAATATTAGTATTTAATGAATGTTTATGGAAGGCTAAATTGTTTTAAATAATCTGATTTTTATTTAAAGTATTATAATTTGTTTACATATTATTTGATAAAGTTGATGTGCTTTGTTTGTAATTAATGAAAACTTTATTGCTTGCTGGCTGTCTTTTTCTGGAATTATCTCTGTATTCTTTTATCTGCTGCTGGGTTAATTTTCTACTGGATTTGTCTTAATGTACTTTTCATATTAAGTGCAATAAGCTTGGGGACAGGCTCCCACCTACTGTAATAATTTTTGCAAATTTGATTTCATTGTGCATCGTATATAATACACTTCTTATTAAGTTCTTTGTGATATGTTTTTCAGGGGGGAAAGAAAACCTAAAATTGATTTGTTTAGAACTTGCATCGCTGCAATTCCAAGGTTGATTCCTGACGGTATGAGCAGAACTGATCTCATTGAATTGTTAGCAAGGTAAATAAGAATTATTATTATCTGCTGTGCTGATTTTTATGTCTTTACTATCCCTTTAAATTTGTGATACACTTCTGTTTTTAACACTGCAAACCAGTAATGAAGACATTTTCAGTCCTTTATTTGATTTACTTTCTAAGTCCCTGTTGTCTTTTATTATTTATTAAACACATTCTCCCTATTCAGTTTTAACTTCTGAAGTTCTTTTGGATTTCCATACAGATCCCATTTTTCAATTCTTTATCTTTCTATCTGGTAATAGTTCCTTGGATTTATATGACAATTATTCCTTCACATATGGGCATTATCAGTGTGTGGTGACACCCAGTTAGGAATTAATTACTGTGTTTACTCCTACAGTCATTTCTTTAGTATCCTGGGTGGTGATCAGGTCTTTTCTTTCTCCCCATTTTTCTCCTGTGACAGAGCCTATAGCATTTAAGTTTATTTTTTTTTTCTTTCTTTTATCATGATATAGCTCTACAAAATGAGGAAATGTCATGACAACCAAACTTAAATACTAGCTCCTAAAACTAATTCTGAGTTGCACTGGTGACCTATTGAAAAACTTCCTTGTTGGTACCAGTAGGGACTCCCTAGATAAGCGGTCAACAATTTTTTTCTGTAAAGGACCGAATAGTAAACATCTTAGGGTTTGCAGATCATATCTCTACCATGTAGTTCAACAGCAGCCAGCAATGATCTGTAAAGGAGTGGGTGTGACTGTGGGAATGGGCGTCCATCTGGCTGGATTTAGCCCTTGAGCCACTGTTTGCCAGCCCCTACCCTAGATGGAAAACCAAGTATACTAACTGTAATAGAACAGGGATGCTCAGCTCTGTTGAAAAATATGTACTGGTTGCTGGGCACTTACCACTGAGACTCAAATCAAATATGCAATGAATAAACGGTGAATAGATTGCTCCAGGTTCCCTCCACCCTCTTCTTGGGAATACCTGGTGTTCAAACAGCCACATACCACCCTGTCAGCTGTTAAGGTTGGGGCCAGAGATAGAATGGTCTTTGTCTCTCGTGAGTAGAGGAAAAAGGGGTTGCTTTGAAACTTGACACCATTCCATAAATTCCTCCTTTTCCACTCTGCCTCTTAATTTTTGCTGCGAATTACATTACAGAGTTACAAAATTTCATGCCAACATCAGAAATTAGAGATATATTATTTATAACACTCTTCCTTGGGAGAGCACTGAACAGCTGCTGTTCTTACTCTGCTCTTACTCCTCCCACCTCTGCTTAACTCACCTGAGATTTTGTGAAGGATGACCACCATGATGGGTTTCCCATATTCTCCAACTGAATGAAACTGCACCTGTAAGGGGCAGTGACTGGGGAGCCTAGGAAAGAAGCCAGCATCTGAACATTGAATGACAATTTGCTTTGCTTCTTTCCCTCATGACATTTGTTTCCTGATTAATTGACTCAGTGGAAAGGAAGACTCTAGGGTCTGTTCTCTCTTGTACTCTACCCCTATCATTTGGAATTGTGATGTTAAGCAAATCTTGACTTAAAGTAAAGGATATAAAGTTAATTAGTTTCCCTACCTTTAATCAGCCAGGACTCATTGTTACCTCATTTTCACAAGGAATAGTTAACTCATGGATCTTTGTCCTGAGTCGCACAGATGGGTGTATGATCAATGGTACATTCATGGATTTGAGGGATGTTGAAATAACCTTTAAGTCAGCATTGTGGACAGTGTCTCCCTTGGTGTGTCACTCATAGATAGAACACACTGGGCCACAGAGCCTTGTTCTGACGGTTTCCTTGTGATGTGCTGATGTAACTACTACTGCTGCTTCATGTCTCATGCCCAAATCTGTGAGGCTGGAATACCTATTCTTTTCAGCCTCCTTCTTAGTGGAAGGTTGGTTTGGTGAAGACCAGAACTGAGTTCAGCAGGGTAGACACTGTGGTCCCTCCTTTCTCCTAAACCGTGCAGCTTCCCTCCTGTCATTGTGCATGACTCCAACTGCTCAGCTTCCCTTGCACTTTTGCAGTTATGGTGTGGTAGGGATTTTTTTTTGTTCTTTAATACTGGGAATTGAAACCAGGCTTGCTTAACTTAACCACTGAGCCACATCCCCAGCCCTTTTTATGTTTTATTTAGGGACAAGTTCTCACTAAATTGCTGAGGATGGCTTTGAACTCATGATCCTCCTGCCTCAGCCTCCTAAACTGCTGGTATTACAAGCATGCGCCATTGCACTTGGCATTGTGTTGTATTTTAATATTAACTTTGTTTTGGTACTGGGGATGGAACCCAGGAGCACTTAACCACTGAAGCACATCCCCAGCCATTTTTATTTTTTATTTTGAAACAAGGTCTTGCTAAGTTGCTGAGGCTGGCCTTGAATTTGCAATCCTCCTCCCTCATCCACCTGAGATGCTGGGATTACAGGCGTGCACCATTACACCAACTTAATATCACTTTTTTGTCATATTCTTTTAGGCTAATTCTAACTCTAATACATTTGTCTTTAATTGTCAGTCACCAAATAATCCTCTTCAGCCCCAAATTTGAAACTCCTGTTCATCTGGTAATAGACATTCGTGGCTTCACTACGGCAGCTTTTTTTTTTTTTTTTTTTTTTTTTTTTGATGATTTTCTTATTCATCATTCTCTTTTTTTAATGTTTGGTTAAAATCCTATAACTGAAATTATGTTCAAGGCCTTGTAATATCTTGATTGTTTTAAAAAATAATTTTGTATAGCCTCTTCTCTAATTTAATTTATTTAGACTTAAACTCTCTTTGGGGCCTTGGGTGTTGAGTCAACCTATTTTTTTCCCCTAGGCGTGTACCATTTATGATGCAACTCCCAGACTTACTCATATTCTTACCTTCAAGAATAATTGCTATTAATTGATTCCATCTTTATTTTGTATTTTCTTTTTCATAATCAGCCATCTTATATAAAAGTAACCTCAGCTACATATAGGAAATAACTGAGATAAGTCATGTCCTTTCCCATGATGTTAAAGGACTAAATAAATGTGAGATAGTGCTAAGATATTATGTGACTTGATATAATATTTTATTGACTATAAAATAACACAGTATTTTGAAGTTTGAAAGTTTAAATGCATTCCTGACATGCCGTCTGTATTCTGTTTTAAACTATAGCATTTAAATTAGGATCAGAGATGTCATTCCGAATTATAGTGAAAATACCAACTGATGTGAATAGATTCATGTAGACTTAGTTGGCATAAGGGATGAGTATCACAAGAAAGTGAACATTGGCTCCTGTCTTTGCACTTTTTACAAACCAGTGAAGAGGACATATATTTTAGCGACTTAGTTTTTAAGTTTAAATGATAAGACTCTAGGATAGATTTTGAGGTATCTAATGGAATTTTGTTCTCGGTAGGCTCACAATTCACATGGATGAAGAACTGCGTGCTCTGGCTTTCAATACTCTGCAGGCACTAATGCTTGATTTTCCAGATTGGCGGGAGGATGTTCTTTCAGGATTTGTTTATTTTATTGTTCGTGAAGTGACTGATGTCCACCCCACGCTTCTTGATAATGCTGTAAAGATGTTGGTACAATTAATAAATCAGTGGAAACAAGCAGCCCAAATGCATAACAAAAACCAGGACTCACAGGTACCAAATTCTCTTATACTCTCCCTTTGTATATGATCAGTGGTAAATGACCAATAATGATGTCAATATAGGTTTACATTCTCAAAAATTTATATTAGTTTTACCTACTCTTAATGTGTTCTTAATTCCTTGCACTGAGCTTCCCAGTAGTGGGTATGTTAAATACAAAATGTTTGTGTTTCGCACCTTTTCCCACTTATTGTTATCCCTTTGATAACAATTCTATTTTAGTGAGCATAGAAAGTAGAGCTAATTCTAGCTCTCATTTAGATTGTTTCTGATATTTTCTAAACTTACACAATAAAAAATTTTGGTAGTCTTCCATTTGGAGCATCTGACTATTTTATCAAAGGCACCAATCCCTGCTTCACATTTAGTGTCTGTGTTCCTTAACAATAAAAGATGCTTAAATTGTTGGTTGATGATAATGTGTAAATCATAGAATCTTGGAATTTTAGAGTGGCACCATCTAAGCCAACCCAGCTTTCCAACCTTTAATGAGCATATGACTCACTGATGGCTTAAGAATCTCTGTTTCTAACAGATTCCAAGTGATGCTGTGCTGCTGGTCCACCTTGCAGTAGGAAAAATGTAAACTCCTCTCAGTTTTACACATGGGAACATTAGACTGAGAGTAGTTAAGTGTTTGTTCCAAGGTTACAGAGTTGTCAGCGAGTGATAGAAATTAGGTACATAATTCATATTTAGATACTTTCTTCTTCTTGCACTCTATTACTGTTTTAGAAATGAAATACTATTCAAATTGCTTGAGCCAAGACAGACCTATAACCCAAATTTCAGTGACTTGCTTTTTTTTTTTTTTTTTTTTTTTTTTTTTTAATAATATTTATTTATTTTAAGTTTTTGGCGGACACAACATCTTTGTTTGTATGTGGTGCTGAGGATCGAACCCGGGCCGCACACATGCCAGACGAGCGTGCTACCGCTTGAGCCACATCCCCAGCCCCAAACTTGCTTTTTTTTAATTTATTGTTCTTTTGAAATGTCTGTACAAATGCCTTTTTAATCTTACTTTTAATTTGTATTTGTTTTTCAAGCATGGTGTAGCAAATGGAGCCTCTCATCCCCCTCCTCCAGAAAGGAGCCCGTATTCCACTGTATTCCATGTGGTTGAAGGGTTTGCACTCGTCATCCTCTGTAGCAGTCGACCTGCCACTAGGAGATTAGCCGTCAGTGTCCTTAGAGAAATACGGGCTTTGTTTGCACTTTTGGAAATACCTAAGGTAAGATGTAGGTATTTCATTAGTTATCTAGTTAAAGTACTTTAAAATCATCCTTTTGTTATCTTTATCTCATTTCTGTTGTTACAATGTAGGTGTGTTGCTTTCCAAGAAAGTCTTTTAGGAAAGAGCATCTAAACTAACCCACTTGGCCTCAATTTCTTTCATAACAAAGAGTGCTGAAGTGAACTTTTCAGTATCTTAGCTTTGGCTACTTTTCTGAAACACTGATCATTGTTTTTAGATATATGATGTCTTTTTTTTACAGGGTGATGATGAATTAGCCATAGATGTGATGGACAGGCTGAGCCCATCCATTCTTGAGAGCTTCATACATCTCACAGGGGCTGATCAGGTAAGTAATGATTTTACACTTCTCAGTATTGTATTCTATGCCAATGCCCTGTAATTTGATAGAATGGAAAGAAACACATTTGTCAGAAACACATTACAAAGAAAACGTATGAAAAGGTCGCATATCAACATTGATATAGGAATAACTGTCAGTCTCTAAATTCTTTTCCTCTTGTCTTGGAGTACATGGACAGGAGGTTCATGCACTTTCTGTAAAACACCTGACTAATAATTCATTATCAACAACCAAGAGAGATAATAATGAAGTTTAAGAAGCCTAAGTAAGAGATGATTAAAAATAACAATCAAAAAATTTTTGCTTTAGATTATTAACCATGAATTATGTTAACAAAGAGTAATAGGTGACTTGCTTCTAGTGCGTAAAGCAGTGCTTACTGAACATAATGCTCTGAAAGTAAATCTTAATCTCTTCATTGAACAACTATTTAAGAACGTGCACCTCTGGAGAAAAGCCTATGTTCTTTCTGGTCTGTTCCACTCATGCGTAGGTAGGGCATATCAGCATGAAAGTTAATGGCTCACTTTTTAGTTCGCTAGCAGCTTCAGTATGCCCATAAAAGTTGGCTATTCATATTTGAATTACTTAAGTAATGGTTCAAAACCTTTTTGGTTTGTCAACCCGTTGGAGAATAATGAAAGTATACAATCTCTTTCCAGAAAAATTTGTGTATGCATATGCAGTTTCAGGAATTCACCATCCCCTTAAACCAACCTCAGACCTCATGTTATCCTCTATTCTAGCAACCACCAATGACCACTTAAAGCAATTCACATGGCAGAACTTTGAAAGTTATTGAAATGTGCAATAACCAATTTTTTTTTCTCTTGTAGACTACTTTGCTATATTGCCCTAGCTCAATTGATTTACAAACATTAGCAGAATGGAACTCTTCTCCTATTAGCCACCAGTTTGATGTGATTAGCCCATCGCACATATGGATATTTGCACATGTGACCCAAGGCCAAGACCCATGGATTATAAGTCTCTCCAGTTTTTTAAAGCAAGAAAACCTTCCTAAACACTGCTCAACAGCTGTGAGCTACGCTTGGATGTTTGCCTACACAAGGTTACAGTTGTTGTCCCCCCAGGTGGATATAAAGTAAGTTGTTTTCCTAGTGTAAATTTAAAAATGTATCAGCTGTCAGCTTTCATAATGCATTTGGGAAGTTGTACAAATTGGAAGTCCTATAAATAATGTGGCCATATTATATGGATCTCTCTCTCTCCCTCTCTCATTCATATATGTGTGTGGGGGGTGTGTGTGTATGATATGCTATATTGATATCTTAAGGGAAAATAAAGTTGTGAAGGATGTATCTTATAGCCCCTTCCCCCTTTTCATGTATACAGGGTCACCAAATTATGTTTGTTTTCTTAATAGTACTGAGCTTGATACATAGTATGTGTCGAACACTTTATTCATGTCTATCTTATTCCACAGAGATTCAGTACTAGTATTAAATCTTGATGCAAACTGTCTCTCCTAATATAGAGATATATGGTATATGATAGAGATTTAACTTTAGTTTAAAAAAAAAAAAAAAAAAAAAAGAACTTTTGAAAACATGTTATAATTTGTATCTACCTGTTTTTTGTCTTTTTCCTCAGTAGTCCCATCAATGCTAAGAAAGTAAATACGACCACAAGCAGTGACTCCTACATTGGCCTGTGGAGAAACTATCTAATTCTTTGCTGCAGTGCAGCAACATCCACATCCTCTTCAACATCTGCAGGCTCTGTGAAATGTTCTCCTCCCGAGACGCTGGCGTCCACCCCTGACAGTGGCTATGGCATTGATTCCAAAGTAAGTTTTTCAGACCCACCATTGACTCTGAGTGGTACTATGAAAGGAATATTATAAAATGTCTTTTCACAGATAGATTACTTACATTGGAAATTAAAATACTTCAAGGAAATCCATATTTTTAAGATATGATACCTGTTTTCCTTCTTTTAGTCTCTAGAGTTCTCAGATTTCTCAGTGCCCAAAAAGAGTAATTTAAAAAATTAAATGCCTTTCTAAAATTGTCCTAAATCATGTAACGATACCAAATATTCAGTAAGAACAGTTATGTCATTTTTTATGGTATGACACAAAATGTGGTGTACTTAAAGAAAACTTAAGACTGAATGTCTGACTTTGACACTGATGACTGTTTTAGACATAATTTTACTAACTCCTGTTCATGGATCAAGGATTTGATGGTGGACGTCAGCCTATTATATTATATGATTATATGGTAGTGAATCTCTAAGAAATTAAGAGTCCTACAAACAAGTTCTATTAAGTAACCTGCAGTAAGCCCCTGGTCAAGGCATGTAATGTTTTATATACCACAGGTGAATTTTGAAGCAACATTCGTGTAGAAGTTTCATCTGTCTTATGTACTTGACCTAACTTTGAATTTGAAATGTTAACTTATTTAGTTGGACTTGGAATCATTTGTGGCTGCATTTTTTCCTCAGATTATTGGCATCCCATCCCCTTCATCCTTGTTTAAGCACATAGTTCCAATGATGCGCTCTGAGAGCATGGAAATCACAGAATCCCTTGTTCTAGGTCTTGGCAGGACCAACCCCGGGGCTTTCAGGTAATTATCTTCCTATGTTTCTCTGAAGTCAAATAAGACTCAGACTAGAGGTCTGGTAGAGTTAAGCAGAATACTCATTAGGATAGTTGCGTAGCAGCCCTGACTTTTACCAGTTAACTGGCCAAGTAATAATTAACTCAATTAATTGAGTCTTTTATTTCCTTATTTTTATTGAGCAAATTGAGATTAACCCTATTTTCTTCACAGAATTCTTCCTCTTTTTTCCTCCTGGTGCTGGGGATTGAACTCAGGGCCTTGTGCATGATAAGCACATGCTCTGCCACCGAACCACAACCCCATCCCACAGGATTGTATGTAAATAAAGCATATCCATGTATAATTTTTTTTTTCAGTACCAGGGATTGAACTGAGGGCCTCACACATGTTAGACAAGCATTCTACCACTGGGCAACAACCCCCTCCCTAAATATTCTTTAAAAGTGATAAAATGCCATGTAAATCTTTAATATTTTCATACTCATTTTACTTATCTAGTAATTCTGTTAATGTATAATCTTCGTCTGGGTTAAAACTTTAGTTTTCTCTGTGTTGTTTAAAAGAATGGAATCTTTCAAAGAAATATTTACATGCATATTACATATTTTTCATATTAATAAAGCAAATTCTTTATGTTCTTTATGTTCTGCTTTTTTGTTTCCTGTGGGGCCCTGAATGTATTCTTTTCAGAATCTTGATTGGTATAGGATAGTATTGATTTTTTTTTCCTCTTGAAGATGACATGTACAAGAAAATAGGCTAATAAATTTTAACATAGCTATAGTGGGAGAGCATTCAACATAAATGAAGTTTTAGAAGACTTTTAGGGAAATAAATATACTATCATGCTACTGAAAATAAATGGAATATAAAAGTTATCTCATTTAAAAATTTTTCAAATTCCTATGGATAGAAGCAATTTTGAAGCAAATACTTGGAATGTCTACAGTTTTCTTTATATATATGATGAAATTGAGTATACTTTTTGTTTTCTTCTTAGACTTTAAAAAATTTCTCAATCTTACAAAATTAGCACATTATCAGTTCATAATCAAAATGTAAACAAAGAGAAATTTATCATTTTCATGAAGTTCATACCCTTTTACCCACTGGTTTAATATATAAGATTAATCATAAAGAAATAATCAGAAATGAACACTAATTAATATTAACATTGGTCAATTATCCAGTATTTGTAATAACAGAAAGAAAGAATTGAATGATTCAATAATAAATGACAATTTATTGAAGTATGATAGAATATTATGAATTCATTATGGCACGTGAAAGTAACTATACTAGTGTTAAGAAAAAAGATGCTATTTTATATGTAACAGTGTTTCAAAAATTATGCAAAATAATTCAACAAAAATATTGATGGTAAATACCTCTCTGTAAGCTAAAATAAATGGCCTGTACTAGTTTTTGTAGTTTTCAAATGTTCTATAAAATGATGTATTATTTTATAGTAAAAATAAAAGTGTTTGAAGCAGTGGGGTTAGGGTTAACACTTGTTTACATCATTACATTAATATTTACATATTGGCTTGTAAGTATTCAGATTCTGTGTAGCTATTAATAGACTACATATAATTTTTTTCTAGGGAACTAATAGAGGAGTTACATCCAATAATTAAAGAGGCACTCGAAAGAAGGCCAGAGGTAAGCTCTGTTACATAGTTTTCTACCATTAAATTTTTTTTTTTTGGCAAACACATATTTCTCTGCTATATACTATATATTATACCACAGGTTAGAAATTAAGAAGTAAAAGATTGTCTAGTATATTTTTATTTATTTGATTTCATTTTATATTTTATTTTTTGTGATACCAAAGATTGAACTCTATGTACTGAACTTTACTCCCACCCCTTTTTATTTTTGAGTCAGGTCCTCACTAAGTTGCTTAGGCTGGTCATGAACTTGGGATTCTCCTGCCTCAGCCTCCCAAGTTGCTGGGATTACACCTGGGTGCCATCACACCCAACTCCAGCTTTCTTATGTACATTTAAATTTTTTTTTTCACATACAAACTATTCATCCTACAGCTGAACATATGTAGGAACCCATTGTGTAATACAAATGAGACATTGCTATAGCTTAAGTAAAAGCAGGAAACAGGGTGTAGACTGGAGTTAACTTTTTCTGTAAAGTAGCAGTAGTAAATGTTTTCAGCTTTACCAGTCTCATGGCAGCTACTTTGTAATTTGAAACATTCATGGACTACATAAGTAATTAGGTATGGTTATCCCCCAGTAAAACTTTATTTACAGTGACAGGCAACCATGGGCCTGATTTGGCTTATGAGTCCTAGTTTGAAAATCCTGGTTTTGGAATCCCAAACATCCAGATCTGCACCAAGTTCTGTGCAACTTTTAGAAATTAGATGTCTAGTGGGGCACATGACTGTGTAAACCGTAATTACAACAATTTGTTACACACTGTAATGATGTCATAGGTAAGGAGTTATGAGAGTTACAGAGAAAAGAGCCTTGAACTCTCTGCCTGCAGGTAAGGGAAGGCATTGTAGAGGTAGTGCTGATATTGGAGTGAATTTTAAAGCATGTTCCCCAGTTGACAAGCAAAGGAAAGGTATTCTAGGCAGAAAAATAGCATTCACAAATTTTACACACATATTTGGAACTTATGCATTTTTCTGTATGATTATTTTAAAGGGAATAATGGTTAAATATTAGACTGGATAGTAAGATAGGGACTTTCTCATGAAAGACTCCGAGCTGTATCCAGTAGTCCAGTGGTTGCTATATGCCAGTGGCATCTGAGAGTTACCTGGAGAGCTTGTTCAAAATTAGACCCCTGAGCCTTTTGGATAAGAATTCCTGGAGTTGGGCCCAGAAATCTTTTTTCATAAAGCACCTTATATGTATCTGATGTTTGAAAATCTCTGCTGTTAATGTTGGAGGTCCCCTGACCAAAAAAAAAAAAAAACAGGTGACAACAGCTATTCTATTAGATTTTGAAACATCATCAGTAATTCCTCCCTCACTCTCATCTTTACTTACACCCTGTGTAGAGTATGGATATTATCCCCATTTTTTCCACTGATAAAGTTTTTGTATCAGAATGATAATTTTGTTTACAATGTGTAATAATTTATTTGAGGGAAATGGAATTGGAACACTTCTGAGTTTAGGGGAGAAGAGTCCTGATGTTAAGTCATTAGATAAGTACAGTGGTGTTCCTTGAACATGAGTTATAGTTTGAGAGTCTGAGCTTCAGTGTTTCTATGGAGACAAAATGAAAACAGTCCAATTAAAACTTTGCAGAATTCCTGCAGGACTGTTAAGAAGACATCCCACTCAAAACGAATTGCTGTAAACTTTAGGAAGACCCCATGGAAACAGTAAATGTAATGAATGGGTCATCAGCAAATTGGCCTGCCATGGAACACACAGAAGTGGACCAGGGACATAAAAGTGAAAAACTAATATGTTTTTAATTGCTTTGTATTATGAAAATTACATCTTAAGGGAGATAATGATCTAGAATTGAAAGTGATACAGAAAATCTATATTTTGCTATTCTGTTATCCTGTTGGAAGCAGAATCCAATTGAAGTGTTACTGCTATTATTCTAGCATTAGTTCTCTTGGCTCTAGTAGTACAGATTTATTTATTTATTTATTTTATAATGAGCAAAGACATTTTTCTTTTGTTTTATATTTACTTTTGTAGCAAAATTAATCATTGAAAAACTTTAGAATAAATAAAATCTGTGGGTTTACTTGAGTCCCTTTTAGGGACTTTAGTTTTTCCTGCCCTCCTGTCATCTTCTTAGAGTGTCTTTATGATTCAGTGACAACAGTTTACTAATCCCTGGAATTCTTATATAATGGTTAAATCAACAAATCACCTAAAAATAGTTAGAATTTTGTTCTCCACATCGTCACGTCTCTTTGATGCAGTGTCTAGCAGACTAATTATTCCGTACAAGCAGAATAATCTTAATGAGCCCAGAATCTATCTCTGGCATTCAAGTTATTCTTCCCGAGTCACACCAGGGTTTTCTGTGTCCTTCCCTGAAGGTTTTTTTAATTAATATCTTTGTATCTGTGGAATAGAATATGAAACGGCGCAGGCGTCGAGACATTTTACGAGTACAGCTGGTACGAATATTTGAACTGCTGGCAGATGCTGGTGTCATTAGTCACAGGTAAGTATTGGATTTTGATTTTCAAAATTTTGGAATGATTATTTCTCATGAAATATAGAAAAACACCTTTGCAATAACAAAATCTATCAGTATCATTGTACACATTAATTTACAAAAAGGCATCTCGTACATTCATCAGTGTTCAAAAAATATGTTAGAAAATCTACCAGCAGAACTGGATCACTCTGGACAAAAATTGGTGATAATGTTTCTATGGTTTTGCTATTTGTTGGAACCTGTTTTCTAAGCAAAGGGACAACAATAGCCTTATTTTGACAGGCTTCCCTATTTTCTTACCTCATCTTGAAGATTTATTTCTTCTGGGCTTGAAAAAAATCACATGTTAAAAAGACTAAATATTATAAGATTTGCAAATTCATTCCAAGTAACTTTTATCTATTCTGCTGGGAAAAATTAAATCTACAAAATAATTCATAACTATGTTTCCCATCATTTATACATTAAACCATAAAACCTTGAGTTTTATTGCTAAACTGAAAGTTTCTTGACACTAGATCAGCCCCTTGAGGAAAATTCCCTCAGAAGTGTATTTAAAAATAACCACTTTGGAGGGCAGTGGTACTTCCTGACCGTTGAAGGAGAAGAATAACAGATCTGTCCATAACCACAGAAAGGCATATGAAAAGAAATTGAAGAAATGTATTTATAATTGAACCAGACAGTAACTGAGTGTAGAATTTTTACATTAGCATTCGTCCTAATTATTTCTTTTTTGTACATAATGTGTTTTATATTTAGTATCAAATACTTTTGGAGATTGTTTTCAGAATAGAACTTTAATGAAAGAAATTTTAAGCCTGTGCTTTAGTTTTCATTCTTAATACATGAGAAGCAAATGAGAGAAGGGGAAAAAAAAAACCAGCTAATTTCGGAAAAGTAAAATTGAAATTTATGAGCTTGAAGCAAAAAGATATCCTAATATGTATCTGAATCTTTTCCTTTTCAGTTCCTTTTAAGGTAACATTAGTAAATTAAGAAGCTTTACATTGAAGGTTTTTTTTTTTTAATATGATAGCAAATAATGATTCTCTTTTGAAGAACTGCAGAATTTTGGTATTTTGAAACTACAAAAGCTATACTCACTCTTTTGAACACTTAATTTTTAAACACTATTGTGTATTCTGGTTATTTTTTTTTAAGAAAGAGAAATTAATAGAGGGTTATCAATGTTGTAGATTTTATTTATTGTTTAAGGAAAAAGTTGAATTCTGAGTGTCAGAATCTTGGAATCTTAGTTCACCCAGCGGATCCCACGTGCTTGGTGCATACAATAGCAGTGAATGTTACTTAAATGAATGCATGGTTTGTTTTGGTGCAGGTTGCAGTCTACTAAATTGCTTCCCCATTCACTAATAGGTCATGTCCCAGAATTTAAAGAACATTCATTTTATAGAAGAAAAAATATTTGGTCATGAATTCATATAATGATTGTTTATTATTGTGGACTGATATTTTTAAAATACTGCAGTAACATTGCAACTCCTTATTCTTGTTTTCATGGGTTCAGGATGTTGGTACTACTCACAACTAGCAAAAATGAAATAATAATAATAATAATAATAGTTTTTGCTTTTAAAATAATAAATAAGCTCAGCACAGATACATTAGACTATGTAATCCTAGTGACTCAGAAGGCTGAGGCTGGAGGATTGCAAATTCAAGGTCTCCTCAGCAACTTAGGGAGATATTATCTTAAAATAAAAAAATAAAGTCTGGGGAGGAAGTTCAATGGTAAAGTGCCCCTGGGTTCAGTACCTAGTATCATCATAAATGACTGAATGAATGAATGAATAATTTGTATTAGAAATACTTTTCAAGGAAAGCTGACCTTAATAAACATTAATGTAAGAGCTATTACTTTATATAGTACTTATCATTTACTAGGTCATTTTATTAGTGACCCATTTATATTCTTACTAAAACACTCTAGAGAAGATATGATATACATGTGTAATAACTGATAGAGCAAGGCAGTTTAAGACTTTTGACTTTAACCATTAGTCCTCCAACTAGTCCACAGTTTCCAGACTTGGATCCCTTGACTCAAAGAGAATCTCATTGCAGAGATTCTTGAGGCAACTCCATAGATCTAAAAAGATGTGAAACTCAGTACTCTATTCCACTCTTATTTGAATTCTTTTTAGATTTTGCATCCTCTGTAATAATCTATCCCAGAAGGTTGTGGGGAGTAAGTACCTAGTGGATATTTGACTATGTCAGAGGTATAATATGAATATGCATGGATATTATACATATACGTAAAACTAGTCTTTCCTCTTTCTATTTTTTCTATACTCATCCTCTCCCTCCCATTAGCTTCCTTATCTCCTTATCAAAAAGCTCTATATGGGGCTGGGGATGTGGCTCAAGCGGTAGCGCACTCGCTTGGCATGCGTGAGGCCCAGGTTCGATCCTCAGCACCACATACAAACAAAGATGTGTATGCCGAAAACTAAAAAAATAAATAAATATTAAAAAATTCTCCCTCTCTCTCTAAAAAAAAAAAAAGCTCTATATGTTAATAAATACAGATAGCATTTAGCACTTATAATAGTGAATTAAAGTTAGATATGGAATTGAATAATACAAATTGAAATAGCAGTTCTTTGATTACAAACCACCATCTATTTTATGTATATTAAGTAAATCAAAATCATATTCATTAAATTTTATACTGCCATGACCATGAAAAGTTTAATATGTATTATTCTAATTTTGATTACTAGGGATTCATTTTGAGTTATGTAATGGAGTCACGTTTTGATTATCATTTATTTTCTTCAATATTTTCAGTGCAAGTGGTGGCCTTGATAATGAAACACATTTCCTCAACAACACTTTATTGGAGTATGTAGATTTAACCAGACAACTCCTGGAAGCAGAAAATGAAAAAGACTCTGACACACTGAAGGATATACGATGCCATTTTAGTGCCTTAGTGGCGAATATCATTCAGAATGTTCCAGGTATTACTTTTAGTTTCTTAAAGCATTACTGAGTATTAGGAGACCATAATTCATTCTCTTCCCTTGAGACCATAATTCATTCTCTTCCCTTGAGGTTTTATAATCAAGTTGAAAAGCAACTTGTAAAAGTACTGGAAAAATGACAGCATAACATGAATGGCAAGAAATCGTTTTATTTTTAAATTAGTACCAGTTGATTAGAAATCAGAGAAGCAACCCAGCATAGATTATTATGGTCAAGACACAGAAATGAAATTCTGAAGAAATCAATTAGAATAAGCTGTATGGACAAATTTGTTCTAGATGCAGTGAACAAAGGAGCATAATGCTTCAAATGATAATTTTAAATAATATTAACAAGATTGTTTTGAATAATGGGAGAAGAGAATTATCAATGTGAATATGACAAGGACACAGCAATACTGTCTGTTATGGAGCAAGCGCCAAGATGTGCTTTGGAGTTTGATTTACACAATTGCATTTTTTAAAAAAATTATTTATTTAATTTTTCTAATTAGTTATACATGACAGCAGAATGCATTTCGATTCATAGTACACAAATGGAGCACAATTTTTCATTTCTTTGATTGTATACCAAGTAGTGTCACACCATTTGTATCCTCATACCTGTACTTAGGGTAATGATATCTGTCTCATTCCACCAACTTTCCTACCCCCATGCTCCCTTCCTTCTCCCCTCCATTCCCTTTGCCCTATTCAAAGTTCTTCCATTCCTTCCATGCCCCCTGCCACCTACCGCCCACTGCCATTGTAGATCAGCATTTACTTATCAGAACATTTGGCCTTTATTTTGAGGGGACTGGCTTACTTCACTTAGTGTGATATTTTCCAGCTCCATCCATTTACCTGCACATGCCATGATTTATTCTCTTTTAATGCTGAGTAATATTCTATTGTGTATATATACCACAGTTTCTTTATCCATTTATCTATTGAAGGGCATCTAGGTTGATTCCACAGTTTAGCTAATGTGAATTGTGCTGCTGTAACCATTAATGTGGCTGCATCACTGTAGTATTCTGTTTTAAGTCCTTTGGGTATAGACCAAGAAGTGGGATAGCTGGGTCAAATAGTGGTACCATTCCAGGTTTTCTAAGGAATCTCCATACTGCTGTCCAATTGGTTGCACCAATTTTCAGTCCCACCAGCAATGTAAGAGTGTGCCTTTTCCCCCACATCTCACCAACACTTATTGTTGCTTGTGTTCTTGATAACTGCCATTCTGTCTAGAGTGAGATGAAATCTTAGAGTAGTTTTAATTTGCATTTCTCTAATTGCTAGAGATGTTGAACATTTTTTTTCATATATTTGTTGATTGTATATCTTCTTCTGAGAAGTGTCTGTTCAGTTCCTCAGCCCATTTATTGATTGGGTTATTTGGGTTTTGGGGGTATTAAATTTTTTGAGTTCAATATATATCATGGAGATTAGTGCTCTATCTGATCACAATTGCATTTTTAAAAGTCATAAATTCTTTGCAAGTGTAAGACACAAAAGTGTGACTATAATTCTTCTGTATACAGCATAAATAGACCTCTTATCTCTCAAAAATTAAGGTTATTTTGTTATTTTAATGGTATATGCTAGCAGCTGGCTTTTAAAGAGCATGGGCTGTATTTTATAACAGGGTCACTTAAGCACACAGTCGGGTATGTTAATTTCAAGTGAAGGAGCCCTATTTTGATCTTTGGAAGGAAAATAATGCTGTTGAGTGGAAAAGAGCATTTTTCTTCAAATTTTCCATCCCAAAGCTCACTGATATAAAGGTCTGATTTAGCTTATTACTGTGCACTTTTCCACAACCTCCCCCTTGGTTTATGGAGATACTGTTGAAGTTCTTCAACAAAGATTGATGCAGAGAACTCATGAGATAGAACATCAAAGTGGAAAAGATCATCTAATGCATTCATTTTCAAATGATGCCCGTGGCTCTTTGGATGCCATCAGCAGGAGGCAGCAGAATGGATTTGGATGCTGAGCTTCACACCTTACTTCACCCAGATTAGCTCCTCTGTTATCTGTTTTGTATGTTAAGATTCCGTGTAAGGTTCCTTTTCAAAGGCAACTTTTCTGCTTGGAAAAAAAAAAATAGAAAGTTTAAAATAACGTTTTAATCCAAAGCCCTCCCAGTTAACCAGGATCCTGGGGTGTATTTGTGTTAACATCTTGGCCTGGGGAGGAGCAGGTCCTGACTCCCTATTCCGTGCCAGTCTCCCTGTGCCATTCTGCCTGCTGTGATAGTTTCTGTGACTTGGATTTGTATAACTAACTTCTGTTACTGTGGAGGTTTAGGGCAAGTTTAAATGAAAACTTGCTTTCTGTTTTACAGCCTCTCATACTCAATAGTGACTTGCCATGTATGTTAAAGTAAAAAGACATGGAAATAAATTTTTCCATCTATGTTTTTATTTACAGTGCACCAGAGAAGAAGTATTTTTCCTCAACAGAGCCTTCGTCACAGTCTGTTTATGCTGTTCAGTCACTGGGCAGGTCCTTTTAGCATCATGTTTACACCCTTGGACAGATACAGTGATAGGAATATGCAAATTAATAGACATCAATACTGTGCATTAAAGGTATTTACTTAGAACCTGAATTCCTTTTTTCTTAAGAACAGAGTTAAAATATTTTCATGTGTCTCTCTCTATCTGGTTTTATAAATGGGGTAAGGATTTCTTCAGAGTGCCTGAGAATATTGCAATACATGTTTGTCTGCCATATGGAAATACTTAAACCATACCTTTATTTAAGTACATAAAATACAATGCAAAAAAGTTTCAGAATCTATCAAAACTTAAATCAACATTTACTTAAGAACTGAATACTACTTCCAAGTACTTAAGTCTTTTAATCTTCTCTTCTAGTCTAATTTGGTAGGATGATATTTATTCATAATTAATTTCTTAGTTTAAAAAAATACTATTATGCTTTTCTTTGCAACAACAAAAAAAGATCTTGTGGCTAGATAAACATGAGTAAAAGTATCTTGCCTCCTCTCATTAAGCAACCAACATTGACCCTCTTAAAATCTTTAAATGTAATTCTGATATTATTGTTTGAAGGCTATGTCTGCTGTACTATGTTGTGGCCCTGTTGCAGATAATGTAGGACTTTCATCAGATGGCTATTTGTACAAATGGCTGGATAACATTTTGGACTCTCTGGACAAAAAGGTAATTAGGATAATTCCCTTAAAATTTCATAATGAATTGTCTTTCAGAATTAAAATATGGCCCTCTAAAAATTAGTCATCTTTTAATAAAGATAGGATGGAACTATAGGTAAAAATTATATTATGTAAAATTAAATAGATTATTGTAATCTAAGGAAATTCCAATTTGTATTTATCACTCTATGGAGTAACTTTAATTTCACTTTCATATTATAGGATTAATATAGCAGTGTGTATATATCTCTCATAGGGTTCTGAGTCAATAAAATACTGATCTAGAATGCATTGAGCTCCATGGAAGAAAGAGGTTATTTGCTATGTTTAATTTCCTTTTTTTGCCCAATCTCCAATTAATCACTTTCTTGCCTTCCTTAGTCTCATGTTTTATACAAACAGACTAGACAATTTTCTTCTGCAATCAAAATTTCAATAACAAAGATACTATTTTTAACATGGTCGAATATACTTGACTAGGTTTCAGATTTTTTTTAAAATAGATCTAGCTCAATAGTACAATCATACAGCTTTGTACAGAGCATTCTATATATCAACAGAAAATATATTTGAGCACAAAAATAAAAAATGTTTAAAGAGAACCTCAGCAGCATTTTGTTTCTGCAAAACAGAATATCTCATATTGATGAAATATCTACAGGTGCTTTTCCTTTACAAAAACACATATTCCTTTATAAATACACAGACTGAGTCATTAACAATGACCTAGTAATTGTTTCCCTTCAACCTGAATGGTTTATAAGCTATACCTTACAACCATATAAAGGCTTTTATTTGTATTAAGGTGTTACCACTTTTGACATAAAGCTTAAAATATTTTATATTTCAAAGTAAAATTAGCAACATAACTGGACAGTATATTGTGTGATAGCTTTATTTATTTATTGTGAGATCTACTCCAATATAAATGGGTGATCACTGCTGTGTTGCCAGAGAGACTGCAGAATTTAAAATAGGACTTGTGTTTTTTCCCCTCAGAATATTTTTTTTTCTATTGAGTTATCACAAATAAGAATATAGCTTGATAAAAATAATCGGAGGTTAACAACTCATTTTTCTGAAAGCACTTATCATCATTCATGTTCATCAACTGCCTTTGGGGCTCTCAAAAGAGAGACTTACACGAAGAATCTTGTGTAAGAGAACCCCCTGCCAAGTGTAATTTATTCATATTGTCATCATTTTGGCTGAGTAAATGATGAGAGGAAATTGAACAAAACAAGACAGGTTTTGTGATTAAATGTAATAAATGTATGCACTATTCTGATTTACTAAAAATGTAGAGAAATATAGCCAGACATAGTGGCACATGCCTTGTAATCCCAGTGACTTGGAGACGCTGAGGCAAGAGGATCACAATTTGAGGGCCATCCTTGCAACTTAGCAAGGTCCTAAGCAACTTTGCAAGACCCTGTCTCAAAATTTAAAAAGGCTAGGGAGGCTGTGGATGTAGCTTGGTGGTAACATGTTCCTGGGTTCAATCCTCAGTACCAAAAAATATTTTTCAAAAGGTAGAAAAATAGGAAATTAATTATAAATAACTTTCCCCCTCCCTGGCAATTTTGTGACCTTATTTCAGGTTCATCAGTTGGGCTGTGAAGCAGTCACGTTGTTGCTGGAGCTGAACCCTGATCAGAGCAACCTGATGTACTGGGCTGTGGATCGCTGCTACACAGGTTCCAAGAGGGTGGCAGCTGGCTGCTTTAAAGCCATCGCGAATGTCTTCCAGAACAGGTACTATAGACACTGTCTCATGCTAAGTTAGTTTTTTGTTTGTTTGTTGTTTAAGAAAAGGTTTCTCTTTGAATTTCTTTTTTTTAAACTCCAGTGGAATTTATTTTTTTAAACTTAGCCGATAAGGATAATGGTCACCATGAATCTGTTGTACCTATTCCCTTACAATCCTCCACCCCCCAACTTAGAAGATCATACAACTTTGCCTTTTGTACATCCTCTTTATCCACTGCAGCAAAAGACTTCAAACCTTGTTATTTACCTAACATGTGAAATTTATCCCTAGGGATTATCAGTGTGACACAGTGATGCTCCTAAATCTGATACTGTTTAAAGCAGCTGATTCTTCTAGAAGTATCTATGAAGTTGCTATGCAACTGTTACAGGTTTGTAAACAGTTGTTAATTAAATTTTTTTTCACTCAGGATTTAGTGAAGCCTAATAATTTATTCTTGCCATTAAAGCATACTAACACCAATATTTAGTTTTATTTTTAATAGTGAAGCGTGATAGCAAGTTCTGATTAGAAATAGATACAAAGATCATATAGATATTTAAATATACAAATAATATAAACTATTTAGAACTGTATTATTGAAAGATATTAGTGTGTATCTGAAGATACAAATGTTGATTGAAACTATTTCTATTTAGTAGTCAAGAATAATGTGAACAATTAGCTATTGTGATATCCTCATAGAACCTTCCTTTATTAAACTGAGTATATATCATTATTATAGAGTATATAACTAATTGATAGTAGGGCAAAGTTCTTTGATCTTAACCATGGGCTGAAAATAGGATTGAGTAAATGCTGGTTTTCTTTTTCCCCCTGATGCTTTCATGTAGTACTGATGCTGGTAGGACCATCTTAGGAATTATAATTAATGCCTTAATTAATTAAGAGGAAAGTTAACAGTATAGCTCTTCACATAGTATAATGTCAAAAGGAGTTCTATATGTCATGTTTAATCTGTGATTAACCAAGATCTGTTCAAAGTGTGTTTTTCCATTTACACTTATTTTGTACAACTATATTTTGGACTGGAAAAGTGGTAAATATTTTTCAAGTAATTGTCCACTAAGTTGCTGAAGTTATTTTCTAACTAGACTACTAACCCACATCTTTACAATTAAACCAAGGAAGGTAAATCCCTTTAAACAGCTTTTGCCTGTTTGCACACATCCTGACATTAGAAATGAACATACTTTATCATATATATATATATAACCATGTAATTTTTAAACTGAAATATTTCTTGGGAGTTGTTCTTTTAAATATAATTGAACTTTAGAGGACCCATAAAATATTGACTTCAGCTGATCAATTTGTATTCTTGTAGATTCTGGAACCCAAGATGTTTCGCTATGCTCACAAATTGGAGGTTCAGAGAACAGATGGAGTACTCAGCCAGCTGTCTCCCCTGCCACATCTGTATTCTGTTTCATACTATCAGTTGTCTGAGGAATTAGCAAGGGCATATCCCGAGCTCACTCTTGCCATATTCTCAGGTATGATCAGTGAACGTTAGTTATTTTTCTGCAGTCATTTCTTAAAAGCTATTCAAAATTTTTAAATAGATTACATTTGACACCAAATCGATGCAAACATTGCCATCTTCCCACAGCATTCATCTCATCAGTGGGTCGAGTTTGTTTCCCATTCATAGTTGACCTGAGGGGAATGGCCCTCACATTGGGTTCTGAAAAGCAGGCTACCTATTGGTTTGCACTGGTAGATGGCAGTGGGATCATGCCCCTTCCTTTCTCACAACTCCCAAATCCCTGCCAGCACTTAAACGTGGACATGACTGGCCATCAAGGAATGGCCTCCTCAACACCATTTCTGCTGTTGCTGGTCCTCTGACAGAGATCCTGCACAGAGAACAGTCATCTAGTTGAGTCTCTGAAAGCCCATGGTGGGGAGCATGACCTGGCCCAGGTGTAGACCACACCCCAGCTCAGTCTGCATGTCACAGCTTGTCTCCCTGGGTTCTGCCTTCAGATGCTCTTGTCCTTGGCATCTGTTAATTTTAACTCCTTTGTTTAGAGAGATTTTTCTCAAGAGATACAGATATCAACTGTACCCACTTTAAAGTGTGAGGGCCCTCCTCCTCTCTGTCCCCAGGACCAGTGAAGTGCACTTTAAATATCATCAGCTCCTGGCTCTTTGCATCCTCTCTCCTCCTTCACGCCACTCCTCTCCCCCTCCCACACCCTGTGCCTGGCCATTTTGATATCTGACATTCCCATGTGCTCAGCCCTTGCGGCTGCCTGGGACTTCTCAGGTGGCCTTCAGACTCCATTAGTGTCAGCTTCCTCTCTGTAAATCCACCAGATACCTTCTAACTGCTGTGTCTTAGACCTAACTTCTGGTCTTCTGCAGCCACTGATGTCAGTGAGCTCTCCTGTATTTCTTTCAATTGTGGGCTCTCTTGATTTCTAGAAACTTAATATTTCCTGTTTTCTCTTCTACCATGGACTATTTCTTTTGTCACTTTTGGTGGACTCTTTCCTTCTACCCATATAAACATTAGTGTTCCCAGGGCTCCAAGCTGGGCTGCCTCCTCACCTCATCCCAACTCCCTGAAGGAGGTCTGGCCACTGCCATGGCCCTAGCTCCCACAGTGAGTGTCCTTGGTTAGGATTTTTTTTATTCAACTACTTTCTGAGCTCCAGAAATTACCTTTCATACTACAGGTAATGAATAAGATTCTGTACTAATCGAAGGTATTTTTATAAATGATAGACTGCAGTATAACCATATGCCAAGACTAAAGCCAGGTATGGTGGTACATGCCTGTAGTCTCACCTACTTGAGAGGCTCAGACAAGAGGAGGAACCAGCCCAGGAGTTGCCAAGTCACCTTGGCAACATAGTGAGACCCTATCTTAAAGAGAAAGGGGTTGGGGGGAGGGAGGGGAAGATCAGCCATTCATTGACATTACCTTAGATTTGCACAGTTGCCCCATGAGGCAACTATTGTGTTACCCTCTTTTTACAGAATAAGAAATTGAGGATAAGAGGTTCATTGGCCCTAGGTCCAGGGGTAGGTGCAGTGGAACTGGGTCATGCTATCCAGAGTCAAGTTCATACCCACTCTTCTTCCATACACTCTTCCTGATGAGTAAATAAATAGAAGGGGCAGAGGAGAAAGATTTTTATTTAGTCATCTGCAGAAACTAAATAGCAAATCAGGGCTCATGGGCTTTGGAATCGACCTGTGTTTGACTCCTCTGCCACTAGATAATAGTCTGACTCTGCCAAGTTAATGAGTCTCTGCCCCCATCACAGCTTCGTTGTGAGTGTTAGAGGAAAGAAATGTAAAAGTAATGCACCAGAGGAGCCTCCCCTAAGTAGAACCAATGAGGTTCTTAATGAGTCCTTTTAAAGTAATCCATGTATATAGACTTTTTATCTGGCCATTACATTTATCCATTTGTTTTTTTTAAATGTCATCTTAATCATGTTAAGTGTACAGCTCAGTAGTGTTAAGACCATGCACATTTTGTGAAGCACATCTGTAGAACTCTTTCCTCTTGCAGAAACAGAACTCTCTAGAGCCACTACACAGCAGTCCCTCCTTTCCCTCTCTTCTCAACCCCTAGTAGTCACCATTCTACTTAGCATTTTTATGAATTTAATTATTTTAGATATATCAGTAGAATCAAACAATATTTTTAAGTTTGTAGCTTGTTTCACTTACCATAATGTTTTCAGGTTCAGCCACATTATAGCATGTGACAGGATTTTCTTCTTTTAGGTTGTATAATATTCCACTTTGTGTATATCATATTGCTTATCCATTCATTCACCTATTGGCTCTTGGTTTGCTTCCCCTCTTGTCTGTTGTGAGTAGACTTCTGTGAATATATTCTGCAAATATCAGTTTGAGTCTCTGCTTTCAGTTCTTTTGGATATGTACTCAGAAGTAGGATTCTCTATGCTGCTTTCCATAAAATATGCACTATTTTACAGACCCACCAACAGTGTACAGACATTTATTTTAACTGCCAAAAGTATTTTATATATAAAGCAAGTATCTGGTTTGTGTCAACTGTTAGTTTTATGACATCACTGAAATGAAATTTATTCAAAGGAGAATTACTCATATAATAAAATCTGGCTTCCTAAGCCCAGCATGGTGGTACATGCCTGTAATCTCAGCAGCTTGGGAGGCTGAGACAGGAGAATCGCCAGTTCAAAGCCAGCCTCAGCAACGGCGAGGTGCTAAGCAACTCTGAGATCCTGTCTCTAACTAAAACACAAAATAGGGCTGGAGATGTAGCTCAGTGGCCGAGCGCCCCTGGGTTCAATCCCTGGTACTAAAAAAAAAAAAATCTGGCTTCCTAGTTTTTAAGTGGATGTTAAAATTAATTATAGGTTAAAGGAAATTGAAATTACATCAGTTCTCACTTTTGGTTTGCTTTTAATTAGAGATAAGCCAGAGGATTCAGACAGCTCACCCTGCTGGGCGGCAGGTGATGTTGCACTATCTCTTACCGTGGGTGAACAACATCGAGTTAGTGGATTTAAAACCCCTGCCCACAGCAAGGCGACATGATGAAGATGAAGATGATTCATTAAAAGACCGAGAAATTATGGTGACCAGCAGGCGCTGGTTACGGGGAGAAGGCTGGGGATCCCCACAAGCCACTGCGATGGTTTTGAACAATCTGATGTACATGACAGCAAAGGTAAGGTGGGTTTTGTATTTGCAGTTGCTGCACAGGTGACCACTGGGAAGAGGAAGCATGATTACAGATAGATGCAGAGACTAGACCATCTGATAACCACACAGAGTGCATTTAAATCCTCCTATTTAAAAAAAACTTCTCATTAAACATCTTTTTTAACTTCTATATGTATTAGTAATAATGAGGTTAGACATGAAAAATAATCATTCTCTACAGTGTGAAAAAGATGAGAGCTGTCTGTGAAAATGCTATCTGCTCATGTTTCATGGTGTGACAAGTTTGTTACTGAAGTATCTCCTGTGTGTGCTGCACCCTAGTATGGCGATGAGCTGGCCTGGTCGGAAGTGGAGAACGTGTGGACCACACTTGCAGATGGCTGGCCGAAAAACCTAAAAATAATTTTGCACTTTTTGATCAGCATTTGTGGGGTGAATAGTGAACCAAGCCTCTTGCCTTACGTAAGTATTCAAGTTCTTTTAACTTTATACACACACACACACCTCAGATGTGTATATACCTCAGATGTGTTTATGCCAAAGTATGGACAGCAGTCACCCCACAGAAGCAAGCAAGAGCCACTGGAGTGAGGACAGTCAGGCACTTTTAGATGGCCTTATTTATTGATTCATTCAACAATATTATCTAGTATAATTATAAGCAAACACTCTTCTAGGTACTGGGCATTCCAACCTGATGGGTGAGACAGATTTTATTCTTTGAAGCTACACCTGGTTTATTTAATAAATAAATCAGTAAGTTCTAGTATGGTTGTGATAAGGGCTATAAGGGAAAGTACTGAGAGTGAATAATAAGGAAACAGCTATCTGAATAAGAGATGATACTCGAAGAAATTGATATTGCAGCATAGACCACCAGATTGAGGAAGATGGTATTGCAGCTGGCATTGGGCTATTGGAGCAGGTGGGGGACTGGAGCTTAGTGCCATAGGCTGCTGGAAGCCCGAGAATAGAGAGAAAAGGAAGAGTGGATAACATGGAGGATATCAAATCTTTATCTCTGTGGGGAAAGCAAAACTAAATCTGTCCAAGGGCCCTATAAAACTCTCAAGCTCGAGGGTGAAATGGAACTTGGATGCTTGAATACTTACCTGTTCTATGTTCACAGTAGCCATGAAGTGGCATCTCCTAAAAGTGTGATCTGCAGAAGGCTGCTCCAAAGGTTCTTCCAGATCCCTCTTCAAACAAACCAGTTAGTGGCCTGGCTTCAGCCAGCATTTTCTGAGTGTACTTGAAAGCATTGTTCCCAAGATGTGACCCCTCTATGACCAAATCTATAGTTCTCCCTCATGCTCACCCCTCATTGCCATGCCCACACTGGACAGTCCCACGTTGGGGCCATGGCACTCTCTTTCCTTTTCTTTCCTACACCTCCTCTGGGTCTTCCCTAGAGCACCAGTACTCCCAAGACCTGATATGCACAGTCTTCTTTTTCCTTACCCTGCTTCATTGATCTTGCCAGTACTTAGCCATCACCACACAAATGATGTTTTACCCATTTGTCTCAGCCAAGTAGATGAAGAGCATAGGTCTGTGTTTGGATCCTTGCTGTATTCATAGTGCCTCAAATGGTTCCTGGCACATAGCAGGTCCTCAATAACCAGATAGATGAATGAGTGAGTTGGAGTGGGAACTAGAAAAAAGCATGAGATGAAATTTAGGGAATAGCCATTTGACAGGAATTTAAAAGGAGTCATTTTTAGTGTTAATAGTAATAGTTTCTTAATTACTATTTCTTCAGCACTTGTTATGCCAGACATGGTAAATGCACTTCATCTACATTATTTCATTCACTTCTCAGAATAAATTGATGGCTTTGAAGTTTTACAAATGAATTTAAAAAGGCAGAGAAAATAGTCATTTCCTCAAGGCCACAGAGGCATATAGCTGTGACACTTAATGGGCTGGAATTCCATCTCACATCCATGGTGGGAAAGCCTGGCAAGGGAGCAGGCAGCAAGGGGTCAGTGTGACAGAGGGTGGGGAACATGAGGGAGAACTGTAGGAGATGTGTCAGAGAGGTACTGTGGGGTCATGTGGTTTAAGACCATACACCTACCTGTCTCTTGATGCTTCTCAAAGAATATTAAGCCCTGTTACATGCTTTGAAAACAATGCTTTCAAATAGATTTTGGGAAGCTTCACACAGAAAAGTGGGGAGCGGTTGGGAGGGGACTTGAGGACTTGATAGGATCAGGGCAGGAATGCCACGGATCTTCAGACAAGAGAGCCAAGGCACAGGGGCAAGAATGCACACAGCGTGGTCAGAGGAGACTGAACCCAAGAACATAGAGAATTAGCAGTCAATTGGATGGGTAAAGAGCTCTGTGAGGTTAGTTATCACTGGGTAACCATTATAAAATTTTCAATGTGGCCAGGCACAGAGGCTCGTGCCTATAATCCCAGCAACTATGGAGCCTGAGACAGGAGAATCACAAGTTAGAGGACAGCCTCATTAATTTAGGCCCTCAGCAGCTTAGTGAGACCCTGTATCAAAATAAAAAGAACTGGAGATGTGGCTCAGGGTAAAACGTCCCTGGATTTACTCTTCAGTACCAAAACAAAACAAAACAAAAAAACAGATTTTTGTTCTGATATAATAAAGCATGTTTTAAGATTTGACCGGGGTCGTCTAAAATATGGCTTGAACACATCTGGGTATATATAAATCATCTGTGGATCTTGGTTCTGGAAGGAGGGTAGGGCCTGAGGTTCTTCATTTCTAGCAAGTTCCAGCTGATGATACCTATGACCACATTTTGAATAGTAAGGATTAAAATAGGAAGAAGAAAAAGAGATAACTTGATCGTTATTTTGGTGATACATATTATTAAAATATATAATACATAGTATGGAAAAGTTTTTTGTCCATTTAACTAAACTCATATCATGTACTCGCCGTTTTAAAAGTGCTTTACAAATCTTACTTAACTCATTTAATCCTCCCAATAGCTTTATGAAGTAGGTGCTATTACTATCCCCATTTTGCAGATGAGAAAACTTTCCAGTGGATCCACAGTCCATTTGAGTTAGCTTAGCCTGGGTTCTTGTCATTGTTCCTTGCTCTTGCTCTTAAAGACTGTTCTTTACTGCTAGGTTCCACATAGAGAACAGGAAAGGCAGGAAAAAAACAGAATGAAAGGTAAATCCTAGGTTTGGAGGCTGGGCTACTAAAGATCAGAGGAAAGTCTTCACAAAAACTTTTAACCAAAAACTTTTTCCCTTAAAAAAGAAACCTATAGAAGAGCATTTTTTCTTTTTAATTTTTATTTTAAAAAGAAGAAACAGGACTTCTTGGGCTCCGTGGTAAAGTGCTGCTCACCTAGCATGTGTGAGGCCCTGGGTTCAATCCTCAGTACCATATAATAAATAAATAAATAAACAAACAAAATAAAGATATTGTGTCTCATTACCAATCAGTGTCTAGGCACATTTTGATTGTGCTTATTTATCTTTCACTTAATGTTTAACTAATTCTGATAAAGTTTATCTCAAGACAAATATATGAGATAAATATTTTGTGTTTTCTTTTCTGAACCATTTCTTTTGTGACAGGTGAAGAAAGTTATCGTTTATTTAGGTAGGGACAAAACAATGCAGTTGCTAGAGGAGCTGGTGAGCGAACTTCAGCTGACAGATCCTGTCAGCTCAGCCGTCACCCACATGGATAACCCCCCCTACTACCGCATCACTTCCAGCTACAAAATCCCTTCCGTCACCTCAGGTGAGACTGCACCTGAAACTGATTGTTTTGTGTCAGAAGAGTTGCTTTACCTAATTGTTAGTTTTAGCAAACATCTGTGTCTTTAAACAACATTATTGAGAAAGCAAATGTGAATTATGTATCATAATTAATATGCTGAGATTTGGTAAATCCTCATATGAGTAAAGAAATTTGGTAACATAAGGAGTGTTACTATTATAGAGGGAAACTTTACAGACTTATTCGGAACTGGAATATAAATTTATAATGCCTATATAATCAGTATGCTAAATTTAGAAAATGCTTATTAGAATTATTTGTGAAATTGCACATTGTGATTATTTTATTCAAGTAAGTGTGTGTATGTGTGTATTTAATTTTTATTGTAAATTGACAAATTATATATAGGGAGTAGAAAATAATGTTAGATTTATGACTACAAAGTGGAATAATTAGATCAAACTGATTAGCATACCTACCACCTTAAATACTTATCATATTACATTATTTTGAGTGAAGAAATTACATTCCTGAGGGAATAACTTCCAGTGAAAATCAATACGATATTTAGGCTATTATAAATGAAATTTCTATGAAACTCTTTGGCAGTTTATATTGAATGCTTTTACCATGTCAATAACAGTGTATAATTAGAAATATTCAAAATTATATCTTCACAATTTATTTTTATTTCTTAGCCTGTTTTTCCTACAGTCTAATTGATTTCTAATAATACTTCTGTTGAATTTTTCATATCTGCTAATACAGTTTTAATTTCAAAGAGTGTTTTTTGTTTTGTTTTGTTTTTTTAGTTAGGAGTTCTTTCTTTTCTTTCTTTCTTTTTTTTTTTTTTTTTTTTTTTTTAGCAGTATCCTATTCAAATTTCATGGTGGTACTTTTTCTGAGCCTGATAAAGTTATAAGATTTCTTCACTCAGCAGAAGTTCTTACATCACTGTTTATCTTGTCTTCATATAAGCTTTGCTTAAGACCTGCCAGTTTCATATCTTTTTATAAGAAAAATGTGTTAAAAATTGTTAAGTTCTGGAGCTTGAGATTATGGCTCAGTGGTAGAGCACTTGCCTAATAATACATGAGGCACTGGGTTTGATCCTCAGCGCCACGTAAAAATAAATAAATAAAATAAGTCAAAAGAAAGAAAGGAAGGAAGGAAGAAACTTTAAAAAAAGTTAAGTTCTGTATATTTATAGAGGACTAGTTGATTGTGTCCTTTTTTAAGTGATGATTTCAGTGATCTCCATGTAGGCCTTTTTTCTTAAATCATTCATAATCCGATTTCCCAGCAAAAACCCCCCTGCCTAAAGGAGAGGGTGTGTGTGTGTGGATGGATTTTATGTATTTATATACACATATTTACACAGGCCTTGAGCCTCCAAAAGACCAGTAGGGGAGGAAGGATCCAGAACAGGAGACGAAGTCTCAAATTTTAGTACGTGGATTTTCTTCTCATTCCCTATTATCAGTAAGGTACTTCTCCTCCTGCCATGCAGTGTGTACCCTAGTCCAGAAATCTTCTGCCTTACTCTCACCAGAGGAGACTTCTTCCAAATGTGGGTAGAGACAGCCACCCAACAGGGAGATAGATTTGGGAGGCTACTTCTAAAGTAGGTTTTCAGCCATTCTCCTATGTTTAGCTCTGCATTGAACCCCAAATTCCAGCTGCTCAGTGCTGCTCATTCCTGAGCCTTTTGGTTCAGTAGTGCAGAAACTTCTTAGTCCACACCCTGCTGCCTTCATGATTCTTAATTACTTCCTGTGCATTTGTTTTCTAGCATCCCTAAAATTGTTGCTATTACCTCCTTTCCCTCTTGATCTTTATGAGTACATTTCTTTTTAAAATCTCTCTGCTTTCATTTCAGTGGAGTTTTGACTGAAATCTTCTGTCCTTTATTGTTCTCTTAAATTAACAGGTACTGTTTTATTTTCTATTGACAGGAACTACTTCCAGTAGCAATACAATGGTAGCTCCCACAGATGGCAACCCTGATAATAAATCCATAAAGGAGAACCTTGAAGAGAGGTGAGTACCTTTCTGGTCTTCATTAGCCTTTCAGTTTGACCCACTGATTGTCATTAGAATAAATGAAAATCTATTCATTGGATTGTGTGGGGTTTTTTGTTTTGTTTCTTTTTGTTTTTTTGGTACTAGGGATTAAACTCAGGGTTTTGCCACTGAGCTCTACAACTAGCCCTTTTTCTTTTTTGAGATAAGGTCTCACTAAGTTACCTCGGGCCTCACTGAGTGGCTGAGGCTGGCCTTAAACTTGTGATCCTCCTGCCTCAGCATCCCAAGCCACTGTGCCCTCCTGGAATGTGTATTTTGTTGTGTTAACTCTGGTGAGGAGGGCTGGGGATGTAGCTTATCTAGCGTGCATGAGGCCCTGGGTTTGATCAACAACACTGCCAGGGGACCAAAAAGCAAAACTTCTAGTGAAGAAATATGTTTCCATATTGGAAAAATTTCACTTTGACTGTATTTATGTTAAAGAAGCTAACAGGCTAGGATTTTTTAAATATATATTTTTTAGTTGGACACAATACGTTTATTTTATTTTATTTTTTTATGAGGTGCTGAGGATCGAACCTAGCACCTTGCACAGGCTAGGCAAGCCTACCGCTGAGCCACAACCCCAGCCCCAGGCTAGGATTTTTGATATGTTGTAATGGATGAAAAGGTGACATCTGATAAGTCATTTTGAGACTTTTCTAAATGGCTGTTTACTCTGTTTTTTTATCAAATCAGTCTCACCAAAATATCTATTTAAGGGAGATATTTAGTAGGAATAATTGGCTAAAAGCTTAAGCTTTTGAATTATAAGGTGGAAATTAACATATACCATGGTGAACTCTTGATGGTATTTTGCATAACGTGCTTTTTTTAAACATAAGAAGTAAACATAGAAGTACAATGCCACTTTTCCATGAGCTGTGCTTAACCTCCCTGATCATCCCCATAGCTGCGTGCAGCTGGATATCTACAGTGGACTGAACAGCCATCTAAATCGTCAGCACCACAGACTAGAGTCTCGATACAGCAGCAGCTCTGGAGGATCTTATGAAGAAGAAAAAAGTAATCCATTCCGAATGTTCTTTATAGAACTATAATGATGAGGTCTATTGCTTATTATATTAATATAGTTTTCCAATAAATTGATTTTTTAAAGACTATTTAACTGCCACTAGTGGTGTTCCAACATAATGTCTTGAATAATGTCTTGAAATGTCTTGATTTTGAAGAATGATTTTAAATAAGCAACATATAAACAGGAGAAATGAAAAACAAAACACAGGTTCCCTCTAGATGATAGAATTGGTTCTCAAGAAGCATTATAGAACCAATACACTAGGCACAACCTGGTTTTTTGTTTTTGTTTTTGTTTTTTAACAGGTGTTTGCTTTTCCCTGTGTGAATTTGCATTTTACTAAAGTCCCTTGCACTTATAACATAAATAATCTGCTCACTATGACACTAGAGCAGAAACACAAACTTTCAAGCCAGGAAGGGACCCTGGAGATGATTTGATCCAGTCTCCTCATTTTATGCACGATGGAACTGAGGTCCAGAGAGGTTAAGTGACTTACCCACGTCACACAGAATTCACATTCCCTGACATCATTTTTTACTGAACCTGCAGCCCCATTGTGGTGGAGCAGATTTTCTTAAGAGATGGGTTTGTGTTGGTCCTGTCTCAGGAAATTTAGACCTGAATAACTTTCCAAAAGGTCCATGTTAGAAGGCAGTTTCACTATAAGATTGTCTCCTGGTTTGGCTATCAATTAGGGAATTGTAAGGAAGTGCTAATGTTGTTTTACTTTAATATAAAGGATGGAACCTGAATTGATATCTCTTAATTATCTCTGTCTCTCCCTCTGGCTCCAGTTTGCCTAATCTGATAATATTTGTACCCAGGTCTTCCTAGCATACCTATGTTCAAATAGTGGGAAGTTGTTTTTTTATCACGCTCTGATGCTATAAATAGTTGGTGTCTTGCTAGAGTTTGCTTATATTGCCAGGAATTAGATGGTGTAGAAAATGAGACGATTTTATCTTGATAGGTGATTCAATGCCACTTTATTCTAATTGGCGACTGAAGGTGATGGAGCATAACCAAGGAGAGCCACTGCCCTTCCCACCAGCTGGAGGCTGCTGGTCACCACTGGTGGATTACGTGCCTGAAACGTCGTCACCTGGATTACCTCTTCACAGGTGGACTAGAGCTCCATTCCTACTTCCTATGAGCCACGTTGCTGCTGAACACTTTGAGCCTTCTTTATGCTGTCTCATGACCCAGAATGGATGGAAGCAGTCTTCTTAATTGAGATGCTGCAACAAATTAGACCACCATGTTTAGATTTTAAGACAGCCAAAAATCTCAGTCTTCTCTCTCTACAAAATTAATATTATTCAATCTCATTCTGCTGCTGCTTTTCTGGGTGTCTGGCATAGTTACTTGACCTTTCTGGGACCCAGTTACTACATCTGACAAAAATGTGACTTTCTTGTAGTGGGCACTCTTATTTTGAATTGAATTAGATTGAATTCTACTGAGTTAAAATTATAGTTGAATAATTGCTGCCTTCTTTGAGAATTCATGAATGCACCAAACACGTATTGAACACCTACTCTGTGGCAAGTGATGTGCTAGGTCTCAAGGCTGAAGGACAAAGGGAGTGTGGCCCTTGACCTCAAGGAGCCTGGGCCCTTAGGTTTTGTTCTAACAACGCTATTGCTTAACGTTCCTTCAGCTGCATTTGTTTTTCCTCTTTTTTTCTTGAGAAGTTGTATTTTTCCATGAAATACAATCTTCAAGGCTTTGAGTAATTGGTAAAGCATTTTCCCTAGGTTTCTTCAGGTCCAGCCAAAGGCTAATCATGCTCTTGTTTGCCGCAGGTGTAACATAGCGGTGATCCTTCTGACGGATCTGATCATCGATCACAGTGTGAAGGTGGAATGGGGAAGCTACCTCCATCTTCTTCTTCATGCGATTTTTATAGGTAATACATCCTCATGTCTGATCCCTTCGAAGGGATCAGAAAGTGCTTAGATGCTTCTTGTTTTGGTGTTTAGTGTATTGTTTGTGGGACTTTTCACTGTTGATTCTCCAGATCCAGTGGGGAGTTATCAGTAGCCTGATTTCAAACAACAAATATGTCCACTGTCCCTGTTTTTGTTTTTGCTTTCTTGTGGTGTTAGGGATAGAGCAGGGACTCAGGCATGCTAGGCAAGTGCTCTGCCTCTGAGCCAGAATGCCAGCCCATTTGGTCCCTATTCTTTCCCTTTCCTGTCTTGTGGCCCTTTGTACTCCACACAAACACACATATAACCCACTAGGGAAATTTATGTGGCTATGGAAGAGCAGAATCAATTTACCTCTGGGATTAGAAACTTTCAGAGTAGATGGAATATGGAAATAGACTCTTAAGTATTTCCCAAAAGAACTGACCTGGTAGACAATCTGATTGCTACACCCAAAACTCCACATGCCCTGCATGGGCTCTCATCTTCAGTGCCTTCCATACTTATGGGATTGGTTTTCTGAAGCAAGTCAAGGTAGCTGTCTTCTTACACCTTTTCCTGCCATGAACACTTAGTATTATACTCATTTGTTTTCTATTAATGTGCTGCACACCCACCCACCCCCCAAAATGCCTATCTTTTTTAAAAAAATTTACTTATATATATAGTGTTATGTAACAGTAATAATTTCTAAGAGATCACTAAATTTTAGACATGAAATACATTAAAAATTACCTGGGTTCTCCCTAGTGCTATAGGACAGTAGGCTCTTATAAAAACAAGTGTACAACTTTAAACCAATTAAAAAACACATACAAAAAAACCCATCATATTCCATGAAATACAAATACATCATACTCCATGAAGTCTTTTGTATACAGTGGGCGCTTGGTGTTCATAGTTTCCAAATCTGTGGATTGAACCAACTGTGGTTTGAAAATATTTTGGTAAAAAACATCTGTATCCTTACCAAACATGTACAGATTTTTCTTCTTATTGTTATTCCCTAATGAATACAATGTAACAACTACTTACATAGCATTTAATAGTATTAGGTATCGTAGGTAACCTAGAGATGATTTAGCATATATAGTAGGAGGGTGCTATTTTATATGAGGGCCTTGAGCATCTGCAGGGTTTGGTATCTAAGATAAGTAGTAAAGCCAGTTCTCCAGTGATGACTGTAATTTCTGTAGAGTTTGGTAGCAAGCATACTCATTATTCCTCCTAATTGATAATGATTTTCTCCTCTCTGTTTCAGGGTTTGACCACTGCCACCCTGAGGTGTATGAACATTGTAAACGCCTGCTTCTGCACTTACTAATAGTGATGGGACCCAACAGTAACATCCGAACTGTTGCTTCTGTCCTTCTCAGGAACAAGGAGTTTAATGAGCCCAGGGTGCTTACAGTCAAACAAGTTGCACACTTAGATTACACTTTCACAGGTATTTACCTTAAACCTACACCTTTAATGGAGAAGTATGCTTCATTAATTTTGAATCTCACAGTAGAGAAAGTCAACTAAATAAAAGTTGAAATACTAGGGCAAGCTTTTAGAAAACAGTTATATTTAAGTTATCATTTACATTCTTTGTTTAGTTAAAGAATGTATTAAAATATTTGATCTATATTGCTCTTAAGGATCTTTATCACACAAATGTTAAGTTTTGAATATGTAAGTTGAAGAGCGTTGAATTCACTGAATACTAGCCACAAATAAAATGAGGTTGCATTAGATTCCCAGCTCACAAGATCTGGACGCTGACAAATTTAGACATTTAATTTTTTTTTACTTACTTCATTATCTTTGCTGCATTTAAAATGTTATGTGTTTTGAAGTAGCAAGGTCCAAATTAAGGAAACTGAAATATCCAACTTATTTCACTGTCATCATTTTTTTTACTTTAAAAGTTATGCTATCTTCCTTCCTAATAGCCCCAACTTATTTCTTCCACTCATTAGTACACCAGACTAGGAATATGATCTAGATTGTTTTGTGCATGCAGTGCTGGGGATTGAATTTAGGGCTTCACACATTCTAAATCAGTGCTCTATCACTGAACTACAGGCTCAACCTGAAAATAATTATTTTCAGAAATTGAAATTAAATTGCCAGTTTTTGTTGAATATGTGGTTAATAAATTTTAAAGACAATCAGTTAAAACTTTATTATTTACTTAAAATAATGTAGTAACAAAATGATTATTAGGAAACATTAGCTTTTTAAGATTATGGTTTAGGGGCTGGGATTGTGGCTCAATGATCAAGTGCTCACCTACCATACTTGAAGTACTGGGTTCGATCCTTAGCACCACATAAAATGTAAAATAAAGATATTTAAAAAAAAAATTATGGTTGAAAGAAAATGGAGTAAAACTTCTTTTTTATGCTAAAGCATCTTTATTCAAACATTTTAGTTTGTTAGAGTTTTTTGTTATTGTTGTTGCTTTATTTTTCTTTTGGTACTGGTGCACTTAACCACCGAGCTACTTCCCTAGCCCTTTTTATTTTAAGACAGAATCTCCCTAAATTGCTAAGGGCCTTACTTAGTTGCTGAGGCTGTTCTCGAACTTGTAATCCTCCTACCTCAACCTCTCCAGTCACTGGGATTACAGGTGTGTGCCCCCATGCCCAGCTTCTGCTGTTTGTCTTTAAGACTCTTTTGCTATTTTAAAAAATACAGCATTAGTAAATGACTTTTGCCAGTATTCATTTAATGTTTAACTCACTATAAATGTTACACATAGTCCTTAATGTAGCTTTTTTAAAATTAAAATGAAGCAAAAATTATAGAATCCTTCCATTAGAAATTAAAAATCATTTCATCTTATGGAAATATGACTGGTTTAATAAAAACATTGAAAAAAATGTACCAAAATATTAGGAAATTGCTACTTTCAACTTTTTTCAGCAGATGGCAGCAGAGGGCCACACAGTAAATCCAGATTGCTGAATTTTAATAACAAGCTGTGAAAAGTGTTTGTTTACCTCCAAGCTGGCTGGCTGCAACGAGGTGCTTCTGAGGATGGTCAGGAGTGCTAAGGGATGTCAGCTAGCACTGATAGGTTTCCTCCTGTGTCCTGTATAATCTATAAGTAACACCCAATGGTCCATCTCTGAAGTGTTTTGCAGCTTTTTTCCTGTGTAGGTATCACTTTGTGGGTACTCATGTTGAGCTTTCTCTTCCAGCAGGCATTAGCGATTTTATACCTGATTACCAGCCCTCCCCCATGACCGACTCAGGGCTTAGCTCAAGTTCTACCTCTTCTAGTATCAGCTTAGGAAACAACAGCGCTGCCATTTCACACCTGCACACCACGCTCCTCAACGAGGTGGACATCTCAGTGGAGCAGGACGGAAAAGTCAAAACCCTCATGGAATTCATTACCTCAAGGTAACCTGCAGCTCTTTCCATCTCTATAAACTGCATTTTTATTTTCTGAAATGCCATGATTCAAAATACACAGGTTTGTATTGCACAGTATTTTGAGAATTGTAATGCATATAAAGATTGTTCTTTTGCATGCCTGCAATCATGCCTCTTACTAACTGCCCAAAGAATACTGTATTATTTGGATATATAATATTCTTTCATTATGTATATTATCAGTCAATCATCAAATACTTGTCTATTCTCTATGCAAGGCTTTCTAAGTAGAGAATGTTAATAGATGGGGAGAAAGGACATGATGTCCCACAGTGAGAGCCAGATCAAAGGACCATGAGAAACAAATAATTCATTCTGACTATAACACTGCTAAATAATGCTAGAAAGCTTGGGAGCATTCAAACTGGAATGCCATGAAATCCAGGCCCGTGGTTATAGATTACATTTAAAATTGCTCAACTAGGACCAAGGAAGTAGCTCATGGTAGTGTGCTTGTCTAGTATGTGCAAGGTCCTGGGTTAAATTTCCAAGCCCCCACCCCCCCCACACACAAACACACTCATACACACACATCATTGAGCTAAATTGGGAAGATGGGAGGAGTAATTTAATAAATATGTGGGAAAAAAATCAGTTCCCTATCAGTGAACTGATTAAGAAATGGAATGGACTGGACCCAGTGTGCCCACCTAAAGGTTTTCAAGGCACTTTGGGCTTAGGCTAATAAGGAACTTAACTGAGGTGATAGCAAAAATGTTGTTTGTTTATTTATTTTTGTGATACTGGGGATTCTATCCAGGAACAGGGCTAAAACTATCCTTTTTCTGAGACAGGATCTTGCTAAGTAGCTGAGGCTGACCTCAAACTTTGCCTCAGCCTGCAAAGACATTTTAAAGAAAGAATCAACAGGACAATATTCTGCCTTAAGCTTTCTCCCTAGTTTTATCTAGCATTGTTATTTTTTACTGCATTTAACCTGTAAATTATTTTCTTTGCATTATAATCTAGGTACAGTCTGAGCTCCATAAATTATGTCTTGAGCTATATAACACATAGACAATAATCAGTACTCAGTAGACAAAATTTCTCATCTCATTACTATCTCTGAGAGAATTTGAATGAGGTAATGGTAGACACTGAAATTAGATCTTTCCTTACTTGATGTAGAACATTCTATATCCATGTACATAAATAATGGATAGATTGTGATCTGCTATTTGATTTGTTTGCTACTGTCCTTTCTAATTATAAAGCCATAGTTTAAGCAAGTTTAAATAAATCTGTTGATATAAATTAAAAACGAGAATTATATCTATTCTGTTTCCAGAAAAAGAGGGCCCCTTTGGAACCATGAGGATGTTTCCGCCAAGAATCCTAGCATAAAGAGTGCTGAACAGTTAACTACGTTTTTGAAATATGTGGTTTCTGTTTTTAAGCAGTCAAGCGCAGGTATTTTTTAATAAATGATACTTAGTTTTAATGAGATATTTTAAGGTGATGTTGAAATTTTGATAATACTTAATTTCAAGTTGATAATGTCAAAATTAAAAAATTTTAGAAAGAGTTTCCTTTTTAATTTGTGAATGCTAACAGATCTCTTTGGGTTGAAGAAAAATTAATTTACTACTTAGAATTATGTCTCTGAAATTGGGGCTTAGTTTTGTGTGTGATGGCATCACAAAATTATAAGACAGCTGTGAATTATAAAGATGATGAACTTAAAAATTCCTTTTTGTACTGGTAAGTCTTCTGTAATCTCACATTTAACACATCTGACAATCATAGTAAAAGTGTATGTGTCTTCAGCAGTGATTGTTTCCAAGGGGTAGTTTTGCAGGAACATACATTGACTTACAAGACTTAGGTGCCTGTGAGACTGGTCTGGTAGCGTGAGGGGTTCTGGTTTTAATGTGGACAGTCTCTAGTTACAACTCTCTAAATTCTATAAAATAAGAGACACCCGCTCATGTCCTTTTTCTCTGCAGAAGGAATTCATCTGGAACATCACCTTAGTGAAGTTGCTCTGCACACAGCGCTTTCTTGTTCTTCTCGACACTATGCTGGGAGATCCTTTCAGATTTTCAGGGCCCTAAAGCAGCCACTATCTGCAACTACACTTTCTGATGTTCTCTCCAGACTTGTAGAAACTGTAGGGGATCCAGGAGAAGATGCACAGGTATTTCATTACATTTTCCCTGCAGTTAGTGAGACACCTGGGGTCAAGGTCTCGCTGCCAAATATAGATTGCAATAGCCAGAGCTAGACAGTGGTCATAATTATTAATGCCCTGTTAACAAACAGGTGAAGAAGTAAACAAAGGTAAGTTTGTAACAAATATTTAATAACCTACTAGTTAGATCATATAGTCTACTGCCTGTGAGAAAGTTTTATACTCATTACACACACACACACACACACACACACACAGACACACACAGTTGGGTATTATTATTTTAGGATGATTATGAGATAAAAAAGGAAGTTAAATTTCAATATAAAGTGAAACATTGAATTTCATTTTTAAAGGTAAGTAAGTAAAACTTACACTAGAAAAACTCAAGTTTGTACCAACTGCTGATTTTATTGTACTCTTCTATTCATTGGGGATATAGTGCTGAACAAAACAAAGTTCCCTGCATTCTGGAGCTCATACTCTGTTGGGGGAAACAAGCCTTTACTCAAGCCAATAACATATAACACAATTTTACTTAGTGATAAATACTGTGAAAATAATAAGGTAAAGGGTTAAAGAGCAGTGGGGTAGAGGGGGTTGTTTTATATATAATAATCTGAGAGGTGATTATCGAATATATACTGGTATGTACTGGGTCCTGTGATGATCTGAGGAAAGAACACTTCAGGCAGAAGAAAATGGGATTAACATGTACAAAGGCCCTAAGGCAGAGACTGTAGGGTGGTTGGGTTATTTTTGTTGTTGTTGTTTTTATGTGTGTGTGTGGGTGGGGGGTTAGGACCATCATGAAGACCAGTGAGGCTAACATATATTGAGGGGAAGGAAGGCTAGTGATGAGCTAGGCAGGTCCAGATCACATAAGGCCTAATAGGCCCTGGTGAGAGATTTGGCTTCACTCAGAATTGATAGGGAAAACATTCAAAAGGTTTTAAGAGAAGGAAGATACTGAATGTGATTTGCTTTTGAAAAAAATTCACTTGGGCATCTGGGTGGAGTCCTTGGGGAGAGTGAGAGTGGAGGTGGGAAAGGACAGTTACTGAGAGAGTCCAGGCGGAAATGGCAGTAGGTTAGGTTAAGGGAAGATTTGGAGGTAGAGAAAAGCAGTCAGATGGAGGATCTATTTTAAAAGTGATCTTTTCAAGACTTACTGATGGATTCAATTTAGATTTGGAAGAAAGAAACAAAAATAACCCCTAGAATTCTGACCCGAGCAGTTCTGGTAAATTGTAATGCCATTATAATAATGTCTACCATTAGTTTGATGAGTTTTCATTAATCAGCCAGATTGTGTTGCTTAGGAGTTTGATCATTTTGTAATATTAATGCAGAGTTCATTCTATTTTTAAATTTCATTGGGAAATCCATTGCAATTTCTTATTTCTAGAGCACAGTTAATTAAATTCTGCCCTTTTCCCCCAGGGATTTGTGATTGAGCTTCTTCTCACCTTGGAGTCTGCAATTGATACTTTGGCTGAAACCATGAAACATTATGATCTTCTTTCTGCCCTTTCTCAGTAAGAATTTAAACCGGGAAACCTATTGAATACAGAATTCTAATAACTAAATTCTTATCATCATTACATTATATTATTTTAATATTTACAATGAAAATAATCCCTGCCACCCCCCTCCAAATCAGATGGGTTACCAGTGGGAAAGCCGGCTTCAGATAGTGAGGACTTCTAAAAAGTGCTGGAGCTAATTTGGTCAATTCTTTTCTTCTAATGTCCTGGTCAGATCTCTTTCTGCTATGTCAGTCGGGCTTCCTTGACAGGCCCCATTCCTGCCACACTTTAGGGACCTATTGTTCCCCTTAGTTACCCTTTAGGATACCCAGATGTGCTCCCAAGAACAACCTGTCCTCCCACTTTCTCTGCCATGCAAACCCCAAATTAACCTTTAGTCCCATCTCAAGAGTTACTTAGCTAAGCTTTTCTAACTCCCCAAAAGCAGTGCTACTTATTTTATCCTTTGGGTTCTCACAGTGCTTTCTTTATATTTTAATAATAATAATTAACTGATTATAACTTTGTCGATTTACATATCTATCCCCCATAATAGTCTTTTAGAAAATATCACTAGCCTTTGGCATGCTGCTGGCCCATGTAGAAGGCATTCAATAAATATTATTTTAATCAATTGGATATGAGGAAGCAGGAGAAATCATAAATTTATTTTTGAGTTTAGTACTCTTAAAAAAAAAAAAGATGCTATTCAAAGAAATAGGCATCAAGTCTGAGGGTCAAATAAATGAGGTCTACTTTGGACAATAATGCGTAATAAATCCCAGATTTGAGAGTTCTCAGATTCTATAGCAGAATCTTCTCAGCAAATCCAACCTCATCCCCACTCAAAAGAAATAGCCACCATAGCCACCAGAAGGCATTGTTGTAGATTTTATTTTAATATGGAGGCAAAGCTGAAATTTGATTAAAGTCAGATATACTGAAACATGATTTTTCTGGTAACAGTTAATGCTTTTCAGTTTTCAAGAGTAAAATTAATGTAGCAAAAGAAGTAACTGCACACGACTTGATCTTTTTTTCTTTTTTCTTCTCTCTTTTTAAGAACCTCATACCATGATCCTATAATGGGAAACAAGTATGCAGCTAACAGGAAAAGCACTGGACAACTCAATCTAAGCACAAGTCCCATTAATAGTAGCAGTTATTTGGGATATAACAGTAATGCAAGAAGTAACTCTTTGAGATTAAGTTTAATTGGTGACCGAAGAGGTGACCGGCGGCGGAGTAACACACTGGATATAATGGATGGACGGATAAACCATAACAGTAGCTTAGCAAGGACTAGAAGCCTTTCCTCTCTACGAGAGAAAGGAATGTATGATGTGCAGTCCACTACTGAGCCTGCCAACTTGATGGCCACCATTTTTTGGATAGCAGCATCTTTATTAGAATCAGATTATGAATATGAATACCTCCTGGCTCTCAGGCTTCTCAACAAACTGCTTATCCATTTGCCTTTGGATAAATCGGAGAGTCGAGACAAGATTGAAAATGTACAAAACAAATTGAAGTGGAACAATTTTCCAGGACTTCAGCAGCTCTTCCTTAAGGGTTTTACCTCTGTTTCTACCCAAGAAATGACCGTGCACCTCCTCAGTAAACTCATTTCTGTCTCCAAACACACGTTGGTGGATCCTTCCCAGTTGTCAGGTGATGTTAAATATAACTGCACCAATGTTCATATAATTGCATTTTAATGTCTTTGAAATGTAAACTAATCAATTGTTTTGAAATCTAATTTCTGCTTTTCTGCAAACAGTGATAGTTTGTTTTATATGTTAGATAATGTAAATGATTTGGTAAAAGGGAAAAAAAATTAGAAGGTTGAGTATTCCAGGAAATGAAAAGAAAATGGTTTCTACAAACCATTTTAAAAATACCTTTAACATTTAAAATAATGTGCAATAAAATTGGTTATTGTTTGCCTTTTTTGTTTTGTTTTGATAGGCTTTCCTCTTAACATCCTTTGCTTATTGCCTCACTTAATCCAGCATTTTGACAGCCCAACTCAGTTTTGCAAAGAAACAGCTAGTCGAATAGCAAAGGTAAGCAAATGTTATGCCAAAAGATAACACTGTAGGGATGTTAGTCTCTAGTTTATCTTAAGAGGGGAATCTCTTAAACATCCTCGTACTGTCACTACCTGTGTGAATTCTGCATCTATGTGTTTATTCTGTCTGTTCATATAAAAGAGTTACATAGCAATATAAGTTGCAACTGTTCAAATGACAGTGAATAAAACTATTTAATTAGAGTAACATTCCTCTGAGTCTGAGTCTTTTTCTGCTCCTTTTCCCTACTTTCTCCTCTACCTCTCTGTCAGTTTCTCATTCATTCATTCCCTGATAAATATTGACTGAGGGCTAGGTTAGCTGCTGGTCATACAGCATGAGAAAAGTGAGTTGAGTACTGGCCTTGTGGATGGTGGGAAACGCAGTCAAGAAGTAGGCGGTAAGTGTTCTGTCAATGGGAGGACCGAACATTTCAGCAGAACATACACCAAAAGCCTTCCTAGAGGAAGTTCTAGCTGAGCTCACATGGAAGGCTGAATAGGAATAATGAAAAAAAGAGCCAGATGTGAGGCCAAGAGTGAGGCCAGGGGTCTCAGTTCTCTAGGCAAAAGAAATGATAACATGTGCAGAGGCCGCAGGGAAGAAGAGGACATAATATAGTTTGAGATTCTGAAAGTTCTCTCTCCCTTTCTGTTTGACTATTTTTCTTTGAAAACTTTCTCTTCACCTTCCCTCACTGTTCCATTCATTCTTTTGTCTCCTGTGTTTGGCTCTTTCCCTCCCACTGTACAGTTCTGAAAATAGTAGTGTAGCTATTTTTAAATTATCTGTTAACTTGCATTTTAAAGTACTATAGTTCTTAATCTTATTTTTAGAAGCTTATGCTATTGACATTTTATATTTTTAATAATTTCCTCAAGAACAATAAGGAACTCTCAAGTAGCTTGCCTTCTTTTTACATATTATTATTATTATTATTTTCTTTTTTGTCATCCACTGAGTCTTGGGCAGAGAAAGACCTTCTGAAAATATAAACAGTTCCAAGGAGTTAGATCAATTTATGAGAAGTATACATACAACAGGAAATTAGGTGAACTAAATATAATGGCTCCTCTTTTGGGATTGAGAGATGGTTGGTGAATACCAACATAAGTGAAGCCATCTAAAACACTGAGAGGAAAAACACTGAGAGAAGTTTTGAACAGAAGGAAACCAGCAAATACAATTTCCAAGAAGAGCTTTTTATATAGCAATTTTTTAAAAAGCTGAGATTCAATTAACAAGTAGCACAGTAAATGGAAAGAACAAGTCACAGAGAGTCAAATAAAATACCTTTCCGTGACCCTGATTGCAATAAATTTATCTCTGAGTGCTGAGGTAGTGAGAAAATCCATTAGCAGTAATGAGAGAACAATCTTTTCACTGTGTTGCTTAGATAATATTTAATAAGTGAAAATATTTCATAAAATATGCTGTTGAGTCTATCCCTAATTAAGTTCCTAGATAAATAAGGTATAGAGAAATTCTTACATAAGCATTTATGGTTAAAAGAGGAGCCATTATTTTAGTTAATGGAAACATATCTTAGTTTTGTAAGTAAAAATGGTAGTGAGAAGAAGTAAGCTAAAAATTGTCCCCTGTTCTTGATTTTATTTAATTTTAAAAATCCAGTAGAACATTATTAAATGAAAAACTACTATTGAAATAAATATTGCTTTTTGAAAAATGATTATTTGCCTAAAAGAAACCAACTACATATGTAGTATGTGCGCCAGTAAGGTTGAAAAGTAATACAAAATATAAAATTTCTTAAAATAACTTTCATTTTAGTATTCTTATGAAACATCATTTAAAAAAAATGTTGTGAACAAGGATTTTTCCCCCATATGAGCACTTACAAAGAAAGTATATGAGAAAAAAAAGGTGTATTGACCTAACTTGATATTTCAAGAAAACAATAGGCACCAATACCCAAAGAGGGAAGTAGACACATTTAAGAGCAGCAGCTAGAACGTGTGGAATAAATAGCTACCCCCCAAATGCTGGGCTCCCCAAAGAGCCTGCCTGAAGGCTGTCACAGCCCTTTGAGTATTAAAGCTGCTGATTTCATGACTATGTGAGGGAAATCCTCAAATATCTTTTTGTTTTTAAGAAATCAAATATGGCCTTCTGTGATTCCTAAATTGTTTTTAATCTGCTTTCTTCCTGTTGGGCAGCACACAGATTTCCTCTTATAAGCTTTCAGCAACCTGCAGGATGTGAATTAAATTGATTCCTTAATTATTCTCTCACTTATAACTGTTGAGAGTAATTTTCTGCCATTATGTGCTTCCTCATTATGCAAATTTCAATCTACTGTTTGTGCCCATGGAGAGCCCAGAATTTTAAAATAAGACAGCACTTAAGACAAATATTTGTTTCTTTCATCATGGCAAAAGTAATGTGCTAAAAAAAAAGTTTGTTATAAAGCATTCTCCTAGGATCTTATTTTAACCTGGTGATTCAAAAATTTCAAAATCTTAAGTCATTTGCACAGCAAACAAAATTGAATAGCCTATATTCCAAGAATGGTCACCCTTTTCAAAAGAGGTTTTTAAAAATCATTCTTTAGAAAATAGATTCTTTAAGAATGTAAAAATTCAATACAAATGTCCCCCCCCCCCCTTTGGAAGGCTTTTTTGCATTATAAAGAATTTAAGCAAGTCAGGTGCTGTAATCTCAGTGGCTTGGGAGACTGAGACAGGAGAATAGCAAGTTCAAAGCCAGCCTCACCAATGGACGAGGCGCTAAACAACTCAGTGAGACCCTGTCTAAATACAAAATAGGGCTGGGGATGTGGCTCAGTGGTCAAGTGCCTCTGAGTTCAATCCCAGATACCAAAAAAAAAAAAAAAAATTTAAGCTGATTATTGTAAAGTTATAAAATTAATGTGATTTAAAAAAAAGATTAGGTTGAAATGCAAATAAGAAACATCAACAAAATTTTTCTTTTAGCATCCTCTTGTTGGTTTTATGGGCAAAAGACTAATGCATGAGATCAGCTGCTTTTAATGGTTTTATAAAATAACTGCCATGGTACTGTGTTGATAGTTGCCTGCACAGTCTTGCATGTTTTTAATCTCAAGTCTGTCCAGTGATGAACTTGAGGCCCTCCAAGTCTATTAAACATCTTCTAAATTATCAAAGTAAATGTCAGTTATATTCATTTGAAAGGTAAATGTATGTATAGATTTAAAAGGTAATGCTCTAAATTTGCTCACTAAATGTTCTAGGCAAGTTGTGAAAATATATATAATAAGATGGAAAAAATCATGAGCAAAATGAAAAGAGGAAAAACTAAAAGCAAACTTTACAATGAGGCTAGACTTTTATGATAGATAAGTATGTAAGTCTAGTGAGGGCCCTTTCCATTTCTAGATTGTTTAAGTATGCCCAGTGAGTGGCTAAGGATCATCCTCGCCAGTAACCAAAAGAACAGACAGTCTAAGGTCAAAAATATCCCCCTGACTTCTGTTGATTCAGACATCATGGTATTGTGTCAAGCCAATTCTAAGAAGTCAGGACATTATGGAGTGGCCTCTAAAAGGCTGGCCAAGGTTCTCAGAGCTTAGGTGATATCCTGAGGAGCAATTTGAGGCCCAGCGTGCAGACTGTTAATGCAGTGAAAAAGAAGGATTCAGTTATATCAGCTCTTCATTGAAATCCTTTGACTATACACATGTTCTGAGGCTTTCTGCAACTGGCCACACTACTGAGATGCCCTGGACATAGTGGAGACTAAAGTATTTCCTGTCTGACATAGCAACTCTGAACCTCCCTGAGAATCTCATGGTGGTCTGCCTATTTAGTCCCTAGACCACTTGTGGATTTGTCAAAACAGGTGTTCCACGTTGTAGATTGTTTTTTACCCAAGACTGTTTTACAAAGTGTCAAACAGAAGAAAACCATACTATGTAGTACCCATAGAATTGTATGTGTTATATTAATCCTCTTTCCATTTTATCAATTGTTTTTCTCTTAAGAATGCTTTCTTCTTTTTTTCCTCTTCTATTTAACTTTTCTACTGTCTTAGAAATACAAATGCATTGAAACTTTAAAATGCAGATCTAAATGATTTCATTAATAAAATACCTTAGCAAGTATAAATTTGTAATCTTATTTTAGGTGAGTGAAATAATTATATTTGTTTTCCAGGTTTGTGCAGAAGAAAAATGCCCTACATTGGTCAACCTGGCCCACATGATGAGCTTGTATAGTACACATACATATTCCAGAGATTGTTCTAACTGGATCAATGTAGTGTGCAGATACCTGCACGACTCCTTCTCAGATACTACATTTAATCTTGTGACTTATCTTGCAGAGGTAAATTTACAAATTTTAAACTGTTTAACTGCTCTGTGGCAAAATTTCAAATGGATTTATTTCTGGAAGCAATAATGCAGTACTAACTAATCTTAAAATTGTCTTCAAGAGTAAATATATATGTCTTTTTTAAAAAAAGAAAAATGTAGATAATTACTTTCAAATAAATGAAGTTTTTCTAAAGTTTTTTTTTTTTTTCCATTTTCAATGTCTATTTCTTTATTCACTGTCCTTAAAACTCTAAATTGAAACTCTCCATTTAGAATAGAAAATGGGTTTTTACTGGTCTTGATCCTAGGAAATGGTTATGATTTTTGTTTCTACAAAATTAGTTCTTGGCTTTAACATCCTTTGTAGGATAACATGCAAAAGCATTTCTGCTAGATAAGTTTTTATTTTCATGATACATTTGCTTCTCATCTGAAATATGGATTTGAGGGGTAAAAAACAGAATTGTTTAAAAAGTAGCCCTAGAACTACATAGAAACTTGACCTTTATTTTTTGATGCATCTGAAATAATAACCTCATGCCCCCAAAAGTATATTATTATATAAATAGCCACAAAGAGAACCACAAATGGAAGAAATTTCTAGTTACTAAAAAATATTTGTCAGCTTACAATAAAGTAATGCCTCCCTTTTTAAAAAGTTGGCCTCAAGAAATTAGGCATAAAACAAACCAGGAAGAAATTATTCATATTATGAATTCTGACTGTTGCTCATAACACTGTTTGACCTGGATAAGTCACTGATATTGAGTATTATAAAATATATCAGGACTAGTATGAATTTTTTAAATGTTGGATTTGATTGGTTTGTTGCCATTAATTTTATATCTAAGTATGCTGACATTAGGCGCTGACGGCCTAATTGAATGCATGTCCCTAGAGCTATCTTATATCTGGACCTTTAGGATGTATTTAAGTGCCTCAGGCCAGCTTCTATTTGTGCCGTCCTGAAGCTCACCATTAAGGTAGTACCAGAGCTTCTGGAAAATCCACCTTGGGGTTCCAAGGTTTGGAACTTGCACAGCGCATCACATATGGACAACATTTTTCCACTCCATAAAGAGAATTCTTTTGCACTAAACATTACTCTTATTCATGGAAGTTATCCTTATGTTATTTATTAATGATCATTATTACCAACTACAGTACTCAAACTAGTTACATATATTTAAAATGATATGTCTTTAATTTACTCAGCCCTGCAAACCCTATGAAGTAGATAGTATTGCTATTTTTGGAGGGGGGTACCAGGGATTGAATTCAGGGGCACTTAACCACTGAGCCACATCCCCAACCCTATTTTTTGTATTTTATTTAGACACAGGGTCTCACTGCATTGCTTAGTGCCTTGTAGTTACTGAGACTGGCTTTAAACTCAAGGTCTTCTTGCCTTAGCCTTCAGAGCTGCTAGGTTTACAGGCATGCACTACCACACCCAGTAGTTTTATTATTTTCCACTTTAAAAAAATCAGGGCTCAAAGGTATAATAATCTTGTGCAAGATCATGTAGCTAATAGATGGCAGTGTCAATGGTTTGTGGGTATTCCATTATTCTTTGATGATGTTGTATAGTGGTTTTTTCCTTACCTAAAATAAATGATACTTAGCCAAATTAGTTAAGAAAATAAGATACTATTATTAACATGAAAATAATTTTCCAATTCTCCTTTTCGAAGCAAGGGGAAAAAATAATACTTACCTTTTACTTTATTAGTCTCTGGGTTTCTGATAATCTAACTATAAACTCATGGATTAGATCTACTGTGTTTTCTAACATTATAAATGTAAATACTGAGTTTTGTTCAATCTGATTAAAGTCTGTTTTTCAATATTATTTGTAGCTGTTAGAGAAAGGATTATCCAGTATGCAGCAGTCATTACTACAGATTATCTATAGTCTATTGAGTCACATTGACCTATCTGCAGCCCCAGCCAAGCAGTTCAATCTGGAGATCATAAAGATTATTGGTAAATATGTACAGGTGAGTGACCACAAAACTTACCTGTGACATTGTTCAACTCAAAACCACTTATAATCATCAAAACTCAGAAATACCCTGAATGTCCAGAAGTAGGGAACATAAATCATATTTTTAGGAATATATTCTACATGGGAAATGTTCTTAATGTATGTGACAAAACTCAGAATCTGAATTGTAGGGGTCTACATTTAAGTAACAACAGGAAGAAATGTACATACACACACGGAAGCCATGACCTGTAGAATCATGACTCATTGCTATTTCTTTGTTACCTTTCCATTTGTTAACCAGATTCTACATAACGAACAAATGTAACTTGTAGAAACAGAAGTCCTCTTTAAGAGTCATATTTTAGGGTTCCCCTGCCTTTTTTTTTTTTTTTTTTTCGTCTGATTTAAAGAACCAGATATGTGAAAGCAGAGAATCACATTTGGTCTAATTGTAAATGGTGACAGGTCACCCTGATTGGCACCAATTTTCACCTTTGAATTGTCTGTAAAGAAAGGCATTGTTGAGCAGATCAGTAGTCTGGATGTGACTCATCAAGGGAACAAGCTGTTTTAAGAGCATTCACAGATGAATATTTTATATTTACTCTGCATTGCATTTGCATTCACTCAAGCAGAATTTAAAAAAGGAAATACTTATCTACCAAATACAAAATGCTCTTTAGTTTAAAAGCCATTAACTTCATTCATCTAGAAAATTTACCTATATATTATCCCTTTGTTTACCCCTATTGCCAGATTATAAGATTAGACTTTCCAAATTAATGTTTATAAAGCATTTTTTGAAAGAAGGATATTCCAATTTGGTAATATTATTAGGTATTTGGTGTCTGATAAGCTTGACAGTACGAATAAGTTGTGTTTTCTTTCCTTTTGTACCTGAGCCCTTCTGCTAAAAATCTCATAGGAAAAAAGAATCATCTTTACAGGTGTTTTAATGGAAAGAATATTTTCATAGTCTACAGTATACTAAGTTTTTTTTCTTGGTTAAATATGCTTTTTTAAAAAGTTCTGTATGTTAACTATTTTTTAAACCAGAGTCCTTATTGGAAGGAAGCCCTCAACATACTAAAGCTTGTGGTGTCGCGCTCTGCAAGTCTTGTGGTACCCAATGACATCCCCAAGACCTATGTGGGAGATATAGGCTCTCCTGAAATATCCTTCACCAAAATTTTTAATAATGTCTCTAAGGAGTTGCCTGGGAAGACTTTGGATTTTCATTTTGATATCTCTGAGGTAAGATGCTCAGAAATTAATGGTGGTGCTCTGTTAGGGATTTTCATTTGTTCCTTTATTGAGTCTCTCATTCCCAAACATTAGGGAATGAACTCATCCTTAGTATTAGATACTGTGCCAGGTGCTGTGAAAAACAGAGTGGGGCAGGGGGCTGGGGATGTAGCTCAGTTGGTAGAGTGCTTGCCTTGCATGCACAAGGCCCTGGGTTCAATCCTCAGCACCACCATAAAAAAGAGAGAGAGAGAGAGAGAGAAGGCCTAGAAGCTTATAGTGTTGAGGGAACAACCAAATTAGTGCTTGCCTGAATGTAAATTACAGTGCTATAAGAATATATAGTGTGCACCTGAGAGGGTGGTTTCAGGGAGAAGTAACTTCCAAGCTGAGTGCTAAAAGATAAGTAACCCTAGGCAGGCCTAGGTGGCAGTTTGTGGAGGGGAAGTTAAATCCAAGAAAAAGGAACCTGTGTGAACGGACACTTATAAATTTGAGAAAGCATAGTATTGCAGAAGCTTCCCACAGTACAATGTAGCTTGAGCTCAGAGTACAGAGAATTGAGAGAGAGTGTGCTGAGAGACCCACCTGAGGGCACAGGAGCAAAGCGGGACCCCACAGGGAGCGTGCATGCCAAAATACAGAAAACAGGAGCTTTGAAAGGATTTTTAACTGGTTTAGGAAATATTAGGATTTTCATTTTAGGAAGATCACTCTAGCAACAGGATGGAAAATAGGCGAGGGAGGAGGAGAGGAAAATCATCAAGGAATCTGTTAGGATAATTCAGGCAAAAGATAATATGGGATGAGACTGTCCCAAAACCATAGCATGAGAAGGAAAGAGGAGAGAAAGAGTGGTTTATGAAAACACCAAGGAGAGCCGGGGAGGTATCTTAGCAGAGCACTTGCCTAGCTTGTGCTAAGCCCTGAGTGCAATACCTAGTATTGTTTAAACAAAAGGAAACAAAATTTTTTAAAAGACTAAAGAAGTATCTGAAGTATGTGATAGGTTTTGAAGTGAAGGGGGAGATGCTAGCTAGGTGAGGAAAAGGTATCAGGATTTGGTGAATGACCTTAACAGCTGAATGAATGTTGGTACCATTGAGAGAGAATGGTAACACAAGAACAGATTCTAACAGGGAAGGAGAGAGTAATGAGTTTGTTCTTGGACTTGCCGACCCTGAAATGACTAAGAAACATACAAAATGGAGGCACCTAGTGGATAACTAGATTTTGAGATCTAAAATTTTAGATGAAAAATTGGATAGAAGTCACAATTAAAGGGTTTTCAGTGTTGTGTAAGTGGATAGCTGAAACCATGGAAGGAAAACTAAAAAGAAAACAAGGCTGAAATACAATGAAATCTGAGACGCCAGATAAGCCAGACATGTTAGGGCTAGACAGAAGCACATTCTTCTAATGTGGTTCAGAAGGAAACCTGCAGTCTTTGTTATATTAATACAAGTCTCAATTTTGACCTTAGTTGGAAGTGCCCTCCACCCCAACCGCTTTCCCTAATGAGCCCAATTTTGGTGGCCTAGGTGCCATTGAAATGGTCTTCTGGAAGTCAAGAAAGGAATTTTAAAGAGGGAAATTATTGACAAAGTATTATAGGAGGCTGGGCACAATGGTACACATCTGCAATCCCAGCAACTCAGGAGGCTGAGGCAGGGGGGTTGCAAATTCAAAGCCAGCCTTAGCAATTTAACAAGGTCCTCAGCTACTTAGCAAGATCTTGTCTCAAAATAAAAAATAAAAAGGGCCGGGGATGTACCTTAGTGGTAAAGTACCTCTAGGTTCAATCCCCACTACCTGCTGCCAAGAGAACATTATTGAAATATAATTATCAATATGCATTAAATGCCAGAACTAAATAGACAAATCTGAGTGGTAAGATTACAGGTGTTTTTTTCATATATATATATTTATTTCTGGGGCTTTCTTCAGGGAGGATGTATTTCATTATCGTAAGGGGGAGGAACAGTGGAGGTGGTGGGTCATTAAAGATAGCAGATTATATTTACAGTAGGAAAAAGCTCTCTGTAATCTCAGATATGAAATTATTATTTTCAGTTAAAGTTTTGATGTAAAAACAATATTATGATCTTTGATTTTTTTTTTTTCCAACACCATAACTTTCTCCTTATGTGTTTTTTGGTTACTTTCAGAAAATGTCATCATAGGTTCACTGTTAACTCTTGCAAGTTTCTTTAATGTTGAAGTATATGTATCAATTGGCATTTTGTTTCTGTATAGACACCAATCATTGGAAATAAGTATGGTGACCAGCACAGCGCAGCCGGAAGGAATGGGAAACCCAAAGTGATCGCTGTCACCAGAAGTACCTCCTCCACCTCCTCTGGTTCCAATTCTAACGCCTTGGTTCCTGTCAGTTGGAAAAGGCCACAGTTATCACAGGTACATAAGGGCATCAACACTGGACATTCACAGGCTACAAGAACCAATCTTGTTACATGTTTGAAACCTGAGAGTTTGCCTTATTTCATCAGCAATACTAACATTTGAATTTCTTCTCTTTAGCGAAGAACACGAGAGAAGCTAATGAACGTGCTTTCACTCTGTGGTCCAGAATCTGGCCTCCCAAAGAATCCATCCGTGAGTAGTTATGAATGCATGAGTGAAGGTTGTCAAAGTCGTGCTGTTCCATGGAGAAATGATTCTGTCTCCTTGCTTGCCTTTTCTAACTGAGTTATAGCATTAACTAAGAATGAAAAATAATGCTTGCCTCTTGTGATACCAGGCAGCTATGCTAAGTTTCCAACTAGTTAGCCAAGAAGACCAACTTAGACTCTGAATTCATTGAAGGATGAGGCCTGCAGTGGCTCTGGGGACTGATATCTCATATGCAGAGTGACAAAGCTGATTGGTGGACTTTTTTTCTTTCCTTTTTCTTGTCGGGCCTCAGGTTGTATTTTCTTCTAATGAGGACTTAGAAGTCGGTGACCAACAGACTAGCCTTATTTCTACAACAGAAGACATAATTCAAGAGGAAGAAGTAGCTGTCGAAGATAACAGCAGTGAACAACAGTTTGGTGTATTTAAGGATTTTGACTTTTTAGATGTTGAATTGGAAGATGCAGAGGTAAGAATGTGGACTTTCTATGACATTTATAGAATAGTTATAGTTGTATCAGGATTGGGCCATAACATCTTTCCTTAACTCAGTGAAGGTCACCAAGGCCAAAAATCTAAATTAGGAACTAAATGTGATTATTATAACTAGTCAGTAGCAGAATAAGTCTGAAATAAACATGGAACATTTGATTTTCATCTTTAAAAATGCAAAGTAGAAACATGGATTTCTTAAAAAATTTTTAAGATATGCCTATGCCTAAATAGTTTGCATAAACTATGCAAATTAATTTGCTGGGAAACAGTAAAAATTAAAATTGATCAAACATAATTTTAAAGAGGGTGGCATTTGCCATGAAACGGACATTAGGAAGGTTTGGTTTTTCTGAACTTTTCTTTGTGACAGATAACAGATTTACCCCATGACATTCCTAACCACTTTCTTCTTGATGACTTGGGTAACTCTTCCCCATGCCTCTTTTCATTTGATACCCAAAGGGCTTTCTCCTCTAATTGTATTGATAGTTGTGTCCATTTTGATGTTTTCTAAGTGGAAAATCAAAGACAAAAAGTACTTCAGCCCACACAACTGAGCTAGTTGGTAGTTACAGCTTGTATTTAGTGTGACTCCATAAGGTCTGCTGTTGCTTCTGTGCACTCTGCCCTTCTATACAGGTCAGTTTGACCTCTGACAGCAGCAAGACGGTTGTCACTGCTGTATGTGACCTTACATCTCCATATAATAGTGTCAGAGGAAGTAATGGTTGCTTCCAGAAATGACCTCAGAATAGTGAAGAAGTTGCTTTACTAAACGCAAACTTTTTGTCATATTGCATTGACCCAAGGTGAGACACACGCCAATTTCTGAAATGATCACTATGGCAAATACAATAAGATTGCCAGGTTTTCTTAGGCTAGGAACCCTGTAGTCAATTCCCTAAACCACAGTCTCTTAGAAAAACCCAAAAAGTTTATATGTCAAATAGGTCAAAAAACTGTACATCATAAAATTATCACAAGTATCTATAATGCAAGAAGATGACATGTAAGCCTTTATAGCAAGTGTTTATACCATGTTTTGATATTTTTTCCATAAAATATTGAAATTCACTCCAATAACTGGTACATGTTATCAGCTCTCATGAGGGGATGTTTCCTATAGTTCTAACAGGTGACATACATACAAGAAGGAAATGTGCTGACCTGTGCTGTGTCACACTGTCAGTTGTTGATGGACCCACTTAAGTAGATAAGGTTCCCATCCTCAGTATGCTGCAGCCGGCCCTGCAGATGTGAGGACATGACCACAGTGCCTGGAGCCATACAGATGCCTTCACAGCAGCTGGGGGACTCCTGTGTAATGTTTCCCCAAGTGCCTATTCCCTCCAACACAGCTGGGCAGGTTCAGAGGACCCCAAGGACAAGTACAATATTACTGAGTACTTGGTAGGGCCATGACTTTAAATTTTTTTTGATAGTAATGCACAGTTCATGTATTTTACATTGCATCAAAGTGTATACATAGATACACTTTTAAAATAATGGAAGTTTCAAGGATATATATCCTTACTCTCTATGTTGATGTACTAATGTTTTCTATTCCGTGCCTTTTCTTTCTTCCTATTCTCCTCCACACACACACCCTGCCCCAGCCAAAAAAAAAAAAAAGGTGGGGGGGGGGGCAGGTCACCACCCTAAAAGTGATTTCACACTCATTATTTGAAAAATATATTGTAGGAAGGAGAACAAGCTTTCATAGCCAGGAGAGAAAGTTGGGTGGGTTCAAGAGGCCTGCGGCCCTTCCCCAGGGGCCTGAGTGGCTTCTCAATTCTTCTGCAGTTACTTTTTTTTTTCCTAGTTCAGAATTTAAATTTCTAAAGGTAGGCTCTTGACATTTTTGTAATGGTAAGGTTATTATTTTTTTGTTTGCCTTTTTACTTTAAAGAGCACTGTAAATGTTTTCAAGTTCATCTGGTGCTCTAAAATGTCAGAAGTAATAAATATGGCTTTTAGTAGAACCTTACTCAGAATGGATTCAAGATACTTCCTGTCATTTTGTCTTTAATTGAAGTCACAGGAATCTGGGAGAAGATGTGGGGATGCTGATTTGTACCTCATAATTTAAGCCAAATCAAATAATACATATTTTCTAAAAGAACAGCTATAGTCTTGCTTAAAAATGGTAATAGGAAATATTTTGGTTTAAAAAAAAGGTCTCATGAATGCAACTTTTAACACACCCTCCAACTTTGAAAATCACAGTGAATACTAATTCATCACCTAATATATTTCGAGGATGGTTGTCATTGTTATATGATATGCTACATAATATCATATGAAATGATGCATTCTAGGAAGGTAGTTTTCAAACTCTGACCTGCAGAGGCGTAGGGCATCTAAGATAACTTGAGAAACAGCCAGGAAGGATCCAAGAGCTAAATGGGAAGAACTCCTGGACACCCTCTGCTACCTGATCAGCTCAGTATTTATTTATCAGTTTTGCACAATTGGTTTCCATCTAAAATTCCTCTGCTTTATTAAAAAACAAACAAAAAAAGATTTGAAACCCTCTATACTGAACATTCTCTCCTGTGTAAAGGGAAACAATCAAATCATATTTTCCAGACCAACTCAGTGTAATTTCCTGAACCAACTCAGGGCCCAAGAGAATTACATCCATATGAAAAGGATGACCAGCGTAGATAACAGATGCATAGCTTATATGAATCTACATATGGCTGAAATTGAAATTTGTCATATTTCCTCTTGACCTTTTGAAATTGGCAGTGGTTATGTTTTGATGGCTATGATCTTGATTTTAAAATTTTTTATAGTAAAAAATATCCATTGCATTTAACAAGAGCTGTCCTATAGATTAAAATCATGTGACCCTGTATGTTGTCAACTGAATGTGGGTATTTTAAGTCAGTTTTTGCATTGTGCCAAGTATTAAATCTGTAAATCTTGAAGATTCCTTAAAGTTTGTGTTGCCAGAGTGTACTATAGAAATGTTGTTGTGTCTGTCTCTTTTTCACAATATATTTTGCATTAAAAAAGTAGTTTGAATTACATGTTGGCTTCCTGCAAAAAGCTTAATCCAGAGCTTGAATCAGTCTTTGGGTTTGTGAAAGTGCAAGAGTTTTCCCAAAAAGTGTAGCGTATATTTAAATGTTTGTCTTCGTTCTTTCTAATTCTGTGTGTTTTCCTTTTTGCTAACCAGGAGCTGCAGGTAAGTGTTAGCCTGGTGTGGTTGACTGTTTCTTCGTTGTCATCTGTGATATACTTGTCCTTCTTGTGGTCTCATTCATGTTTGTGTATTAGAATAGAAATGGCCTAGAAAATAGATTTAGTTGGACCCTCAATAGACAGAACATCAAGAAAATTGTTTAGTGACAACAGGTTATCAATGAAATAATTTTGATCTCTTTCAAGATAGACATTTAATGATGTGTTTAAGTTTAAAGAAATTGAAGGGCTGATTGAAACTCTGCTTTGGATAATGCATTCAGTATTCTTCATCTTGGTACATGTCTTCTGGTGTCTTACATTTACAGCATGAAGAAACATCGGTTTGCGGTCTTAGCAATCATGTCTTCCTTTTCCAGGGTGAAAGTATGGACAATTTCAATTGGGGAGTCCGCCGGCGCTCACTGGACAGTATTGACAAAGGGGACACACCATCCCTCCAGGAGTACCAGTGTTCTAGCAGCACCCCCAGCCTGAACCTGACAAACCAGGAGGACACAGATGAGTCCTCAGAAGAGGAGGCAGCTCTCACAGCGAGCCAGATTCTCTCGCGCACACAGATGGTATACAGTTAACCTTCCTTCCAGTGAAAATGGTCTCATTTGACTCTTTAACTTCCAGCTTAGAAATTATTGTTTCCTGGTCTCCAGTTTTCATGTCATTATGGGCAAAGTGCACACACTGAAATGAAAATGCAAAATGTCAGTGTTAAAGGAGTGTTCCTTATGACAGAACTAAACTTTAAGTGGTTACAGCATGCCCGTGAGTAGTTAGATTATAGTTCATCTTGGTTTCTCTCCTGTTCTTGAGTTGTTTTGGCACTTTTAAGGGCTCTCCTCTTCAACAATACCTATTTCTGGTATCACTGTGAACACCACACCCATTCTTCTTTCCTAGAGTAGTGTGCAGGATGGAGCAAGATGGAGTAGTGTACTTGCACTAAGTCAATTATGTGGAATTTCTCATCCACAACCCAAGGGCCAGATGACAGAGTTAGAGAGTGAAACATGGGAAATAATTGCTGCAAGAGCCATCTCTTTTTTCAGAAATATGGGGATGTAAGAAAAGCTAAATTTGCAGCCAAGTAGGATCAGGAGTTGAAGATGGCAATGTGAGAATTAGCCACCATGACAACCACAGAAGCCTGTGGTCACCAATTCTTACATGAAAGCCTTTTTCATACTAAAGCAAACTATGTCTCCCTTTAATGGAGACCCATTTGCTCTATGTGGTCACGTGCCTACACTGATGTTGTACCTGGCTGACTTTCGACAAGATGTAAAATTGTCAGTTTGTGGTTGGCTTCCTGTTTTGACACTTCACTGTTACCCTAGTACATCTTTCTATATCACCCATGTTTAAGGGTTAAATGATAAACGATTGCTGCTAGCCGCAGCAGCAGCAACAGCAGCGGTCACTTCCTGAGTGACAGCCAGCTCTGTGCAAGGTGTCTCATAAGCACTAGTCTCTATAGCTCACCCCAGCCACACAGGGTATTGCTGAATTGCAGATTAAGTGACTTGCCCCAAGACGAAGCTAGTGAGTGGATTTGAACCAGCCAGTCTGTCTCTAGTGCTGTGCACCTAAGACTTGATCTTCCAAAGAATGTTTTTTCATGTAAAGGAGTAGTCAAGTTCCTGGCCACAGGGTCTGACTGAATGAGGCAGCCCATAGGCTTGAAGACAGCTTTGCCTTTGTGTAATTGTGTCTTAATTACACACACTACAGCTTTGCCTCTATGTGACTGCAACTATAGGCTTGGGGGTACAAGTACTTTTTACTAAAACACTGTGTGACTCTGGTCAAGTTACCTAACATTGCCTTTAAAATGGGACCCCTGATAGAGTTTGCCTCTCAGGTATTTATGATGAGGAAAGTCTCCTGGCATACAGTAAGTGCTTAATAAAAGATCTTAGCCTGGCACAATGTCACGTACCAGTAATCCCAGTGACTGGGGGGCTGAAGCAGGAGGATTGCAAGTTTGAAACCAGCCTGGACAACTTAACAAGACCATGTCTGAAAATAAAAAATAAAAAGGGCTAGGGATGTAGCTCAGTGGTAAAGCATCAGGGGTTCAATCCCTAGTATTACTCCCCACCCCCCAAAAAAATTTTTAAGTTGCTTCCTCTTTATAAGAAAAATATTAATTTTTGCTTCTGTACCCTTCGTCATAAACTTTATGTTTCTTATGTTAAATATTGACCCCAAGAAAACTATAACTCTGGTTAAAAGGAAAAGGCATACATATTTTTTTAAATTAGTAATAATTACTTTTCAAAGAAAATAAACCTCACCAAATATGGCTCGCCTTTATAACAACTTTATATTTTTTCCTTTGTCTTATTGAAATTGTGCAGTGTTGATTTTTGCTTGTATAAGTGAGTGGCCAGTTGATGTGGGTGCCTGCCCCTCCTTCAAGACTGCATCTTTGAGAACTCCTCATGCCTGGCACTGGAGGTCCAAGGGCTCCTACCTTTACAAATCCTCAGACCAACTGAAATAGAGACCACAACCATAAAAATATACAAAAGACGAGCATAGTTTTTATAGAGCTCTTCCACTTTTTTTTGGCAAGACATATTAATACATACTTAGCTTTCTTCTGGGGAGTCAGCTGCTTGCATTAATGCCCATTCTTGTATAGACTGGAAAAAAAAAGATAACTAGGAAGTTCCAGAAGCTTTTTATAACTAAATTTCTAAAATGTTCTTCTTGTGGGTTTTGTGACATCTCAGGCTCATAAATAGATTCCTCATTTCACTCTCTCCCCTGACAGTTAAACAATGACTCTGCGGTCGATGAAACCATTCTGGACCATCCCGACTTACTTCTTCAGTCTCAGGATTCCACTGGCAGCAACACCACGGAAGAAGTGCTTCAGATCCAAGACGAGACCCCAAGCTCGGAGACTGGTCTAAATAATTCTAGTAGCCAGCTGCCTGAGGTGGGGAGAAATGGGGCTGGCGCATGGCCAATCTAGGTTCTTCCTAGCACTGTTCCATCCCTTGCTTTTCTTTCCAAAGAGTTTTCATCTGATGTGCTAATTATTTGATTCATTCCCAGTATTTCTAACCTGTTGGGTTGTTATAAACAAAGTAGTCAAATCCGATTTTTTTTTTTAAGTCAGTAGGTAATAATGGAAAAATGACCCACAGGTTAAAAATAATCTCCAGTGTTTCAATGAGCATTTTGTGTTGCAGTGTGTGACTCGGTTACTGGGCAGGCGCTTCTCTGGGAGTGGCAGGCATCATTTGTGGCGCTACGTTTTCTTTGAAGGATGGCTTTTGCTTTTCCTTCCCTTTTTGCTTTGTGTTGGGTTCATGTGATTGGTGCTGTGATTGGGATCAGGACCTCAGGCCAGCTGTGTTCGCAGTTGGTTAAAGGAAATTTCTTAAAAAGACTTTGGAGCCACTAGTATTTATGTTTTTTGGAAAGGCCTGTGAGAAGTAAGCCAGATTCCAAGCTATTGACTGACCAAAAATAAGTAAGTACTAGTTTTCTGAGTGTTTTTTTTTTTTAAGACTATTATAGATTACTTTAAAAAGTGTAATTGCTATAGCTCTCTCTGGTATGTTCTTTGATGCCTTGGTGTAGGTATTAGAAACTGCTATATTTTTGTCAGTGTTAACCACATTAATATAGTTACTGGATCTATACTAATCTAGCTACTAGATCTTATTATTTTAGTAAGGTGAATTCTCATGTTCTTAGTTGATGATTTATTTTCCATATTTGAATTCTCCTTAACCGTATGCAGGTATATTTTGGAATGAAGGCATTTTGGCTTCCTTATGAGCAGTCTTGAAAATACTTATACTACTATGGCTAATGTTTAGTCAATTCAATTAATGAAATATGTATTGTGATTTCACTACATGCCTGGCAAGCACCTAAGAGTGAGAAAGCAAGAATACCACATGGCTCTGTTCTAAGGAGTTTTTTGTCTATGTTAAGACAAAGATTTTTTTTTAAAAAAAATTACATTTTCATATGAGAAACAGTAATTCAAGTAATTCAGGTCCAAGGCTATGTGAAAATTCAGAGGAGAGATCAGCTGAACCTTGGGGATATTAATGGTAAAAGACAGACTTCAGGGCAACCAGCACTTTCAGGCAGAGGGACGCCATGTGGAAGACCAGGCATCATGAGACAGTATGGTGTGCTCTGGTAACTACAAGAAGCTCAGTATTTATGAGAATAACATGGACGAGGTGAATAGAATCTAAGACATTCTGGGTCCTGTGGGCCATTCTAAAGACAGGCTTTAGTTTGAGATAATAGGAAGTCATGTGGGCTTTTTTTTTTTTTTTTTAATATATGTGATAGTCAGCATTCCATGTCTGCCTGAGATAATCAACTTCAAAAGAAGAAAAGTTTATTTTGGCTCAGTTTTAGAGGTTTCATTCCATGACCAGTGAACCTGTTGCTTTGGGCCTGCAGGGGCACATTTAAGCAGATGCATGTGGCAGAGCAGAGCTGTTCACCTCATGGCCTGGAACAAAATAGAAAGGAAGAGGAAGCGGGAGGCAGTTGGGGTCCCTCAGAGCATATCCCCAGTGACTTGAGACCTCCCGCTAGGCCCCACCTCTTAAAGGTCCACTGCTTCCCAATAGTGTGCCCTTCTGGAGGGAAGGTTTTACCAAATGGGCTGTTGGAGGACATTTCAGACCTAAGCTGAACAATACTTATTATGTGACAAGCACTGTGCCAGATACATAGATGAAGATAGAGGGCATATATGAGCTTTCCTTCATTGATTTAATCAGCATCTACTGAGTCCCTACCTCAAGTCAGACATTATTCCGGGCACAAAGCAATGTAGAAAACAAGACAGTGGCTCCTTATGTTATGGAGCCTAGTCACAGGAGTGACCAATAATGAACAAAACAAAAAAATAACAAAGTATCCATCCTATTAATTGTACTATGAAAATATCATAGTAATGTGGTTTGAGGTGAGGGAGAAAGCATTTGAGGTGAAGCCTAAATAGTAAGTAGCCAGTCTATGAAAATTTAGAGGAAGAATGTTCCAGGCAGAGGAAGCAGCAGTTTAAAAGACTCTGGGTCGTGTAGAGAACAAAAGAGCTGCCTAATGGGGCTGGAGTGCAGTAACGGAGCAGGGGAGCAGGAGTCCCAGGGTGAGCAGCAGGCCACAGGCTGGTAACCATGAGAGATTTCGAAACAGAAGGACATGATCTGATTATGCCTATTTTTTAAAATCTTGGCTCCCCCTCCCCCACCACCCCACCTTGGAAAATGGAATGTAGGCTATAGTGCCTGTCACATAGAGCTTGCAGTTAGGTGCCTGTCATCAGGGGAGAGTTATAGTCTTCTTTGTGTCCTTGTGAAGTCTCTATGATGGAGGTGTGGGTGGCAGATTGGAAAAAGTTAAGAAGGTAAGCTAGAAAGAAAAGAGCTAGAGAAGAGGAGGGCCTGAACTGAGATGGTGCATGAACATAAAAAAATATTTGCAGGAGAGACTTGAGAGAGTGACAGGTGCACTTTAGATGGCATTCCTTTCATTGTCTGAAGATTTGTTCGGTAGCTGTACCATTAGTTATGAATCTAATCTGTCCCATCTGGATTGGATCATAGCCTATTAAAAGGTCAACAGACCTGCTCATTAGAAACAGTGAAAAACAGATTGGTACAAGAAACACCTTTTTAATCAAAGCAGCATGGCAGCGGCTAGATATTTTAATTTCATTTTAAAAGGGGGAAAATCTTCTATTCTGGGTTATGAAAGTTACTATCATAGTGAGGGAAATTACCTCCTAAAAACTTCATATATATTGCAACCAATATGTTCTTTCAATTGGGGCATCCACCCATTATTCATCTGTTGTAGTGGACCTACTTGCTAAGCACTAAAAAGTTCCTGGGACCATTGTTTCTTTTAAAGGGAAAACATTTTGGTTTTATGGGTGGTGCTGGTGTTGTTGCTGCTGCTTTTTATTTCCTTTAATAGTGGTGAATTCATTACTACTACACACGTCATGACAGTAAGAATGAAAGGGGTATTCTAACACCACACTATTTTATTTACAAACAGTTCTGATGATAAAACAGTCTCCCACAGGGAGTAATGCTACACGGCACCTGTTGGCTATATTGGTCCAATTCGTTTTTCCTTCATGGCCGTATAGTGTCAGATGACCCAAAATTGCCTCGTTTAAAAAACAAAAAAAGTGTTTAAGTATATTAATATAAACATATTAAAATAAAATCATAATCATTTTAAAATCAACTTTTTAAAATATACAATTAATTTCAATAGGTGAAATATTTTATGAGTTAAAAGAATATTCCTTAAAGTATTTGAATTTTTCCCTTAAATTATGTTCATATTGGGAAGATCAAAGAGAATGGGCTAATGCATTTCATGTCATGATAGAAATTCAGAGCTATTTGTCCCTTCTCTGCAACATATACAAATTATGCTCTGATCTCTAGAAAGAGTTCTTTATTTGTATTTATTAGAAAAATCTTCACAGAGGGTTATAACAACTTAGAATCAAATTCATGAGCCTCATAAATAATTCCTTATAGAAAATGAATCTGAATGTTACATACAAAGCATGTGTGTATGTCACTGTCTAGTAAGGTAAAGGCCAAGGAAATTTGATTCTCAAAATCTACATATACAAAAGGAAATCCATTCCATTAGCCCAAAAGCACTTTCTTCATAAAGTCTAGGTTTTACTAGAATGTTTCTGTATATAATAATTACTGATAAAACATTGTCTTTGAAATTACACTTTGACAAATGTAACCAAATACAGGTGTGAATTAATGAATATTGATTCATTCAAATTAATGGAAAAGTAAGGCTGGGTATGGTGGTATAATCCCAGTAACTCAGGACGCTGAGGCAGGAAGATAACAAGTTCTAGGCCAGCCTCATCAACTTAGTGAGACCCTGTCTCAAAATAATAAATAAATAAATAAATAGAGTTGCTATAGCTCAGTGGTGGACTGCCCCTGAGTTCAAATCCCCAGTACAAAAAAAAAAAAAAGTAAAAGGGAATAGAGACTATTATCAATAAAATTTGTAGATGTAGAAGTATCTCTAGTACTGTCTCATAAATTCTCTTTCCTAACTAATGCCTTCAATGCCCAAGTCTTTTTTTAAAAATTTTTAGATGGAAACTATGGAGTATATTGAATATAAGTTATTGTTCTGTATTATTTTAAGCGCTATTCTGTGAAGACGTAAGAGTTTGCTGCTATCCCTGTACTGTGTTTTCTTCCCATATTCCTGTGTCTTTGATGTCCTGTCATCCCTTTCCATGGAACACCATCCCTATGTGGCTTCCTCTAAGGAGACTGGTCTTAATTTTCTCAAACAGTTGCAGTCTCCCCTTCTTTGAGTACCAGTGGTCATTTGTGTGTTGCTGATGGTATTCACCATTCACTTACCACATGCTAATATATACTGTTGTCATTTGCATGTTAGCTGAACCCCATTAGTAGATCATGAACTAATTGTGATCAGGAATTAATTTATACCAGAGCACTTGCCCAGAATCTGATAGAAATCCTTCTTTTTATCAATTCTACAGGTGAATGAATTAAGGTGAGACTAATCTGAAGTCAGAATGTCTGGCTTTTACTTCTCATATTTTGAAAGGAAAATTCTAATTTTTATTTATAAAAGATAAAATACTACTATATAGCTAAAGCAGCTTAAGTCCAAATACTGAAAGAAGCTGATCTTTATTACCAAAACTCTGAAACCACTAGTACTTACATTCAAACTGACTGAACTAATATTCATGCAATTAAAAACTGGTGTTGACACCATTGATCTATACTTTGGAAGTATTTTTCTTTTTTAGTGGTGGTAGTTCATTTAAGAGTCTACCTCATGCCAGACATAGCAACATTATTTCAGTAATATTAACAAAGAGAAAACTGATAGTATACTTTATAACATATATTTACTACTGTTATTATTTACATAGGATTAAAAGAATTCCATCATTCTTGTTGATGAATGAGCTTACAATTCATTGAATTTTGAAAGTGCATCAGTTTAACCTGATTTAGTCTCTAGGTTGATGATGAAGCTTTATGAGTACTCAAAACGGAAATGAGTTAGTGTATGTCCTGCAAACAGCACCCCCCCACACACCCCCACGTTACAAATGTTCACCTCATTTCTCCTAGGAAGGCCAGCATTGTTAGGTTCAGCATCCTTCTGAATGGACAGTCCCCATAGGACCAGTCGGTTCTCTATCTTGAATCATCTCCCAGCTTATAGTCAAAGAATTCACTGTGTTCATATAATTAAAGAAATAGTAGTTCAAATAAGAGGGAGTTTACTATAATAAAATGTTTTACATCATAGAATTAGAATAAGTATAAGAGAAGACATTTTACCAAAGGATATATTTCCAAGTGAACACCCAAATCCTGTACATAAGAGAAAAGTAGGGGTAGCAGAGGGGACTCATTGATGGTTTTTTAAGGCAATAAGCTATATAACATCATTTCAAAAAATTTTAGGGCTGTGATTATAACTCAGTGATAGAGTACCTGCCTAATAATCACAAATCCTGGGCTCAAATCCTCAGTACTACCCCCCACACACACAAAAAAAAAAAATCCTAGGGCCGATTAAAACTTGTGATACTCCTGCTGCACCACCACACCCAGCCTAGAACCATTTAAAAAAAAAAAAATCAAACACAATTTTATATAATTAGAATTCAAAACCTCTAAAAATTAGACCATTTAACGAAGATGACTTGATAAAGTGAACTTGAATGGCAGTAGTCACTTACTATGTTCATAAAATTCTTTTTTTTAAAAGTTGTTAAAGTCTGCTAAAAATGTGACCATTTTTACAGGATTCAAATTCAGTATTAAAGGAGGAACATGTTACAGGCTTTGAAGATGAAGGGGCATATATTATACAAGAACAGCAAGACTCTCTTGTCTGTCAAGGAATTCTTGATTTAGAAGAAAGTGAAATGCCAGAGCCTCTGGCTCCTGAAAGCTGCCCTGAGTCAATCTGTGAAGAGGATGTTACCTTAGCCTTGAAAGAACTGGATGAAAGGTGTGAAGAGGAGGAGGCGGACTTCTCTGGACTGTCCAGGTGAGAAGACAGAATCACAAACCTGTAATAAAGTGGCATCTTCTCCTCCATCCTCTCCCAAAAATGCCTCTTAGTGATTGCTTACTTTCATTTTTCTGTATATTTTTGTATACTCTATTTTCATTTTTAAACATAAAATTACTTACTGTTATGGGTTTGTTTTCTGTTGATATTCACATAAAGAAAAACAAGTAGGCCGTTCCCAAAGCATAGTGTCATTGTGCAGTTAGAGAAGCACACCAAAGTTATTTTGTAATCTTTTTATTAGTGGTAAGAGTTTAAAGTTTGGTATTATGTAATAAACAGAAATGATAATTTCTTAGTACTGTAAAATGCTAAATTGTCCCTTTTAGATGTTGATCTTTTCTATATTCAAAATTTATTATCAGAAAGTATGAAGAATTCCCAAATAGGACTTTTTCCTTACTTGTGGGCCGGAGTAAACAACTATTACCTATAGAGGTTTTTGTTTTTGTTTTGTTAGCAGTACAGGGCTTGAACCCAGGGATACCCTATTACTAAGCTACATCTCCAGCTTCTCTCCCCACTTTTTTTTTTTTTTCTTTTTTGAGACAAGGTCTCACTAAAGTCTCCCTGGCTGACCTCAAATTTGGAATCCTCCTACCTTAGCTTCCCAATACCAATTTTGCAGGGGGCAGCAGAGTGCAGTGGGTACCAGGGGTTGAACTCAGGAGTCCTCAGCCACTAAGCCACATGCCCAGTCCTATTTTATATTTTATTTAGAGACGGTCTCACTGGGTTGCTTAGCACCTCACCATTGCTGAGTCTGGCTTTGAACTCAAGATTCTCCTGTCTCAGCCTCCTGAGCTGCTGAAATTACAGACAGGTGTGCACCACCGTGCCCAGCTTACCAATGTTTTTTAAAGGAAATTCTGGTGGCTATTATGAAACTTATATACCAAACAATTCTATGACGATTAAATTTTATATTTAAATTTTATAAATATTCATGGTTCAGAATAATGTATTTAATAATCATCAGATGTTTCAGTTTTATAATAAAACATCATACTTTCATACCTCCTGTGATAATAGGGTTTTAATCTATAAGATATATGGGAAGTTGTTTTTTGTTTTTATTCTCAATTAGAATGCTTACCTATATTTGAAAGTAAATATCCAGATAATAATAATAATAAAAAATCTTAGTGATACCTTTTTCTACCTACTATCTTGGATAGAGCAGTAGCCCATGCAATTACACAATCAAGTACAAGGTCAGAGACAATTGAAATGATATTAAGGTAAATACTCAAACACTTTCAGGTTTCTAAAAGGCCAAGCCAGTCAATTACTTTGTCCAAGTACTACACTGAAACAGAATGGTTCATTCCCACTAAGCACAGAGGTTATCTACTCTAGCTTTCAGGACACTTTTTGTTAAAATCACTCACTTCTGTGACATTTGTAAAGTATGAAACCAGTTGTCAGCTTTACTTTGATATTTTTCTCTAATCTTGATTCAGGTCCCTGTCTTTCATGTGAATTGCTCTATGATTTCTGTAAAGCCGTATGGATCAATCTATCTCATAATGAATCATGTAATTTTATATCCCAAGTTACTTATTTCTTTATGGAGTGTCTAATTCAAAACACTTCATCTTTTTTTCATTGTTCTATTTGTGTAAGTATGATCTGGCAGTGGGATTATAAATTCCTCAAGGGAAATGGCCAGGTCTGTTGTTTCTTTTGAGTCAAATTTATCATCTGTCGTACTAAGAGGCATATTGTGTGTGTTCATGAAATCACTGAGCTAGCAGTGAGCTGTGTGCTGTGGCTAATGGCACTGGCTTTGGACCTGTGGTCCTGGATTCATATTCTGGCTCTGTCATTTTCTATCAAGTAACCTAGGCACATTATTTATTTAACATCACTGAACTATTTCCTCATTCATAAAATAAATAGTAATGAAGTTATGAAGATTGAATAAAATAATCCATGTAAAGCACCAAACACAGCGCTTGACACAAAAATATGATCATCATCATGTGGGGCTGCTCAAATAAGAAGTGTCCAGAATTAACCATTTGAAATGAACGCATTCTAATCTGTATTATTCATAGAAGTTACTGATATTAATCCACAGCAGAAGCATTTATAGAACTTGAGTTATTTTGCAGTAGCCACTTAAAATTAAGAGTTCTAATTCCAAAGATGCTTAGCAGAAAAAAAAGTATTTGTTTATGCTTTCTTATAAATTGTTTAGATCTTTGTATATTCCAAGACAGTATTTTGACTACCATGATATTTGTGTCAGCAGTCAGGATGAAGAAGAGCAAGATGGTTTTCCAGAAGTTCAGACATCACCTCTACCATCACCCTTTCTTTCTGCCATAATAGCGGCTTTCCAGCCGGTGGCGTATGATGATGAAGAAGAAGCTTGGCGCTGTCACGTCAATCAGATGCTGTCTGACATGGACGGATCCTGTGCAGTGTTCACTTTTCATGTGTTTTCTAGATTGTTTCAGGTGAGTGACGTTTGTTTCAGAACTCATTATAATTATACAGGTTTTTCTAACATCAATATCTCAAATTTTAGTGTCCCTGCTATCTTGTCTTTTAATTGATTCTTTTTTATAAAGTTATACAGAGGATTCATTTTGACATAATTATAAAAACAAGGAATATAATTTGTTCTCATTCATTCCCCAGTACTTCACTTTTCTCCTCATTCCTCCCTCCCCATTTCCTTCCCTCTACTCATCTTTCTGATATTTATTTATAAGGTTGGTTGGTGTTTTTTTTGTTTGTTTGGTTTTTGGTTTTTGTAATTAGTGTCTTGTGGAAGTACATGAAGGTGGTATAGTCATATATTTCACACATAGGAAAGTTAAGTCAGATTCATTCCCCTGTCTTTAACTTTTTTTTTTTTAAGAGAGAGAGAATTTTTGATATTTATTTTTTAGTTTTCGGCAGACACAACATCTTTGTTTGTATGTGGTGCTGAGGATAGAACCCGGGCCGCACGCATGCCAGGCGAGCGCGCTACCGCTTGAGCCACATCCCCAGCCCCAAGTGCTATTTCTTAGACTTACAGAGTGACATTGTAGTACTGCTGGTATATTACACAATTACTAGTACAGATATGTCCCCTTAGGCAGTTAAAAAAACAACTTCAACACAATATCTGAGCAGTTTCTTCAGTATGCTAGGGACCATCACAGACACCAGAGAAATAAAAGCATAGTCCCTGCCTTCAAGGAGCTTACAAAACAGTATCACAAAGCTTCTAGTCAAGTGTAAAATGAATTGAAACTTTTGTCAGGTGTGGTGGCACAAACCTCCAATCCCAGCGGCTCGAGAGGCTGAGGCAGGAGGATCGCAAGTTCAAAGCTAGCCTCAGCAAAAGCAAGGCTCTAACAACTCAGTGAAACTCTGTCTCTAAATAAAATACAAAATAGGGCTAGAGATGTGGCTCAGTGGTTGAGTGCCCCTGAGTTTAATCCCCAGTACCAAAAAAAGAAAAATGAATTAGAACTTTCATCACTGTGGGGACCTTGACAATTTTGGCTATTAAGGTTGCTTTCAACCCTAAACCAATAAGTGTGATCATTTATTGCAAACTCACTGCATGCAAGGCACTCTGCTAAATGCTTTCTAATAAGAATATTCACACCACCACTATGGAACATGGATAGATTTTTAGGTTTCTGTGGAGAGGGAAAGTAAAGCAGAGAGAAATGCCACTAGTTAAGTCATTATCCTCTGAACTATCTACCACCTTTCCTCCCTATCTCCACAAACTTTACTTATCTTGGAAGACCCAGCTAAAGACATCTTCTCTCTAAAGTTTTCTTACTCACCTTACCCCAGTGCTGGGGATCAAATCCAGGGCCTCATGCATGCCAGGCAGGCAGATAGATGCTCTATCACTGAGCTATATCCCCAGCCCCGTCTCTGAAGTTTTGCCAGCCACTCCAGCTTCCAGCTGCACCATCCAGATGTTCTTAAGTGCCTATTAACAGGAGCATCTATTTAATTATGTACTTACCTCATTGCTGGTTTTCTATATGTGCTTTTTCTTAACAATGGCATTATTTCCCAGTGCCTGAAACTGTGGCTTATGCTTTTTCTTAATCCTAATGCTACCCAACAGCACTAACACATATTTATGTAGGTATACATTAGCAATCTGCATAATAATTATTACTGTTGATACTGTCTTAATTTATTGACTGTTTACTTTGGGTAACTGGTTGTTTTATGTGAATAAAATATTCTTGGGATTCTGAGAAGGTACTACCTTTAATGCATTTTATGACTTTAGTTAAAGTTAAGTCAGATGGCAGCCCAAAGCCAAGGCTCAGAAACTACATTTATCATAAGTTTCTTTTCAGGTAGAACTTGACTTTAGAAAAGCTAATTCCTCAGACATGTAAAGGCTTATGATTGTCCTTAGACTATAGAGGTCTCAAGAGTAGGAGAATGAATAGCGTGTATCATTAATTTTTTTCAGTAATTCCATTTTGTAAGTCTTATAATAATTTTAAAAAATTATCAATTTCCTGAAGAAATATATAAAACATGGATTTGCAAGTCAGTTACTAGAATTCTATATATCACTACAATCATTTTAAAATAGAAGTTTGCCCTGATTAAATACATCTTTACTTAAAAGTGAAAAAAAGAACTCTTATGACATATTAAACTTTTTCTTACGCTTTTCGCCATAGACAATTCAAAGAAAATTTGGAGAAATAACTAATGAAGCAGTCAGCTTTCTTGGTGAGAGTCTACAGCGCATTGGTACCAAATTTAAAAGTTCTCTGGAAGTGATGATGATGTGTTCAGAATGCCCAACAGTCTTTGTGGATGCTGAAACCGTAAGTTTTTACATGCAGCCTTATTAAGTAGCCTATTTGAATAGCCTCATTCAGTTATGGTTCTTTTTTAAAAGTAATTTGAAATTATAAAGTGTCAAAGTTCATATTTTCAACAATTATAAATATCTGGCAACTCATGGTTCCAGTGTATTAGATGCAGTGCCCTGTGATTCCCTGGCTCCCACCCCTCCCTGCCCAGGGCTGAGTGGTGCAGCTCAGTGGCCTAGCATGTGCTGAGCCCTGGGTTCATTCCTAGCACTACAAAAAATAAGCTGAAGAGAGACCCACCCATGATGTGTGCTCTCTCAATTCTTCCTGAGTGGAATATCCAGAGCGCCTGGTCTTCCCCTGACTGTTGCCAAGCCCACTTATGACTAAATAACAACATAGGTAAAGAAATATGGGTTAAAGTGCTTCAAAGAGGTGCCTCTGATGTTGTGTATGGTCTGACATGCCATTTCTTGCCACCCTCTAGTCCCACCACACTCCTGTTTCAGTGTCCCTTAGACTGAGACAGAATGTAGTAAGGGAGTATCTGACACCCACCCAACAGATAGTCCATGGCCCAAAAGTTGCCAAACTTGTGACTGATCAGGAATGATAACCTGGATTGCGGTGTTTCTGATTTGACAGCTGATGTCATGTGGTTTGCTGGAGACACTCAAGTTCAGTGTTCTGGAATTGCAAGAACACCTGGATACATACAATGCGAAAAGAGAAGCAGCTGAGCAGGTCAGTCTTCTTTTACCATGTCCAAAGGAAAAAAAAAAATTAATCTGCTTGTGATACTAGAAAGATTGACCTGGCAGCAGAATTCGCCCATACAGGAAAGAAGACCTGTTATCACAGGCTTCTCAGTACTGGGGTGTGCTGGGTATGAGCTCTCTCTCTCTCTTTCCACTCTATACAGTGAATTCCTGATCTGGGCTTTTAAAAATTGGCTCTCTAAGCGCCTACACATTGAAAACCAATAGCTCTCTAAAAAGCTGTGTGTAGACCATTCAACTGCTGTCAACGTTACAAGTGGGGAAATAGAAGCAGTATTTCTCAGTTATGGGCTTGTGGTCTAGGAAATATGCAACCTCTGACAAAACTGGGATCTTTTCCCATGATGTTTGGGGGGTTGGGGGGGCCAGCAAAGGAGGAAATGAGCATGTCGTAGATGATAGGTATCACCTGCTAAGAAATGGTACTTCAGTTCCAGTCTGGCCTTGAAAAACAGAGTGGCTCAGTCCCCTGAGAATAAATCCAGTATATTTTCCATTGGCAAGTACAGAAAACAAAGAAGAAAAAATGTTTCTCCCATTCAGACAAACTGCACACAGTAGAGACTTTTTTCTAGAATACAGATATTTAATACTTATTAATGAAAGAACTGTCATATGTAAAGACCTATGAAAAATGAAGTATAAAACTTGGTTCTTGTTTTTTCAGATTTTCTAGATAGGAACATAAAGCACACATACTATAGGTTGAGCACCCCTAGTCTGAAATTCAAAATGCTCTAAAATCTGAATTTTTTTGAACACTAAAACATGTTGCCACAATGCAAAACTCCACACCAGACCTGTGATGGGTCACACTCAAAACATTATAAATGATTATCAGAAGCATTTAAAGTGAGAGTTGGGAATGATGTTGATGCCAAACCACCACAGTTTGTCCTCGTGGGTGGTGGTGAATGACACCTTTGCTTTGTGATAGTTCAGTGTACAAAAACTTGGTTTTATGCAGAAAATTATGAAAAGTATTATGCAAAAATACCTCACTCTGTATGCATAAGCTACATATGAAACATAAATGAATTTTGTGTTTACACTTGGGTCACATTCCCAAAATGTCTCATTCTATTACAACTATTCCGAAATCCAAAACACTTCTGGTACCAAGCTTTTCAGATAACTGACAGACACTTAAGTTATGGCTACAAATAAAAGTGTTGTCAATGAAAGTCTTCCCAAGGACATACAGGTCTAACAGAAAAATATTATAGACTATAATTTCAAAGAAAGGTTATTTGAGCCCAACAGAAAAACTTTGTAGAATGGGGACATGATCTTGGACTTTAGGCAATTAAATTTTGGCATGGGGGATTATTTCAGGGAAAGAAAATACTTGTATTGAGGCTCGCTGTCTTTGTAAGGGGAGAGCCATCTTATATTTGGACTGAAATAATGATGGCAAGAGAAAAGGAAAGGGCTTTCAACATCATGAAATTAGATCTGCTGATGTAAATTAGTACTGCTGTGTCCTTTCTTACACTGATCTTTTGTACATGAATGTCCACCTATCTGCTAGGTGTCTAAAAGTGGAATTACTAGGTCATTGAATATACATGTTTGACCTTAGTAGAATCTGCCAAGCAGTTTTCCAGAAGAGGTTATTGTATCAATTTATAGTCCTATCAGAAGTATTTCCATTGCTTCATACCTTTGCTATCAGTGTTGCCAATTTTTAAAATGTTTAGTCATTCTGGTAAGGGTGTGGTGATATCTCATTATTTTGCATTTCACTGATGACTAAAACTTGAGCACCTTTTCATATGGATATCTTCATTTAGATATTTTGCAAATTATGTTTTCAGGTGCCTTGCCCATTTTTACAAATGGGTTATGTTTTTCTTGGTTATTTGTAGGAGCTCTTTATTCAGAATATAAGCCTTTTTCTTTTTTTGATAAATGCATTACAGATATTTTTCCTTCTTTTATGGTTAGTATTTGACTACCTGATCACCTTTTGATGACCAGAAATTTTAATTAAATCCATGTTATTATATTAGTTTTTCCTATTATGGTTCTGCCTTTTGTGTCTTCACAAATCATTGCCTAACCTACAAATTAAGGTAGAATCTTAAAAGTATCACTCCTCTGACTCATGTCTCTCCAGCTCCACATCCCCAGAAAGGAAAACTCCTCACCAGTTATGATAAATTTTAACCTTCATTTGAGCCTTGAGTAAAAAAAAAAAAAAAAAAGCATGACAGGAAAACAGGCACTGGGGAGTGTTCTCTATTCACACGCTCTACCATGTCTGTATGTGTGTCTGGAAAGGTGTGGGCCTGTGCCTTACGGGCCAGGTGCAGCCCAAGGCTACATGGTTGGTGCTTATCTTTTAACAGGATGAAAATCAAATAATTACATTGAATAGTGCTCCCCAAAATACTATATCAGTAAGTATGCATTATTAAAAAAAAAAAAGTCATTAAATAATCAGCTGAAAGGCTGGGGTTGTGGCTCAGTGGTAGAGTGCTTGCCTAGTACATGTGAGACCCTGCATTCGATCCTCAGCAAATAAATAGATAGATAAATAAAGGTAATGTATCCAACTATAACTAAAAATAAATATTTAAAAAATAATCAACTTAAATTATTATTTTCCAGCGTATTACAGCATAGTAATACACTTGGACAAACCTGGCCACAGTAGTGATAATTCAGTATATAAAACTTTCAACATTTTATGTGAACCAAGATTAAAAACAAATTCCATGATAGCTGAATTTTGCTGATTAAAAAAAAAAAAAATCTGATAGCTTTTGACAATGACTGTCACTGGCCATCTCTCACCAGAAAAGCTTAACATGTTTTTCTTCAGATATGCTGTCAAGCAAAGAGCCTTAAGGCCAGTGGAGACTGAATGACGGGAAAAAGGGACATAAGGTCAAAGAGATTGTTTTTGAAATAACTGAGATGTCTATTTTTAATTCTTTGCATATAGCACATTAAGTGTCAATAGAGAATTTTAAATGTCTAATGCTAAAATGTTTTTGGTGTCTCCTTAATGTAGCTAGTAGGTTCTCTCAAAGCTCTAATGATATTGATACACATACATACATACACACATACACACACACACTAGTTTTATTATGCTTAATATCACACACACAAAAAAACTAGGATGTCAAAAGAGCTAACAGTATCAAACTGTCAAACCCTAGAAGCTAAACTTGAAAGCTCTTAGCTTTCACTTTGCTTTGGAAATTCTATGGCTTCAGTATTCTTTTCTGTTCTACCACAATGCTGTTATTTTTATTTGACTGAAGAAAATGTACTTTAAATTAATATCAACCCCTAGGTAAAGAAAAACATTTGGCTTCTACAGGCAATATTCTTTGGAGATAACATGTTTGTCATTCATTACTGTCCAAAAAGACAAGAAAAGAAATAAAAACAAGATTTAAATGGATTTTGGTTTCTGTTTCACTGATTAGAACTGACACCAGCCTTCAGAGAATTAGACTTCTGGTAGGCAGACTTGGTTAATTCTCAGTTGCTTTTATTAAGCCAACCAGAGGAAAAACAAACCTTTCATTTCACAACTTGTATTAGACAAAGGTCAGGTACAGATTGTGAAGATTTTCAGTAAAATCTGCAAAATAAATTTTTTTTTTTTTTTTGGTACTAGGGATTCAACCCAGGGGCACTTAACCACTGAGCCACATCCTTATCCCTTTTTGTATTTCGTTTAGATGTAGGGTCTCACTGAGTTGCTTAGGGCCTCGCTAAATTGCTGAGGCTGGCTTTGAACTTGCAATCCTCCTGCCTCAGGCTCCCAAAGCCACTGGGATTATGGGCATGTGCCACAGTACTCAGCTGAAGAATCATCTTTACTGAAAGGGGCAGCATCGGTTCCTAGAATAAAAGGCTGTTCATTGTGTTTTCACTAATAAACTCACAAGTGCAGTCATCTTGTTGAGTATTCCGCTTTCGTTTGTCCGTATAAATGATTAACCTCCAATGCAAATGAAAGTGCATGTTCACCACCAATCCTAGAACCTCAAGATACCTTTAAGTGTGTTGTTTTATATGGACAGGCTGTAATGTTACTAGTTCTGCCATTTATGCAGTTACTGTATTAAAATTTACTATTTCTTGTTTCTTTAGTGGTTAGACAATTGTAAGAGGACATTTGGTGCCAAAGAGGACATGTATAGGATAAACACAGATGCACAGGTAAGTCTCTTACCCTTGTTCTGGCCGCGTTTCTGTATCGGGTAAAACAAATGTGTGATCAAATGTCCTCACCTGCTACTCCTGAAAATAGAAAATATTTGTAAACCTTTTCATTTTGGTTATCAGAATAATCTCTGTAAAAGTTATGTTGAATGAAATATTGGCTTAGTAATGAAAAATTCACTTTAATAAAACTGAAAGGCCAGCTTGTGACTGAAGCTTAATAACATTCCCTAGATAAGCCTGATGGCTATCTGACAGTCCAGGTTGGCTTTTAGTTGCATCTGCCTTTAGAAAAGTAAAAAATTGTTCTGCATTAGTATTCTGCAAATAAATTGTCTGGTCAGGAAAGCAAATCTAAGAGTAACAGGATAAATATCCATATTAGCCTATCTAAGGGTGAATAAATTATGCCTGGATAAATTATGATGATTTCCTCTAGTATGAAGTCCTTATGGATGCAAGGCCCTTTTTATACAACTTAATCTGCTCTCTGTCCCTTTGTGCCAGTACTGTCTTTTGCAGAATAAGCAATCAATATTTATTGAACGTACATGCAAATTTCAGTGTACTTACAAGCAACAATTTAAATCATACATATATAGGTTCATCGGCAAAAACTACACTTTTAGCATATTTAGACTAATCTTTGATAATTCAGAGTTGTGGAATGACATTTTTGTTGTTTCCTGTCATCGTGATGGTCAGAGGCTCTGGTTTGTTTTCCATTATATCTCAAAGTAGAGGCTACAGATATGTACACATTGAGCCAGTTCTATTGTATTTATGCTAATCTAAATTATATGAAATAAAACCTCAAGTATAACCTCAGGCTAATATGCCTGACATTGGATTGTACTCAGCTAATGTTTACAGGATGTGACTAGCCAAGTAATTTATGGTAAGCAGAATGGAGCTAAAGTTCACCTTTGCTTAGCAAATCCTTTCTAAATTGCTAGGAATAAATGTTATATAAACAGTCCTTCAGAGGAAACTATTTATAAAAGCAGGCTTAAGAATGACTTTTAGAAGCTACATTTACATGAAGTCATTCTTTGAAACCACTTCCAAGTTGCTATCAATATTTTAATGTAATTTTCAAGAACATAAATTAAAACTTTTCACTATGTGTTTTACATACATTATCTCTTTGATTCAAACCTAGTTAGGTCCAATTTCTGAAACTTACTAAATTACATTTGGAATGCAATGTAAAACACATCTGCTTTTGATATTCTGCCCTGTGGCTCACTCAGCACCAATAGAGGGAACCTAGCACCTAATTAGACATTAAACAGTAGGAAGCCTAGAATGAGCTACTCCAGAGACGATCTCCTCATGGGTGAGTATATATTAAGTAAGATTGTTGTGTGAGATTATAAGCCAGTCCACTCCTGAAAAAACAATTCATTTGCTTATTTTCTAACTGTAAGTTGTCGGCTTTATTAATGGGAAGTTTTATTGCAGTTGGGTTTTGTTTGAGGATTTCTGGAAAGGATATAAAAATAGAAACTTACAGTAGTCAAGTTTCTCAACATCACATTAGTTCTATTTGATTCTTGATATTGTCTACACAAAAATAAACTATAGCTTAAATGTTTTTCAGTTAATTGGCAAAGAATTTTAAATAAGCACCCTGAATTGCTGCAATAAATGTCTAGAAAACTGTATTCTGGAAATACAAAATTTTCTTTGGGGTGTGAATATATGTTCTTCAGTTTGCCTGGGACATCTGTGACCCTACTTAAAATGATTCTTACACTAATTCTTGGTCTTTTTCTTTCTTTGTATTTTTTGTGACCCGATCACCTTCTTGCTTAGCAAATGGAAATTCTAGCAGTAAGTGACCTGTCTTGATTTATAGACTACTTACCCTTGCCAGACAAACTGGTTTTCATCTGCCATTGTCCTTTTGTGACCTAGTAATGTTTTGTCATGGACTACTTTAAAAGTAGTGTGTGCTTCAATTTTGATAGCCTTAATCCATGAAATGTTGATTGAATAAAATGAGATTTTATAATATGTATGTACAACTAGCAGTTGCCTTTTTCTTCACCTATAACTAACCTATCTCCCTTTAAATTTTTTTAATTTAAAAAATCAGAGTGCACATGTTAATTTCATAGTCTCATGTCAATGAGACTACCAAGTGGTTTTCTTTAGAAAAATGACTTCATTTTAAAGACAGACTTTTCTACCCTTTAGGTAAGAGGTTACCCAGTTTCACTTTGCTTTATCAAGCACTTGTGGATAAATGTAATGAGATCTACATCTCGATGTGAGAGCTACAGCTCAATGGGGGCAAAAGTCTATGCATTTATAAATTCTTTCATTATGAATTTAAAGTTTTAAATTACAGTGAACCCTTTTTAAACATCCAATATATTGCCTTCTGATATATTATACTTATCCAATGTAAAATGTACTTTATACAAAAAGTGAATTAGTAACCAACAATGATCCTTGTTTTTATTTTAATGCCTGTCCTCAAAGCATCTTTCATCTGTCTTTCATCAGCTTTACACCATATTAACTTGCTTACTGCAGAAAAATAAATGCCAAGACAAATTTAACATAATGATTTATAATTCTTTTTACTGGAAATATGCTGTATAGCCAAACATAAAAAATCCCACCTAAATTTAATGTACTGTTATCTATTTCTAGGAACTGGAGCTCTGCCGAAGGTTATACAAATTGCATTTTCAATTGCTGCTTCTGTTCCAGGCCTACTGTAAACTTATCAACCAAGTAAATACAATAAAAAATGAAGCAGAGGTAAATATTAAGTTGTCCTAGGCATCAGTAACTGAAACACTAAAGTATACATACATTTGTTAGGCTAGCTAACATCAAAAGTCACTTACCTTGAATCATTTTCTTCAGTTGAGGAATTTTTTTTTTTTTTAAATGATGTCCTATGCCAGGACGTTATTAGTGAATCAGACAGCAAGTACTGGATTCAGAGGTTCAAGACCTTACCGGTTTCTGAAGTATAAACAGATCATGTGTAATCAAAAGTCAAGCAAAGCACCTCAGTAAAAACCAAATTGTACAGTGAAACCCCAACATCCTGTCCATGGAATGTCTCTCCCGTTCTGTGAATGCAACAAGAACAAACGGGTTAAAAACACCTGGGATGTTGAAAATCTTTAATGTGTAGGTTCGTGGGTAATGACTTCTCCTTTCCCCTTACCAGCTGGTACTAAAGCTCTCATTAGGAAAATGATTTTTTTAAATTGTTAAATCCCTGAAAATATGTGTACATATGTTCATGCTTTAAAAGTTTAACCAGTGAATTTTATAAAGACTACTGTCAAAAAAGTTTTCATGGTTCTCCCCCATAAATGTTTTTTACTACCCAAATCATAACATGTAATCACGTTAAAATTATCATTCTGTAAGTTACAACTCATTGCTGCTTTGTTAAGAATTTTTAAAGCCTATTCTGTGACTGGGATTACTTATTCCCACTGAATAGAAAACATGAAATCTTAACTGCCCCTACTTCTAAGTTTAACAAATGAGAGAAAACGCTTCCCCCATCAGGTGTCTCCTCATAGCCAGGTAAATGCTTTGTGGTACTGACTATGGGAATGGGTCCCTAAAGGTGTATTTGTTTTAGGTCATCAACATGTCAGAGGAACTTGCCCAGCTGGAAAGTATCCTCAAAGAAGCTGAAGCTGCTTCTGAAAATGAAGAAATTGACATTTCCAAAGCTGCACAAACCACTATAGAAACTGCCATTCATTCTCTAATTGAAACTTTGAAAAATAAGGAATTTATATCAGCTGTAGCACAAGTCAAAGCTTTCAGGTAAAATGTGAAAGGATTTAAAGATAAAGATGCCATTATGTAACTGGACTGGAAATTTATAAAGTTTAGGTTTTGGTTCTCGGTTTGATATTTCAATAGCATGTCTTTGTGAAGGGAAAAATCCACGTTTATTTTCAGTAGTTATCACTGAAATGATACCAATTTCAGATTTTTTTCACTCTCAGGTGGTACTTTGAGTAATATATTTGCTCAAACAATTAAAAACAGGTCACTGGGCTGGGCATCGGGCTTGGTAGTACATACCTGTAATCTCAGCAACTCGGGAGGCTAAGGAAGATCACAGTTAGAAGCCAGCCTCAGCAACTTAGTGAGACCCTGTGTCGAAATAAAATACAAAAGCTGGGGATGTGACTCAGTGGTTAAGTACCCCAGGATTCAAACCCCAGTACCCAACAAAAAAAGGGCGGTTGGGTGGGGGAGTGGGGATATGGCCCAGTAGTAGAGCATGCCTGGATTCAGTTCCTGGTACTATGGACACACAAAACAGGCTTCGTGTTATTCACCAGGAAGTTTTGTGATATATCAGTTAACTTAAAATGTAGTTAATCTTAACTAACAATTGTTTGCACCTCAGAATTTAAAAAGAATATGTGTTTTCAGATCTCTCTGGCCCAATGACATTTTCGGCAGCTGTGAGGATGACCCTGTGCAGACGCTGTTACACATCTATTTTCATCACCAGACACTGGGTCAGACGGGCAGCTTTGCAGTTATAGGCTCCAACCTGGACATGTCAGAAGCCAACTACAAATTGATGGAGCTTAATCTGGAGATAAGAGAGTCTCTACGCATGGTGCAGTCATACCAACTTCTAGCACAGGCCAAACCCATTGGAAATATGGTGAGCACTGGATTCTGAGAAACTTCAAACATTTTGGAGAGAAACTAAACTGATGATTAAGAATATTAACCAAGCACCTTTTATGAACCCTTGTGATTCACTGATAACTTTCCTGGCAGCATCTACAATTGTAATGTAACTAATGTCAAACTGTATCTGAAGGACAAGAAAATCTAACAGCTGCCAATACCTCCCACAGTAACTGTATGAAGAAGGAATTTTTTAAATTATTTAACCTATGTGAAAAGAAAAGGGCTAAAAGTGATGCATACAAATACATTGCTTTCTGGAGAAAGAAAAGAATTCCAAGAATGTTTGCAATAATGGCCTCTAATACTGAGACATCAGAAAGCAGGTGAAATGAGGCTGAAATCAAGGCTGGTTCATTTTAGCCGAAGACCTGCAAAGCTGCTTGGATTTCTTGCAGCCATCAACATCACCTACAACTGATGCTTAATCACCCAACACGAACATCCAGACCGATATATAGACTTATTTGCAAAAACCATTGATTTTTTTTTTCCCCTCAATTTATGGGATAAGGGTTTGGGGTGTTTTGTTTTTTGGTCTGTGTAAAGAATTATGTGTGTGTGAGTTGGGATGTATGGATACGTGATAGTCATATTTTCAAGGTGTGGATGTCTGGTGATAACGTCTCAGAGCATGCCTAAAAGAGCACTGCAAGATTATTTTTGAAGAAATTTTATTTTATTAGATCTAACTCTTCATAGTGTGTAAATGTTAGAACATTTTAATAATATTTTAAAACTGGGCTCTCCCAGTATTTCAAAAAGAAATAATATATCTGTTAACGTTATTGGAATGCTGCTCAGTTCTCTGATCAGTGCTTATGTTACAAAATTGTTGATAACTAACCAAAGTAGATGCCTGCAGAGACTTTAAAATGTAAAATAAAGATGTATGCTGCCCGTCAGCTATTCTCATTAGAAAAGTTAACTTATTTTACACCATAATTATTCTAGAAACTGTATAGACTAAACCCAATATTTTCTTGTACATTCGTGCCATGCACTGTTATACAAGAATAGGTGTACAAAGCTAGAGGAAAAACTTTGGTCATTGATGGGAGAATATATGGTCTGCAGGCTCTGAAGTCTGCAAAGAGATGCAAATGCATTTTTATGTTTATTCAGGACTCACATGTGTCGTGCTAAAGGAACCTGGGGCTAGAGGGGAGATGAAAGGCAGCCTGAAGACTACCAAAACACGCAATATACTTACTAAGTCTGTAGCATAACACGAACTGGATTCTCTGTCCTTTTTTAAATAGCATTTTGTAAAAGAAATGAATGTAGTCCCACAACTCCTCTGATTTGAAAGGAACACCTTGTATTTTTTATATGCATCTCTTATCCACTGTGACTATTCTTTTAAACTGGGCTCTGACTACTTCAGAGTTTGGAATGTAGAAATGAAATGCTTAGCTTTGCCTTTTCTTGGGGGTGTGGACCCTGCCAGAAATGTAATTATGCTCAAGTGCATTAATTGAAGGCACTGTGCACGCCGTTGGACTGCTGACTCTAGTTGTTTCCTGTAAAATTCCATAACTGGTCACGGCACATTCATAATCACTGTATTTTTTGACCCTGATAAAAACAATTATTTTAATGGTGTTCTGGTACTGTAAATGGTGTCCTTTAAATTATTTAATAACTTCGGGTGTTGGGGCAGGCAGAGAGGGGGGTGTCCAGAGACACATCACACTTTATATCCTATCTTAACTCTCCCCTATTTTTCTCGCCCTCCTTACATTCTTTTTGTTAAAAATAAAAAACATTGTAGCTGTTGGTTTGTGTGGTATTTTGAGAAAGCATGAATGACGATAGTGTGCATCATTTTTACTTTGAAAATTACTTTGGGGCTGGGGATGTGGCTCAAGCGGTAGCGCGCTCGCCTGGCATGCGTGCGGCCCTGGTTCGAGCCTCAGCACCACATACAAACAAAGATGTTGTGTCTGCCGATAACTAAAAAATAAATATTAAAATTCTCTCTCTCCCCCCCTCTCTCAAAAAAAAAAAAGAAAATTACTTTGAAAAAACTTTCCAAATGTTATCTGCATAATTCGCAAGTGTAATTTTCCTTTTTAAAAAAGAGGGAAAAAAGTAAACTGCCCAGATCAAAACTTTGGAACAGATAAAGTTTGCTTTTCAAATTTACTTCTGTCACTAATCTAGTAATAATGTAATAAAATCAAATACATTTGCAGAAATCACGATGTAAACAAATTCGTTACAATTATCTTTTTGAATTGGATTTTCCTCAAACCTGTGCTTCCTTCTCATTCTCAGAACCTGGAGTTGCATCTATTGACAGAATATATCAAGTATGTAATTTTTTCTCCCTACTTTATTCCACTTAGAGCCCAGTTTTTGCTACCTACAACCCTTTGTCGATTAAGTTTATCAGTTTTAAACAGTTTATACACAACAGCAAAATGAGATCTGGCAGTTTCTTCATGCTATTTTCAAGATAGAAAGCCAAGGACTATTACACAATTTAGAAAATATTTTCTACTTTCAGTGATGTAAAATAGAGGCTGTGGTTACTACCCACAACCTACCCTGAACTGAGGAAATCATTGCATGATTTCTTGGAAAAGACAGAGCCAGGTAAGATCCCCTCGAGGTCTATGAATGATGATTGCTCCTATACCACACCAGCAGAACCTAAATGAAAGAAAATAAAGTATTGGAATCAAAATAGCTACTTTTACTTTTTTATAATTTTCAAAGTAATCCATGGTTACCCCAGAAAAATGTAGGAAAAACAAAAACTGCAATCACTTTTCTCAATACCCAGAGATAAACATTCCTGGAGTATTTCCCTCTAACCTGTTGATCTGGATTAAAACCTATTCACATCTGGTAAGTTGGGGATGGTGTGCATAAGCTATTGGTGTGCAATGCCTTGTCATTGCTAAGTGTTGTCATCACAATGGAAGTTTGTCATTTTATTCCGCAAGCAAACGCCAGTTAACCCTAAGTAAAACAGACCAACCTTGCTTTTGACTATAAAATAAGGTTGTTACCCTGTTAGGAAAATTAGTGACAGAATTAAACAAAGAATGACTTGACTACCCCTCTAATTAGCCAGCAAATTTGTGTCTTAGGACTTGTTGCAGGTAGATTACTCCTTCATTCAGCAAAGGGTTTTTGAGCACCTATTATATATATACCTCTTGTATGCATAGGAGTCAAAGTGAATTTCCTGTCCCTGTACCTATCCCCAACCAGATCAATAGTAACAGAACAAATAAAAGCATACCACCTAACCCACACCTAGAGGGTTCTTATTCACATCTCAACCCCACCATCACTGTCTGGTTTCTTCAAGTCTCCTTGTTGACATGTATCTTCTGTGCATCTGGCATGATTTAAGTATCAGGTCCCACTATTCCTATTATATCTTAAAAACTTTATACTCGATTACTCCTAATAATTAGACAAGGACAGTCCTCTTGAACAGAGCCTGAAAAGCCCTCCTAGTCTGGTCCTGATAATTGTATTTACTATCACATCCCCTAGAATATTCTGCCACTATGGCCTCTTTTTGGTTTTCTTTGCACATGCTGCCCTAGCATGAAAGGCATCTTCTCTTCTGACCAACTCTGCTTCAGTTCAGCAGAAGCATTGATCCTTTATACAAGCCTTCCCTCACCTACATCAGATCCCTATTACAGGCACTTAACTGAAGCTTTATCATATGTCAGAACCTTCTTTTTGCATTTGTTAAAAATGGACATTTACCCCCATAGGGTAAACTCCATGAGGATGTATGCTCCATCTGGCTTGCTTTCAGTACTCAGCATAGGGCTGGCTGAAGCAGTGATACATGCTTAAATTCCATCAACACCAACCAGGAGGCTCAATGGAAACTTCATCAAGTAGTACTTTAGTAGGAACAGGCCTAGAGCTCAACTCAAGCATCTATATGGATGGATGCAGGTGGGCCTTTCCCCTTGATAAAAGGGTTCTAGGGTGACCTCAAACTAACCTTAGGCTTTTAATTCCTTTGGTTATATACCAGTGTCCAAGATAATAGATTGACTTTGACTTCCACAACCCTTCTCAGGTAATAAGGGTTAATGTAAATAGGATGTTTAGCACATTGGAAGGAGACATAATGAAGCACCTAGTTCCAATTGTGAAGTTTCTGTAATCACTAGGCCAACAGCTCCAGCTTCAGTTTCATTAGAGGAACCTCTAGCTCTAAGCTCAGTGCCATGCACAACTAGGAGAGATCTGCCAGTGGGCCTCCATGTTCTTGTACAGATCCTTTAAGAAAGCTATCAGGTGCAGTTAAGTGTTTAGATCCCCATTCTAACTAGGGGAAATTCAAAAACAACTAATGCTTGAGTCAGTCTTTAGGAAGACTGCTTTCTTAAAAAGCTTGTTACCACCTGAAGGCCACCTGCTGAATTCATTACTTAGCTCCCACCCCGCCACACACACACCATTGTTCTCACTTTGAGCTACCTCCCAGTCTCCTCAACCTCCTCTTGCCCTAAAGAATGCTTATTTTAATGGTTAGAAGGCATTGCTTTTGAAGTTCAATTAACTTTCTTAAAAGCTTCAGTCCCACACACCAAAGCAGATCTCATGTCTACAAAGCCCTCCACAGTAAGTGCCTGGGACCTAACTGCCTGCCCCACTATATGCCATCCACACGTTTTACAAAGTTAAGGTGACAAGCCCAAACTGGTAGCAAGAGACAAGCTTGCCAACTTTATTGAGACAGATTTTTATGCAATTGTTGAACTGTTTTTGCAATACCTTTATTTTGAAGGCTGCATCAAAATACACTGCCTTTCATCAAGTATTTTGAGGAGGGAGAGGTAGAAAGGAGCCTGAGAAAAGCTCACATGCCAACTCCATTAGCACACATTCAGAAGAACTTTTTTCATTCACTAAATGATATATTTGAAGCTGAAAGTGCTGTCGCAGGACAGGCGTTTGCCTTTGCATCTCCCGCACAAGTCTTGACGATGGGGGCGTTTGGGGTCCACGTGGCGAAGTCTTATTGGGCAGGAACATCTAGTTTTCTTACAACTCTGAAAAACCAGAGAGAAGCACATATAGGTAAGTCCTGAAAACTCGCCAAGGGCTTGAGTTTTCTAGTCCATTCAAATACTTCCTGACCATGCTAAGCAAGGTCCCTGATAATTCTCTAGTTTTGTCCCAGTCTATACCCCTCAGCAAATGATGGGGTTAGGACACCATAGTGGTGCCATGGTACAGTGAATTTGGTTATCATGAAGTTTCTCCCTGTTTAAACTCTCAGGCAAGACAAACTGAACTCCTCTGCTTACACTAAATACCTTGGCTTGAATATGCTTACTAAGAATTAGCATCTGGGTAGAACAGTAATTTACTACCTCTAGTAGAAAGTTGTTCTGTTTTCCAGTTTGCCTTCTCTTACCGAGTAGAACTTAAGGCAAGTATTCTTCCATACTGCAAGTAAGGTAACAGGTTCAAAAGAGTCTACCATTACTGTTTTGCAAGGACAGAAGAAAGCTAAAGCCCAGGCCCTGCAAAACCTAAAATCACTGGGAGCCTAGTTTCACTAGGAAACACATTCAAGAAGGTATATTAACAAGCCTCTAACACTACCTAGTTCAGACACAAAGTGCAAACACTTACTTGGCAGGTGATATCTTCCACTCGGTAAGGGTTGTAAGACTTCTGACAAGTTCTGCAAAACTGTTTGAAGTAAACCTGTGATAAGATGGAGGATAAATTTGAAGGAAAAGCCTTTCAACACTTCCGGGAGAAGGTGCCACTTACAATGATGTCCCTTACCTTGTTGGTGCCCTGTACACACCACACATACGCACTCTCCCATCGGATGTTGCAGTCCTTGCAATGATAATAGCCATATTTCTGTTCTAAGAACTAAACAGAATATCAGAGTTTAACCAACATGACATCTGAATTACCTTATTTCTGAAACTGAGAAAGATCTATTTGGTACTAAAAACTGGCAATTTTATTCCAGATCACAGAGGAAAGTAGAATGGGGTTTGGCTAAGCCTCCACAATACAGTAAGTGAGCTAACAGCTTAGTCAAACGAATAATGAATGGGCCCCAAACAGCTTATACACCAGATTAGTTTGGCTCACAAGGTTGTTTAACAAATAAGGTATCTTTCTTCCAACAGGCAAGGGAAAAGTCAATTGTCTGAAGCTTGTAATTTTATATATATATTATATATAATATATATTATATATAAATTTTATATATATTATGTAATTTGTATATTATATATAATATATACATTTTTATTGTTGTTTTAGGTGGACACAATATCTTTATTTTTACGTAGTGCTGAGGATCGAACCCAGTGCCTCGAGCATGCCAGGCCAGCGCGCTACTACTTGAGCCACATCCCCAGCCCCTGCAATTAAGTAGGCTTTTTCCTCTATAAAGTCTGATCTTGGAACACACACAGTTGAGTCAGGCATAATGGCACACGCCTGTAGTCCCTACAGACTCAAGGAGGCCGAGGAAGGACTGCAATTTTAAAAATTTGAGCCCAGCCTTAGCAACTTAGGCCTTAAACAAACTTAATGAGACTGTCTCAGGGTATGTAGTTCAGTGTTAAAATGACCCTTGGTTCAATCCTCAATACAAAAAAAAATTTTTTTTGAAAGTTAAAGATTGAAAATAAGAAAGCGTTCACCCCAGATGAAGTTGTTTCCTTCATAGAGCAGTGCTATTCCTCTGTAAGCACACAGTTCACTTTGTATTGTCCTATTCTTAAGCTTTCCTTCTCCCCTCCCAATGAGAAACCAGTTATGACCAAGTTTTAAAGGCCTTTAAACCTAGTAGGCACTTTGGAGTGTTTAATGCAGTTTCACCTACAACCCACTTGATTCCCTCCTCCAGGTAGCTCACCCCCTAAAATCTACAGTCCTGAGATGACTGTGGACAAGGCTAAAGAACTCCTTAGGGCCCCTTGCCCTCTCCTGCTTTTATACTTACCCTGGGTTATAAATGCCTTCCAGGCGCCCAGCCCTTTAGGGCTCAGGTTAAGGATCTCTCAGGCATTAACAAGGGACAGCAAGAGGTCTCAGCAAAGCTAGATTTCATAATGGGGTGGAGTTTGGTTTTGTTTTTTTTGTGTGTGTGTGTTTGGGGGGGGGGGGTACTGCAGTACTGGGATTTGAACCCATGACCTTAAGCATGCTAGGCAAGCAAGAGCCAGACTTGGTGCAGCCTGTAATTCCAGTGATTCGGGAGGCTGAGGTGTGAGGATGGAAAGTTCAAGGCCAGTCTCAGTAATTTAGCAAAGATTTGTTTCAATAAAAATTTGAAAGGGCTGGGGACCCTAGTTCTGTGGCAAAGTGCCCCTGGGTTCCATTCCCAGTACCAAACAAAAATGAAAGCAAGGCAAGTTCCTACAAGAGGCACTTTAGAAATTCCAGTTTCCAGCAGACTGTTAGTTTGGGAAATGGAGGTAAGAATCAGGGGATAGGAGATTAGGACCCCAGTCGTGGCCTGTTAAGGGTTTTGCCACGTGTAGTGGATAAATAGAAGGATGCTAGGGAATCTTGCCAGCAAGTTTGCCTTCGGATTTCTGCAGTTTATGTGCCTATTTTCAGTCATCCGGAAACATGGTGCAGAGTGCACAACGTGCCCACCATCAGATGTTTATAATGCAAATGTGATCAGAGTTAAGAATGTCAAGAAGGCGTCTCCCTGGCCAACTTGGTGGAGCCGGTGTCTTTCAGTCACCGCGGAATAAATCGGGCTCCACTCTGTTTGATCCTACTGTTGAGAGAACACATCTCAGAGGCTACGAAATGCACAATGATGTGGCCTGGTACTTAAGAAAGTGTGGCATCTCCACGTGTCCCGAGCAGCCCCGGCCAGGTACCAGGAAAAGACGCCCCACGCCGCCCACCAGGCTCCCCTTGGCTCTAGCCCGCTTTCCCGCCCCCACCCCCAGGCCTTACCTGGAAGCGTAGGCGCACCTTGCCAGGCTCAGCGCTCTGCAGCGACGACCTCTCGCGCGCGGCGGTGGTCTCCCCGCCATCCTGAGCCTTCCCCGCCGCCGGGGTCAGCTCCGGACTCTTTGGCGAGGGCTGCGGGGCCGCCTTGCGGTCACCAGCTTCCCGCGGCGGCAGCCTGGGCCGGTTGATCAGCTGCTCCCAGGACGCCCCCGCCGTGGCCTGGGCCTCGTCGTCGTCGTCGTCCTCGGATCGCCGGCGTTGGGACGCCTTCCTCGCCGACACCTCTCCCTCCTCCCGGCCTTGGGGCTTCGCGGATGATGGCTCTCGCTCTTCCTCGGTTGCCTCGGGGCTCTGCTCGCCCACCGCGGCTTCAGCCCCCTCCAGGAAAGCGGTGAGGCGGCGGGAGACCACCGGCGAGTACACCGCGACGGTGCGCGGAAAGCGCACGGGCCGCAAGGCGCCGCTCTGGGGGCTGCCCTGCTCCGGGACCCGGCGGGTAGGCTGAGGGGAAGATGGGTCGCCGCCCGCCGGGCCCTCGGAGCCGGGGCTGGCCGCAGGGCCGGGGTCCCGGGGCCTGCGCAGCAGCGTGCGCCGCCCCAGCGAGCACTGCACCGAGGCGTCGCAGCGCGGATTCACCTGCACCGCCACGTCGCGGCTGGTGGTTCTGCGCGGGCGCATGCTCTGGCTCACCTGCGACAGGAGGGCCATGAGCTGCGCCCGCTGGTAGCTGTCGAAATACTCGGCGGCCGTCAGCTGCCCGTAGCCGGGAAAGGACGACGAGGCCGCCCCTGCCGCGAAAGAGGTTGAGGCGGCGGCGACGGGAGGGCAGCCTCCGCCGCGGAGCCGCCAGCCATCCCCGCCCGCCGCGCCCTTGCCCTTGGAAGCCGCCGGGTAAGGGTACGAGTAGGGGGCGCACGCCGGGTACATGTAAGCATCCAGCACCTCATCCCCCAAGGCAGCCATAAACGCGGCCCAGCTGCTCCCGCCTGCAGCCGCGCCCTAAATAGGCGGCTCGCCGGGGCGGCCGGGCGGAGGTGGGAGAGGCCCCCAGCCTCTCGCGGCGTTGCGCCGCCCTCCCTGCCCTTCCAGCCGCAGCGTCCAGTCCCCACGTTCCCGCGGGATGGGGCCCCTCCCCGACTTGCTCCACACGCCGAGGTCTACACCTTTGGATGATCCCGAAAGAGGGCTTTCTTTGCGATCAAAGTGCTGATTTGTAAGTGAACACGCCAAGGCGAGAATTCCAACAAGAGAAAACTATCACTGGGATTAGCTGAACCAGGTGGTCCTCATACCCTGATGATTTCAGGTGACGGTGCCGCCCAGGGAGACGAGGCCAAGCGGTGCCTCTATGATAGCAAAATGCCCAGGTTTGAAAACTGCTTTGGGTCTATTATCTCGGATTACAGTTTAATTTTCATAGAGCTTCCCGGAGACATCTACCCACTGAGCCCTTTGGGTGCACGTACGAGGAAGTACTCTAGGACATCTGTATCTAGTTTAATTGTCTTCTCCCCTGGAGCACGTGCCCTCACCCCCATCCATGGTCACCAGGAGGTACCAGTTTGCTCTTCTCCAGGGTAGATAGGAAACTTGTTAGGTTTTGCAGAACTACTAACAAAACCATCCCTCCAAAGGTAAATTGATCTGGAATATGTTTACATAAATGCAGAAGACCAATTGGAAAGAAAAAGCCTTATTGGCATAAAAATGTTGGTGCTTCATTACCAATAGATATCAGATCAAGTAATCAAATACATGAATGTAGTTTTCTCTGAGTTGATACTGGTTTGACATTAAAATACTATATTTCACTGTTTCATTAACCTGGTTTGCACTTTTCTGAGTACAGGTCAAAATTCAACATTGTCAGGTATTTATAAGTTGAGCAAAACACTTTTTTGTCTTAGTTACATTAAACTTAATTATACTTTACAGATAGCTTGTTTTTTACTCATGTAAAATAGTGCACCAAAATTCTACATTTACAAACCTTGTTTTCTGTGAAGCAGTATAGAAATTGGTAACGGTGAAACCCAAAAAACACGTTTAACCAAATAAGATGTCACTTTAGCTGACCAGGTGCAAGTTATATTACAACACTGATTTGTAATTTACTAAAACACTTGGTTAATACACCAATGCAGCTTTACAATGTTTTAAAACTGTTACATGTAGTGTGAACCAATTGTTATCCTTTATATAAACCATATGTACTACACCACAGGCCATAAATATGAAGTAATATTTCAGCAAAACTGAAGCTCCTGTGTATCTTCACATTTAGAGAGAAGTCTGGGTAGGTTCCATCATTATTATATTATCAGCTTTCACTGTGCCATAGGAGGTGTCTGCCATTTCCTCTTCTTTCAGTTTCTTATAAGAAATATCTGTGTCCTCATCTTCATCTAGAGGATCTCGCTTGTGCAATATTTCACTTCCATACATTTTATATATTAAAACAAAAATCCCTGCTTCTGCAGACTGGAAGAGGGCATAAAGCAAGGGAAACATGTACATGCTTCCTATGAAGCGTGGTGGAAAGGCCAGCTTTAGAATGGCAGTACAGAGCTGCACATTCTGACTGCCTGTTTCCAGACACACAGTCCTTTTGCAGTTGGGTGGAAGATGGAAGAGAGTAGCTAAGCCATAGCCTGAGGCGTACCCGGCCAAAGGCATAAAAATGGCTATGACGTAAACAGCTGCAGGGATACTTGCCAGCAGTTCGGGTCCTAACATAGTGCCAGTCATTATGAAAAGGACCACCAGAGTCACTAGCAGAGACCACAGGGAAACCTAGTAATAGAAAACGGATACACAATCAGCAATAAGATTTTTGAAGAGGAATTCAGGCCAGAAGTTCTTAGAAAAAGACATGCAACTAGTCCCACCTCCCCCACAAAATAAGATCTGAAGATGGATACCTCACCTCTTCCGGAGGCCTCAGATCCATGTTGGATAGCTCTAATTATTTGGAGGCCTGTCATGTTGAGTGACAATTTGACTTCTGTATCCTCTGGTCATTGCTTTGGACAGGCTTGCAGGAGCAACCTAACACCAGTCTACTCTGTCTCAAAAATAGTGCTTCCGAAGTTTTTAAACCAGTTTTCAGGGAAGGCTAACTCTTCTCCCAGCGGAATGTCCCTGCTCCCCAGCCTCTATCACATAACTTTGTTTTGTTGTCCTTTCTAACTGCTCTGAATGTGCATTTATGTATGTGGCTCTTGAAGACATTTGTTAACATTGAGGCTTATACCCCACCACTGACGAGGGGTATATAGTGGACAAGTGATGTTTACTCCATGTTTCCCATATGAAATTAATTCTCATTCACACATGAGATAAAAGGCTATTAATATTCACAACAAAAATTCACTTTGTGATATTTTAAATCTTTAAAATATATCACAGAGGATTATTAACAATATTGAAACTGCGATCAACTCTTAGATCATGTAAGACAAAATGTAAATATAAGATGCCAGGAATCCTTTGCAATTTTGTAACTCCCTTCTCATTTGTTCATGAGAAACATCCCATCTGTAAGTCTAATGATCTTTATAATTATTATAGATGCCTATAATTATTGTAATAGATATGTTTTAGATATAGTACTACTGACTGTATAAAACATGCCATCTGAATGTTCTGACTGTACATTTCACTCATTCAAGTGAAACAGGCTGTGTAAATAGTATGGTAAAAACCTAAAATTCCTCCTTTAGTTACCCTTCAGACTCTAGTTAATTTGTTTTCTCTTATGGAGGCAGAAATAACCATCTAGGGAGAGAAGCTAACTGTTAACCTCTGCTCTCTGGATATCTAGAAGGAAGCCCTTTTGATATTTTGGGATTGCCATATACTTTATGTTCTTTAAATTTTTATTTAAAATCTATCTAGGTTGTTTAAAAATTCTACCTTAAAATTCTACAGAAGGCTGAAATAACTAGTGTACAAGGTGTGCATATTACACATGTACAATTAGCAGAAACCAAACTTCACAAATCAAAACTTGTATTAGTTTTCAAAGTGTGTCACAGTAAGAGCATTGACAGGAGATCTGATTCTTCGTTTTGAAAATATTGGCCCCCAAATTCCCTTAAACTATTTTAAATCATTGGGTAAGCATTGAGATTGAGATCCCATGCTCATTTTAAAATGTTTGCAAACATGTAACAAGTATATAAACCATGTCTTAATAGTATGCTAATTAAATAGGGAAGTCAGCCAATCTTACTGGATTATTTAAATATATTTTTCCTGTTTTTAATGTATAAATGGTTCGCTTGTACTTTCTCTTAGAACTCCTAAAGTTTTGTTGTTGTTTTGTTCTTTATTTGCAGGAGTGCTTTTCCCCTGTCTACATCTCCAGCCCTTTTTTTGTCCCTTATTTTGAGACAGGGCTTCTCTAAACTTGCCCAGGCTGGCCTTGACTGTGTGATCCTCCTGCTTCAGCCTCCTGAATAGCCAAGATTTCAGGAATGCACCACACTGCACAGGGCAGAATTCCTAAAGTTTATACTAAATGCCACTGTATTGATAACATTAGCGTACTGATTAAGCCTAATAAGTTCTTAATGCATCTCTAGATCACCTATGAATATGTAATATCAAATATGTATAAATATATATACACAAATTCACACATATGTATTATATTCACATATGCATGTTTATTATGGAGAAGGATTTCTTTTACTTAAGGATAGATTTATATACAGAAAAGAACCATCTATTTTTCATATTAATAAAACGTTGGACTGTATAATCAGATTAGAAAACAATGAGTAAAATAAAAAAGGTTACATCTTCTTAAATGTACATAATTGAAACACTGAAATGGCTCTTTTCATTTGAAGGAATTTGTCTCCGTATTTTATAGTAATAATACATTTTGTCTTACTAACTTCCAACAATGAACATCCTATTCATGGTTTACTTGTTTTTTTACTACTTTTGAGTATTCAAAAAAAGTTTAATTTACAAATATTTAATTTTTCTCCAATGATCAGAAATGCTGTGAATAAAACCATGTTTTTAAAAAATAAAGCATCATTGGCAATATTGCACAAAATACTAGCAATCCCCCAATCATTTCGCTAGCTTTAGAAACCATATAAAATAATGCAATGGGGACAAAAAACACCCAAATTTAGTAACGGCAACATAGTCTATATTTTCCAGGACCCAAATTCATTTTGTTCTTTAAGGCCAATATTTTTACGTATTGTATTATATTGCCACAATATAATTTTTCAATTTTAGTCTTGTGTCAACTTTTTAAAAATTTTAAGTTGTACATGGAAACAATACCTTTATTTTATTGATTTTTATGTGGTACTGAGGATTGAACCCAGTGCCTCATGTGTGCTAGGCAAGCACTCTACCACTGAGCCACAACCTCAGCCCACATCAACTTATTTTTAACTTAATATTTTAAAGCAGCCTACAACAGGGTTTCTCAGAATTAAAGTTCCACTTTGAAAATATAGCAATTTTAAAAAATACTGCACAAATTATATTAAAGTAATTTCATTTAACCTGTTTTGAAGTTTAGTAGTGTATGATTAGTGGAAAATGTTGCTATTTAATTACACTGTCATCTCCCACCCCTGACTCCCCCCACCATGAGTACTGCTAGATCTCGTATACTATTTTTTATGTCTTAATTTGAGCTATATCATTCCAAGAACTCCAAAAGGTGGAGATAATCTTTGGGCATAAACTTTTCTTTAAAAGTTTATCCATGCAAATCCCACCAAGTCCTTTTCTTCCTTTCCCTTCTTTCCCAAGCTTCCTATCATTTCAGTCACCCATCAAGACCAAGAACTCTCCAGGTGAGTACAGCAGGGAAGAGGGATCTTACCTTCACAATATAGTCAGCCACACGGTTATATTTGTAGCGAATGAAGACTCCCAGCCCAATAGGAATGAGTGTGCTGCAAAGAGTGAGGGTCACCGCCCCTAGGGGTAGTAACTGCACCAGAGGAGTGTTGATCCAAGCCCTGCTATAGATCCACAGGCAGAGGGGCATCAAGACCAGGGCCAGAAGTGTAGAGGAGATGGTCATGATGATGCTGCAGAAAAGGGAATGAACAGAAGTCAAAATTGGCTTAGACACACACACACACACACACACACACACACACACACACAGAGAGCAGAGCAGTTTCTTACATGTTGGGTAGAGGGGAAAGAGTAGGACAGCAAGTTCTCTAGGTTGAGGTCTGGATAGAACCCACTGCATGGGAGAATAGTGCCAAAAGAATGTAGCATGTCTAAGCCCAAAGGAATCATGAACAAGAGGTAGAAACCACAACAAAAAGTCAGGACTGTTGCTCTGGGCTTTATAAGCCAGTTGAATATGGATGCTTTTGAGGACAAAGAGCATTTTTTTTCCTTTTAACCCTCCCAAGTACCCTGCACTATTAGCCATGGTAAAGCAGCTGGATGCTACTTGTTGGATTAAACTCAATTAGGTTGCACTGTATATGAGATTACTTTCTTTATTGGGCCAATAGCCCTAATTTGCTTTTACATTTCCGGCGAGTCCTAGCTTCAGACTTCCCCCTTCTCTTTGTCTTCCAGTGGCTAAAGACCTGTGCTGGCAGCCCCACATTTAGGGAGGGTGGTCAGAGTGCTGAAGGGCCTGCGCTGTAGGTGGAAGGTGAAATCCCAGGTCTAGACCCTAAAACGTCCCCATTGCCACATAACAGCTTCGCGTCCACCCCGACTGCTAAACCCCGGGGGTCCACATCTTCTTCCCTTTTTGCCTTCCTTCTCCAAGCCTGTTTCCAGCCGCCTCCACTTCCTCTCTCCATCGTTTTGAACCCTTGGCTGTGAACGCGGCCGCCTGGGATGAGAAAGATGCCTAAGGAGCAGAACCCTACCTGAGGTTCATGTCGCCGTCAACCAGCAGGGACATGAGATTGGAGAGATTTCCGCCGGGACAGCATCCACACAGAAGCACCGCCACGGCAGCCACCTCGTCCAGCTTGAAGACGAGGGCCAGCAGAAAGGCCAGCAACGGCAAGAAGCCGAACTGGCAGAGCGCGGCCAGCAGCGCGCCCACGGGCCGGCGGACGTGCGCCCCGAAGTGGTTCACGTCCACGGTGCAGCCCAGGCCCAGCATGGTGATGCACAGGGCGGCGCCCACGAACACATTCAGCCCGTGGTTCAGCGGCGTGTCCCAGAACGGGGGCTCGTGGGGGACCCAAGGCCGGGGAAACGGGGAAGGGCCCTGGCTCTCCGCGCCGCCCGCGAAGCTGCCGGTCGTGGGCTCCGGGCTTGGGGTAGGGCCGGGGCTGAAGCTAACGCTCGGACCTGGCCCCAGACTGAGCCCGGGGCTGGGGCTGGGGCTGGGGCCGGGGCTTGAGGCGGGAGCGAAGGGGAAGTCCGTGCCGGGGCTCGGGCTGCTGGCATTAGGCGACAGAGTGTAGTTGTCCGGCAGCAGAGAGGACGGGGCGAAGAGCAGGGTTGCGTTGTCGGAGCCGTCCATGGCGCTGTCGGCGGGAGGCCGCAGGTCTGCGGAGGTCTGTCCCCTCCCGTCGCGCGCGCCTCCCTCTGTCCTTCGGTCGCCGACGCCGTCCGTGGGTCTGTCGGTGGTCCGCAGCTGCCCAGCTAGGCTCGGTGCCAAGCCTCAGCCGCGCGCCGCTGACGTCCTGGGCGGCGTCGGTGCGGCTGTCCGGCTCTCCGCTCCCGGGCGTGCCGCCGCCCCCGGCTGCCACTTAAGACAGCGTAGCCCGCGAGGTGGACCCGAGAGAGCGCGGCGCGCGGCTGCCAGCGCCCAGCGCCCCGAGGCCCCGCCCCGCCGCCCAGTCCCCTCCTTTTAATCACCACTAAGTGGTTCTGTGAGAGTGTAGCCAGGGGCGGAACAAAGACCTGACAAAGGACAAGAAGAGAAAAAACCGGGCCTGGCAGGCGATCAAGTTCTCTGATGGGCTCTGCCTCTTTTCGTTTAAAAAAAAAATTTTAAATTGCTTTTTCTGATCTATAAAAACATGAAAGTTGTACATATTAATGTTTGATACATGTACACATCGAGGAAGGTTTAAATCATGTTAAACGTTCATCTCATTTATTAGTTCTTTATGATGAAAACATTCAGAATAATATCTTCTAGCGTTTTAAATACCCAGTACATAATTGCTATCTACAATCACCCTACTGTGCAATAACACATCCAAAACTGCCTCTTTGACAATGGAATCAGGAGAGCCAGACGCTTAAAGTGGAAATAAAAAGAAAGAGGGAAAGAAAGCTTTTCTATGCACACGCATAAACCGAGCTCGTAAACTATTTAAACAGCCTACAGCCTTAAGCATCAAGAGAGGCGCCTGACTTAGTTTAGAGTGATTCTCTGGCAGCATAACAAGAGATCCAACTTGATTTTACAAACAATTTTTAAAATGATTTTTATGTTCAGTCTTAAAGTAGGAAGTAAGAAGAATGCTAGTGTTTTTTTGTTTTTGGGTTTTTTGGTTTTTTGTTTTGTTTTGTTTTGTTTTTGAGCCAGGCACTGTGAAAGCACGTTTGCATTATTTTATCTGATTCTCACAGCAAACCATGAGATAGATACCTTTTCTACAAGCTTGATTTGTTAAAAACATTTTTTAATTCTCAATTGACACATAAGTTGTACATATTTATGGGGTACAGTGTGACATTTGAATACATGTGTAAAATGGTAATGATCACATCAGGGCAGGAGGATCACCTCAGGCATTTATCATTTTTTTGTACTGGAAGCCTTCAAAGTCCTCTCTACTAGTATTTTGAGATACTCAATCATGGGTTGTCAACCATAGTTATTCTGCTGTGACAAGCTTAACTTTTCCAATGGAGAAATCTCAGGGTCAGAGACATCTCAGCCTCATCAACCACACCTGTAAGTTACCTGGGCAAATCTGTATTGTGATGTATCCTTTAAAAAAAAAAAAGGCAAAAGAGTTCAGCTTAAAAAAAAAAGTCCCCATGAAAAATGTGTGTTTAGGGAGTTATTGGCAGGTGGGGAGAAGATATTCCAGTGACTACAGATTTATGAAGTATTAGGAGTAAAGTCCTGGCATTGGGATTAAAGGACTGAGAAGAAATGAAGTGCTGAGATTTCCTGCTTCAGGCAGGTTTATCCCAAAACAAATCAAATTCAGAGTTCTTAGGAATGGAGACTCAAACAGCCCTTGGTCAGTTACCCCATGCATATAGAAGGAAAAGAACGTCTCTGCATGCTATGGAGGTGGTGTCTCTTGAGGAGGCATTGAGCTCTCTGGAGTGACCATAACCATTGCAGCCAGTTGAGTTGTGAAAACCAACAGAAGAATGTCTAGGCTGAACTCACCCCTCAGGCTTAGACCTGAATGGAGCCAAGAGAGAGTGAATTCTTCTTCCTAAAGACTGTTCTCTTCCTTAGTGCAGAAGTCACTGGGTGACTTTCATTTCCCAATGATGGAGAGAGCCCAGGTGCTTGCATTTCCTCTCAAATCTCATGAAATGGCAGAGAATATAAAAAATTAGATTAAATTCACACCATATGGCACTCTTAATCACACATAATTCATTTCTTCCTCATTAGACTATAAATTCCATGAGGGCAGGACTTATACAAGCATGTAGAAAAACAATGTATCCTTACACTTTTACAAAATACTAAATCCCAGGAAATAATGCAGTAACATCTTAGAGTTTTGAAGGAAATGGATCATGACAAAAAAAAAAATCCTAAGTTTTCATTTAGGCTTTTGTAGGTAAAGGAGAGATATTCAGATATACAAGAAACATGCTACCCACATGTTGGGACAGCAGAGAACCCACCTGGAGAAAGACAAGGAGGAGGTACTTCAGGGCTTTGCTATAGTTTGGATCTTGAATGTTCCCCAAAGGCACATATGTTAAAGGCTTGATCCTCAAGGTAGCACCATCTTTTTTTTTTTTCAGTACTGAGAATAAAACCCCAGGGTGCTCTTGAACTTAGTTTCACCCCCAGATCTTTTTTTATATGATTTTGAGACAGGGTCTCATAATTCATCTGCTCAGGCTGGCCCTGAATTTGCAATTGTCCTGTTTCACACACCAGAGTAGCTGGGATTTTAGGTACGAACCATTGAGCCTGGTCAGGGTAGCGCTACCGGGAGGTTGTGGAATATTTAAGAGGTGGGGTTCAGTGGGAAGTCTTAGGTCATTTGGGTTGTGCCCTCAAAAGGGATTGTGGGACCCCCAGTTTCCTCTTCACTCCCTTTTGTTTCCTGGCCACGAGGTACAATTTTTGCTCTTCTAAGTGCTCTTTTCATGATGTGCTGCCACACCACAGTCCCAAAAGCAATGGTGCCAATCAGTCATGGGCTGCAACCTCCAAAACTATGAAACAAAATAACATTTTCTCTTTGTAAGTTGATTATCTCAGGTACTTTGCTATAGTGTTAGAAAGCTGACTAACACGAGTTTCTCTCTCTCTCTCTTTCTTTCTTTCTTTCTTTCTTTCTTTCTTTCTTTCTTTCTTTCTACCAGGGATTGAACTCAAGGATACTCAACCACTGAGCCACATCCCCAGCCCTATTTTGTATTTTATTAGAGACAGGGTCTCATTGAGTTACTTAGCTCTTCACAGTTGCTGAGGCTGGCTTTGAAATCACAATTCTCCCGTCTCAACCTCCCAAGCCTCTGGGATTACAGGCTTGAAATCACAGAATGAGATACACCAAAAAAACACAAATGGCAGAGTATCTATCTGAAGCCCAGTTGTACAGGCACAAAACCTATTTGCCTCAGAATGCCTCCTTGTGTTAAGAATATTAAATCCATGATGAAATTAAATAAGCAGTAATTACAGGCAGACCAACTCATCCAATCATCTTCTCTCAGGGTTTGGGAAGGGAGTAGGGAGGCAATTTGTGCCATGGGTGAAAATTGAAAACAGAAGGGGATGGGCTGGCAGTATAAATCTTCAGATAATAACCAAATAACTAAACCTGTTCTTTGGGGGCTTCTTGGGACCTGTTGTCACTTCTATAGACATGGCTATGGTCATTGTAAACAAAACAGAGGTGCTCTTACCTCCTTTTTTCCTCTCCTCACTATAGAGAAAATCCGAGGAGCATATGATGACATTGGTGGTCTAACTTGGGTCATTTTGCTTCCAGCTACTGCCTTCATTTACATTTGCTGCCACCAGGGATGATCTGGGCCACCCAGAGAGGAAAGAGCCCTTAGAAAGTGGAGACAATGACATGGTACTTGGAAAATATGCTGGGTATTTGGGGGAAATACGTTTAGAGTTTTATCTCACAGCACATAGCAAAATTCCAGACAGATTAAAGAGTTAACTCTAATGATATTATCAATGCAACAAAATACTGGAAAAAAATATTGGCAAGTATTCATCTCATGTTTGGGTAGAGTTCAGAAAGCAAAGTAGTAATAGAAAAAATCACTGTAGGAGACTTGGTAGATTTAGCTACATAAAGATTTTAAACTTTGCTACAGTAAAAACATGCTTTTAAATATTAAAAACAAAATACAAAATGAGAAAACTACTTACAGCGTATACAAATCTAAGAATGACTATCATAAATTTATACAATGGTCTTACATATTAACAAGCGCAAGCAGCACAATAGTCAAAAAGGCAAATGATTACAAATAAACATAAGATCACAAGAAGGAATGCCAATAGCCCAAACTTACAAAATAAAAATATTGGCATTCACTAGTAACCAAATAAGTTAAGTTGGAGTCATTCTTTCAGGACTAGAGAAGATCTGAATAATCAGTGTTGTGTTGTGGTGGCAAAGATGGGCTGTAATCAGCTCCACACTCTCTCATCCTGCCAATTTCACCTTCTAGAAGAAAACTTGGTGGCGGATGACAACAGCCCCAAGAATGTGCAAATGAGCACCACTTTGACTCTATAATACATTGTTTTTCTACATACTTGTATAAGTCCTGCCCTCATGGAATTTATAATCTAATGAAGAAGAAACAAATTATGTGTGACTATATTTCCAGGTGTTCCAGGTGTTTATCCTAAGAGAATTAAATAAAAATTACATGGGCATGGTGCATGCATATATAATCACAAATACTTGGGAAGCTGAGCAGGAGGAGTGCCAGTTCAAGGACAGTCTGGGTATTTAGAAAGACCCTGTCTCAAAAAAAAAAAAGCATGTGTGGGGCTAGCAGTGGTGGTGGAAGGATGAAGCTGGTGATGTAGTTCAATGAGAGAGCATTTCTAGTATGTATGAAGCCCTGCGTTCAATCCCCAGTACTGGAGGAAAAAAAAAAAAAAAAAAGGTGCTACGTTGAGCACTTACTATGCCCTGGACAAATTTCTAAGCCTTTGCATGGGTCATTTTGCTTACTTCTTGTATTAGGTTTAACAAGATTAGAAGTTTGCCAGGTTCCCTCATGTAGGGCTGAAGACATGTGAACATAAGGTTTTTGAATTTGGAAGTATGTCCTCCAAAAGCTAATGTTACATAGTTATTTAACTATGTAACTATTTAAAGTGATTTCTATTTTCTTCTTTTACTTTTTACTACATTTTCCAAATATCTCCCACAAACATAATAATCATAATTATAAACAATACAATTTAATTGTAAAATCTAGATGCAAAATTAGAACGTATTAACATAGGAGACTGCCACACAGACATTAAATATCTTGTTTTACAGTAGGAGTTCTTAATCTGGAGCCCACTGATGAACTGAAGAATCTTCCGAAATGATGTATCAACTTTTCTATATAT